AGGGTCTCGGGACAGCCATGAAGATACTTTTCACCGACAAGTCGCGCCTTCCTCCCGAGAACCCAAGGTTCCACTTGACACGGTCGGAGATTGTATCACTCTTCAATGCCTTTGGCAGGTACGTTATTTGTCGTCTCTGATGATCTGTCGGCCTTTCTTTTGCAATGTTTTCATATAATCAACTTCACATGAAGGTCTTGCTCATCAAAAGTTGGCTTTTTAAAGCATGCTGAAATTAATGTTTCATGTAGGTACAAGCCAGAACTGAATAAAAAAGCAGATCGGAAGTCGAAGGTCCAATTTCTTTGTTAGGCCAAGCCACTCGTGGACATTAGGAAAAAAAGTTGAGCTAGAGGTACCGTAATTACTCGAATCTAACGCGCACCTTTTTTCCGGTTAAGCGAGTTCATAAATCGCATGCGCGTTAGAATCGAGTACGATAAAAGAATGAAAGTGGTCATTCTATTGCCATCGGCATTTCCAAAATGGCCGCCCCCTACGTGCGTCGGCATGGCGCGTCGGCCATTTCTGCCTATGTGTTTCCCATGTGTGGCAGTTCGTACGTGTGCTCAGGAGTTCGTTATCTTGTAGTGCATTAGCATCGACGGCATCGAAGGGCCGATTCCAAAAACTCGAGTGCACCACGATGCCGCTTTTAAAAGGGAAGTCATCGCATGTGCAGAAACGGACGGAAATCGGGTCGCATCGCGGTCGTTTGGAGTTCTTGAAACGTGCGTGCTGGACTGGCAGAAACAGAAGCAGAAGATTGTCTACAGCAAAGCTTCACGCAAAGGCTTCAGTGGACGACAGCAGGGTCGGTTTCCGCAAATTAAAAAGCTGCTCGGCGAGTATGTGCTTGAGCAGCGAGCGGCACAGCGGCCCGTGACGACAGAACTGCTCCAAGTGCGGGCTATGCAATTAGCCTTAGAAAAAGGTCTAATGCGGAGCCAGCTGAAAGTGAGCAGGTGCTGGCTAACTAACTTTATGAAGAGAAAAGGCTTTTCCTTCCGAAGGGGAACGGGCATATGCGAAAAGTTTTGCGGAGGAGTGCGATGAAAAGCTTCACAGTGTCAGAGGTTCGTCCTAAACTTGTGGATAAAAACGGCTACCTGCTTGGGCAAATCGGGAATGCCGATCAGACGCCTCTTTACTTCGACATGCCTGGCACCACAACCGTCGAGGAGAAGGGGGCAAAGCAAGTTCGCGTGCTGACATCGGGCCATGGTAAAACAAGAGTGACGGCAATGCTCCGTTGCACGTCAGATGGGCACAAGCTTCGCCCGTACCTCATATTTAAATGGAAGACGCTCCCGAAAGGAGTTGTTTGTTCTAGTGGTGTGATCGTGCGGGCCAGCGAGAAAAATGGGTGCGCATTGCACTCTATGTCTTACTTTTTTTTTTTTTTTCGTCGTGGAAATCGGGTGCGCGTTACAATCGAGGGCTCGGTAGAATCGAGGAAATGCGGTAACACACAGAACTAATTGGCATTTTTTACCCATTATAAACGTAGTACTTACCAGCTGTGAACAGCCTCATCACCCCTATGATAAGTGTTAAACGAACGTAATCCAAGTAACAATTTGAGGTCGTCATGAACTTACAGTAATTGAAATTCAAGTGTGTTAATTTAACATTCTGTATAATGCACTTGAGTGGAAATCAACACAAAGTGCAGTTATGACAAGTCCACACCTTGTATAGAACATTAAAGGAACACTATAATCGAATAACAATTTACGTCAAGAGTGAAATGTATGACAATGTTTAAAATGACAATATTATCAACAGCAGTGTCCTACTTACCGAGAAAATGCATGACAACACATGCTCTAAGCGTAGGACATTTGCAAAATGATCCCGATGACGTGAGAGGTACAACCTACGAATAATCACTAGTATTTGAACTAGCTGCACTAAATAAAGAACCTTCCGTGCATCAAGAGACGTAATAAAATGCTTCTCATTCGATCCTGTTTGATTCATGGATACAAGAACCGCCGAATGTTACTATGGAAAATGGCGCGAGTGGTTCAAAAGTTCAATTTTTGTCTGGTTAAACTAGGACAGGTCATGCCATCTAGTGTGGCTCAATTGAACCAAGCACATCTGCCATCTCGGAGGCTAAGGCAGGAAATAGTTAATGGCCGTTGTTGCTGTTGTGACTCCCGCTCTTTTCGTTCTGCGCCTATTAGTGTCGACAACCGTGCAGTAAAGCTGGGCAAGGTTGTGCATGGCAGCAGTGACACGAGGCGTTGCGCTTCAGGCGGGTAATTTGCAGTGCCCTAACCCAATGCGGCCCATTAAAACGTGATTGTATTTCAAAATAAGCCTTTCATTGGCACAAAAGTAACATTAAGAGGTTTCTGGACCACTATTTCAACAGTGAACGTCTACTTAATAGTTGCTTTTTGTGTTCTTTTATAAGTGGACAGAAGACCGTACCGTTTTAAAGTGGGCACTGCATGCTTTTCAAGCTTTCTATAGTACGAAGAAAATATTTCGGGCATGTTTTCTAGCGATCAACAAATGCAAATAGTTTTTAAAGCAATGTAAATGAAGTAATTGTTTAATTTTGAGTTGATGATTTCGGTCAACTCGCAGGATTGCAAGATTTGGTTAAAATATTGAAAATGTGTAAATGACAAAGTGTAATCAACTCACACTGTACGGTGTCTGTTTGTTATCTTTGGAGAGGCTTTTATCTCAAAATGAAGATAATGTTAACTAAAGATTATTAAAAAATTAGGAACTGTAATAAATGTAGTGACTTTTTTTAAGATAAAGAAAGATATACTGAGGACTTTCTTTTGCTATATAACTGTCACTTGGTGATTATGGAGTCATTCACCACACAGACAAGCCAGGTACAAATCTGGCTGTACAGAGGTGACCACTGAAAGATAAAAATGAAACATTAGTTTGTGACAAAATTTCATGACAGAGCACTGGTTGGGGATGTTGAATTAATTGAAGCAGCATGGTTTTTGTATTCCAACTGAATAAGTTTTCCTTTCATAGCAGTGTGTGCATTTCCTGGCAGTATATTACTACACATTCATACAATTAGATATGATGAGTGAATGGGGATGGAATTAACAGGAGTTGACAGCATAAATATGTTTGTGAATTCACATGTTATATTATGCAAGTAAGATAAGTGCAAAGAAGCAGTGATAAAGTGAGCCATGAACATTTTTGTAAACACACCTCTTTTTGTTTTCCTTTCTAGGTTATCAAATAGTATCTACCATCTACGGCAGTTCGGCAAAATGCTGTCCTGAGTGTCCTTCAATCAACGCCACCCCAAAGAAAGGAAGTGTGTGCTTGTGTGACCTTACGTGACATTTTCGTAACGTTGTGGACTGAAGGAAAAGTTGAGCCGAGCTGGACTCCTGAATCAAGTGTGCTTGCAAACTGTGGTGGCAGCCAACGGCTGCAGTGATATTGTGTCTAATCGTCGTCACTTGTGCTCACTGTTTCTTTTGTTAGATATTATATAGAGATGAAGCCGTGTATTTAGTGCATGATGGGTGGACGACTTTGTACACAGTGTAATTTACTTTTACTTCACAGTGTCCACATTATCGACGTCAGATACTTATGTTGCTATGTTGTGCAATATTAAATATACCGTCGTTTTCACATCACATGCACTTACTATCACACTGTCTACTTACTATCACACTGTCACAATTTCTACATAATAAAAGATTCTCATTCTACCATCATGACTGTTCAACAAGTGTTTGTTGTCACTTATTTACCCCCAAGAAATAAATTTTAGGCCCATTGCGTGTTTTGCTGGATGCCAAGATTTGACACTGTAATGGAACATTTATTGGAAATATGTGTTGTGGGAGATGTTTTGGATCCTTTGGGTAGTTTCTTGAAAAACTTGAGAACTGAAACATTAGAGCGGCTGTCGCGTGCAATCATAATTCCACTTTCCTGTTACTGTACCTGCGGCATGTGGTGCTGTTCTGATGCTGTACCGTCTGATTCGTCATGAAGGGCTGGCAGACACCAGGCTAGCTTTCAAAGTTGAGAAAATTTCATCTTCAAATCAAATCGAATCAAACTTTACTTCAACATTTATACAATGTTGAGGACCATGAACAAAAAGCCAGCAAGGCTTGATGAGGTTCATGACCCCAATTTTCCAGGCAGAAACAAACTACAAATGAGAACAGTAGTTAAACACTGAGACATAAATTATAAGCTGGTCGCACAACTTATAATATGCATTATACAAACCCATAAATTGTACTTGCCCTTATACATACTGAAAAGCTCAAAAGTAAGCAAAGTAAAATTTCATTCAAGTGACAATACACAAGAATACATACAAAAAAGTGGAAACAGATTTTTTATACAAAAATATATACTGCATTATGAGCCCTACCACATAAGTATGTGCAGAGACAGACATATGTTCACTCTTTCACACGATTGCACATGTTCACTTCTTTAACACAAATATTTTGTAGCTTATGCTGTAGTTTTTAATTTCATGCTTATTTTGCTGAATATGGTCTTGTGTGATTCGAGCATGCTCAAGTAGGCTGTCGCTCTGTATCCAAGCATCTCCTGTTGAGCTTTTATTCTCAATGTGCGGACTGTCCGGCAGAAGCTTTCCAAGCTGGCTGAGGCTGCTACAGACTGCCCCATCAGGACTGCAACAGCTCATTCAATTGCATTCGTGAGTGATTGTATTCTCCAGCATATGAAATGAAGTGTGCACATTTCAGGGTAGCTAACTGGAGATCGTTGCTGCCATAATACTCCCCATTTTCCTTCTATTTCATTTTCCTAGCCGCAAGAACACGCAATGTCAGTCGTGTCGTACAAAGCTGGCAAGGCGCAGAGATCTTCAGTTGAGTTACAGCATAGGGTTTCATACAATGATCGAAATACGGCGGGATTTTAGCATAATCGCGGCAACCCTGAAGTAACATGGCGGCGCCCACGGTAAACTTTTAGAGGGGAGCCGCAGCGTCGGTCAGCTGCGCTGGTGCGCGCAGGTACCTTCCCCCGCCCTTTCAGCGACTGTGACAGCTGCCTTGTTCACGAGCAGAATCGCACCAGAGTCGCACGATCGCATGCGTCCTTGCGGGAATAGCCATCGCCAGCCGCTGGGCCGTGTAAACATGGAGGATCAAGCGAGACGCTAGGAGCAGGTAAACTGGTAGGTGTTCTGTGGTACTACTACGTGTTAAATTAACCACAGTCGCGCTGCCTTGTTTGGGTCCGTCGCAAGCTGGCGGTCGTATCTGATGGTCGGAGCGCGGCGTCTAAACATGAACCGCGGAAGTATGATAGCGGTGCCCTGAGCGGTCGGTGTCTTATGAGCGATATGTCGTTCCCTTCCAGAGCCAAGTGGTCTCCTGAGGAGTCATGTTCAAAATAGAATCGTACGTGACTCCGTTGATCCTCAGTTACGTGAGCAAGTACGTCAAAAATATTCGTCCAGAAGACTCGCAGGTAACAACCCCGCTTTCCTGTACTTTCTATGTCCATGCAAATGGCAAGAAATGAATTAGGATTATGTCGGGTTCAATCGGGATAATCACTGAGCGAGTGATTAAATTAACGTTATTCGCGAAGAGTTTCGGTTACCTGTGTTTAATCGTACTCCATTGCTATACAGTTTGTGGTGTGTTTTTTGTGTGCTTATGCATTTCGCCAAAGAAACAATGACCAGGCTAGCTTTACGTAATGTTAAAAACTGGTTCGCCTTACGTAATAATGCATGCGTGCCCCTCAATGTCTGTGTAGCTCTAACTCCGCGATTATCATTCGTTCCTCCTCCTTTGCATGGTGGTTGTCGCACGGAACAGTGTTGCGGTTGAGCCCGATGGCAATCGAGTTTAGTGATCGGGATTAGCATAAATTTGCGCAAGGACAGGGGTGGGGTGTCGCCAATCACGATTGAGAAAATCGATCCCAACCGGTGCTCGATCGCGGTAGAAAGAGTTGAAATTTCTTTCATAAAGAGGCCATCTTGCCTATTTGCCCTGCAGTTTGTTTCGTTATCAGCCACGCACCTTCACAAATATATAGCAACAGGTGATTCTAAGGTCAGTGTGTGTAGAAATGCCAGCCGCATAGTAATAACAGTGTTTCTTGTATTATTTGATCACAGATTGTTAACTGTACACCCATCGCAGTGTTGTGGCAGCAGCGGTAGCGGTTGTGCCAGCATTCATTCTGTGCTCACATAGAAAGGGCAGCGCAAAAACTCGGGAAAAAAGAAGGACAGTAGAGACACAGCGCTCTGTCTCTACTGTCTTTCTTTTTTCCCGAGTTTTTGCGCTGCCCTTTCTATGTGAGCACTATGAACCAACTAGCCCCAAACCAAAGTACTTCTCGATTCATTCTGTCTTGCCAATCAGAATACAAGCAGTTGTCATATCAGAACACCAACCTTTCAGATATAATTATGTGACAGTTCTCTCTTCAGAGGTAGCACATGGTTGCTGCTGGCATATTTGCGAAAAGTGCATTAGATAGCTGCCTGAATAATAGAAACAATTAGGCTAGGAATGGTAAAGATAACATTAATTGTTGCCATTAACTGCACTGTGAAGTAAGTTGAAATGAATTGAAGTGGATGGAAAATCATCATTCCTTCGATGTGATTTGAATGCACAACAGGTTGGAAGATTGTGGGATCAGATCTTTTCTTAACTATTGGTTCAGTTCATTTGGTAGTGTCTAACATAAGCAAGCCTGTCGAAAAAAAAAAAAAAACTTCTTTATTAAATAGCTGTGTTTGCCATTCTTCCAAACTTAAAACTTGAATTTTTTCAAACAGCTGTCGACTTTCTTATCTATATGTAGCTGTTAACCTAATTGGCCTTTAGAATTGTAGAGGTCACAAGCTTCTGTCAAAAATTGCATAGGCGGCAAACTTCAGTTTGTCCGGCTGTGGCTCTTTGAGTCCTAGTGCATGTTCTGTGACCAAACATCAGGTCTATGTACTGCACTATTTAAAGGTATTCAATTATTGGTGTCATATGTGACATGATATTGCATTTTCTATTTGTGCAATTATATTCAAGATGCCAAAAATACAGTTTAGATTTAATAACCATTTTCGTCTAAAAGGGTCTGCGTGAAACCATGGAATAAATGAAATGAGCTATGTGAGATGAAGAAAGCCTCAATTAAGAAAAATTTGGCAGCTACCAATTAAAATTGATGCCAGCTTCCCCTTTCAGAAATTTCTAAGGTCTTGTTAGATCAATTCATCTGGTTACTTTGGCTGTATAAGAAATGGAATGGGACGTTACAGCTTGCGATTACATATATAGACTGTTGACATGCTTTGTCAAAAAGCTTGGAGTGATAGTCCGAGAGGCCTCTGTGTCTGCCATTATTCTTTGATTCACTTGCTCCATAGCTATCACTGTGGGGCGGCGATGCTGTCTTTAGCAACTTGGACCTACGGCTTGAAGCACTCGAGCAAGAGCTGCGACTTCCGTTCCGCCTTGTCAATGGCCACATTCACGAGCTGCGCATTCATGTGCCGTGGACCAAGCTTACCTCCGAGCCAGTTGTCATCACTGTCAACACCATCGAGTGTGTGCTACGGCTTGGTGAATCTTCAGCCAGCTCCTCTTCATCCTCTGTGTCATCAACACCTTCAGTGACTCGGTTTAGGCGAGTAAGGTAAGTTCTAACTTCCAAAGCTACTCTTCAAGTGGCAAAGGGACTCCGTAACTTAAAATAAATTGGAGAGGGGTGAAGCATGTAGGGAAAGCTGTTTCTGCTCCACTAACGTTGTCGGAATGCAGCTTATTCAGAGTTCCCTACTTGCCCGGTATCAGTTCCCTAATGCATGTAGGGAAGGCTGTTTGAGCTCTGCTAATGTCGATGGCTATTTGTGAGGCTAATTGTTGCCTTCTTCCAAGTTCCCTCTTCTTCTTTCCTACATGCCCAGTTTAAGTTCCCTAATTCATTTTTAGTGGACCAATGGCGTGTAATGGAATTCAGTATATTTCGTGGTGCATGCCCATTTGTGATGGACTGTGACTACTTTAGACACTGACAAGCCCAGACCCTAGGGTACATTGCACCTAAAAGCCGGAAATGCTGAGCTATAGCAGTTCTAGATCAGGTGATTTTAGATCAACTCCTCTAGATCCGTGACTAAAGAAATTGTTAGGTGTTCAAAATGGACAGAAGCAAAGGTTTAGTGAGCTGCCCATCTGTTTTGATCTCTGAAAAAAGAGATGATTCTTTTGTCACGGTAATGGCGCCGTTAATGCTTTCATGCAGTATATGGTGTTTTCGACACCCTTACTGTACATTGTATATATGCTGTGGCCATGCACAATAAAGCTTCATTTGTTAGTAGCGCTGCATCCTTGTGTCTTCTTTTGTGTCCTCTTCTTTTTCTTTGTGCGTGCTAAACCTAATGATATACTTTCAAGAAGCTTGCTGTGTAATTTCTTTTATGCTTGTTCCCTCACACAACCTGCGGCTATATCATCCCTATTTTTTGGTTACCAATAATGTACCAATTTTATTTCTCCAAAGATTCTCTTTGTGTGCATGTCTCCTGAAGGTCCTTAAAATTTTACGATACCTGTGATATCAAATTATAACGAACGGTGGACTGGCCTTCGCAGTATGACATTTTACATGGCAGCGAACAGTGTAAAGGAAAATGATAAATATAACCTTAACGGACAAGAAGAGAGCAAGGTGGGTGAGGGAACGAACAGCTGTTCTTAGTCGAAATCAAGAAATGTGTTTGGGCAAGGTATGTAGTTTGAAGGCAAGATAACCACATATCGTTAAGATTTACAAACTGGATTTCAAGATGAGGCACTAGTGCGAGGGAGAGATATTAAAGTTAGGTGGGTAGATACGATTAAGTTGTTTACAGGAATGAAATGGACGTATTAAGGACAAGACCGAGTTGATTGGACAGGACATGGGGAGAGGCCTTTGCCTTGCAGTGGGTGTGGTTATACTGATTATGGTGATGATCTTCTTGTAGTTCTGCTCGTGCCACCAGCCCTGACGGCAGCAGCTCTTCACAAACCCTCGCACAGCCTCCTGGTGGTTATTTGGGTGGCCTGCTGCAGCGTGTCCTACACAACATAACAATTGTCCTCAACAATGTCATCCTCAAGTATGCGGAGGAGGACCTCGTTCTTTCGCTCAATGTCAAAGCCGTCGAAGTGGCCTCCGCCGATGCGTCGTGGCAACCGGCGTTTGCACAGCTGGCCACGGAAAACCCCGTGCTGCGAAAGCTCGTCTCCATGGAAGACGTCACTGTTTGTCTGGACAAGGTGTGCCGAATTTTCTCAGAACTACTTGCATTCCTTCCAAATAGTCTGAACTTAAATTCAGAAAAATTGTCAGTAATAATTCAGAAAAAAAAAGAGCAATTGGAAAGTCTTCTTTAGGCTACATAACGAGTGAGAACAATATATTTTTTGTTTGATAAATGAAGGAATTCATTCTTATAGCTAGGGACTAGAGCCACTACCACGTGGAATTGTGAAAAATTTCACAGTCATACTATTTTTTTCTTTCTGCATACCAATATTCTAAAATTGCATACCAACATTGAAGGTATCCCCGTAATACAGAAAAACAAAAAAGGCTGCAGGGAAAAAAAATTTAGATTAAATGAAGACCAAAAGTATTCTTATTTAACATGGAAAGTATCACTACAAAATACAAAAAAGTGTTTGGGAGGTAAAGCTGACACCGAGACCACTCATTTACCCAACCATACCCTATTACCATATTTATTTAAATTTATGCCAATAGCTTTTTTCAAATTTCTTTGCATCCAACTCCAGGGTCGGGTTAGATTCAAGGATTTTGAAAAATGCTCAATTTTTAATTGAGATAAGTGGTGCATAACTAGCGTCACTTATACGGTATTATAGTCGTTAGTAGCCAAGCAAACAAATGGCTTAAATAGACATGTGAAGCCACCATTTTGACTTTGGGGCGATTGTTGAAGCGAGTCATTTGTCATTTTGAGTTGTGCTTCGAGTGGTCTGTGTGTGGTGGTGTCATTATTGGCGGTGTCAGAGGCGGTGTCATTATTGGCTGCGAGATCAAGCAGAGTCGGCGCCTGGTGGCAGCTTGCTGAAGTGTGCAAGTGTGGATTGCTCCATTTGTCGTCTGCTAGCCACGTCGTGTTTATATATGAAAAATTCGTAAACAGGGGTGTTTGTGCTAGAGTGCAGCTTCTACAGGGGTCAGTTGGTATGAATCAACAGCTTGTTTGTGCTGCCAGGAGCTGGATGAAGTGACGACAGAAAAAGACACACAGGGTGTCTTTTGCTTGTCGGCTCCAGTACACAAACCCTATTTATGAATATTCCACAGTAATTATCCTAAATGTCAAAATATTCTTGGTGCATGAAAGAAAAGTCCACTTGTTGAAATGGGGGCTCTAGCTTACACTCTGTTTGCAAATTTTATTGCCATTACGGTCACCTAAGTCTAAGCTAGCTGCATTCTGTACATTCCTCACAATCATATTGTGTTTTATATGTGTAAAACACTACAGTTATTTCAGTTTTAAATCAGTTGGTATATAAAAAGCAGATCAGAGCAAGGAAGAAAACGTACTGCTGAATTTGAGCCAAGTAAGAAAAGTAGTAAAAGCACAATTATTTCAGATTAGAAAGAAAGTTTAAAAATGTTGATTTACTTCAAACTCATTTATTTATCGTGTACTGCAAGTTAACTGCAAGGGAAGTAGGCACAAGCGTGCAAAAACATAACAAAATATAACCCGTAGAGAGCAATAATGAAAGTGATTTTTTTGCCTAGCACTCTCCTCCTGCAATCCTGCAGTGGATAGTGCATTATATTTATTTATTTATTTATTTATTTATTTATTTATTGAAAAATACCTTACAGGCCCCAAGGCATTGAGTGAGGGGGGTTACAGCGAATGCGGAAATAAACTTGTAAGGAACAACTATACCAGGAAATAGAGAAGACACCTAGTAATTGAAAGTACTCATGTGCTTCAGTGTTATATGATGTTGTTGTTTGTAATGGCTACATTAAGTAATCGTATCAGTAGTTAAAATAATTTCACAAGTCAATATTTTGCTGGTCACCGAGCAATGTCAGGCAGAACATAGCATACATTGAATTCACTACCATGTATACAGCTGTCACACATTGTTATGTCTATGTATACATTATCTTAGTTAATTTTTTTCTTTTTTTGTGTCCTATGTTATTGTTATACTCTCTACATACATTAATTAGTTTTCAAGCTGTTGCGGTATCAGTAAAATATTTTTGTATGTATAATTATGCCTTTGATATTTGTGATACATGATGTGCACTTGTCACATGCTATCTTACATATTTTTGTTCTTTCTTTTTGTCCTTATCTATCATAAATGCTATGCTCTGTGCATACATAATATGTTATAGTATTTAAGGTGTTATAATGACGGTAAAGTATTTTAGTTTGTTTACTTTTTTTATGCGGCACACTCTTTTTCATAATTACATATCAATGAATCCCAACTAGTCATGGGTTGAGATTCAGATGTATTTCTACACTTACATTAGAATTCCTTTATGAGAGCCACTGATGTAAAAGACCATCGGGTATTAGGCACAACTGTGCCTACACCGAAACAAACATTGATCAGAAAAATGACACTGTGATGCCCTGCTTATAACCTCATATAAGGGACAAAAACTGCTTATCGATACATTGTTTTATGTCAATAAATGCAATTTAATTCGTTGATCCTGGAGCAGCTTATCCAGATTGAAAGCCAAGCTTTTTTGTTTTCTAATGCAGCGTGATGCCAGTGGCAAGATTGAGGCTTACCAGGAACCCCTGCTGTATCGGTGCTTCGTGCTGGGTCGGCTGCACATGCGTTACGACGGGAGTGGACGTCCGAGCGCACTTCGGTTCCACGTCTCGTGCGAGCGGCTCGATTTGTCGCTGACCGATCAGCAGCTTCCACTGTTTGTGCGCCTCCTGGAGCTATGCCTGGCGTTGTACTATGGCCGCCTCGCTTGCAGTCCTGTCGAGGAATCTCGCGACGTGCCGTCGCCCGACCAGCCGCAGTCAGCGACGTCATGGGTGTCCTCTGGCGCCACTCCCGCCGGTGAGTTTGGTTTGTGCTACAGCACCCAAAGCCTAGAGGTCACTTTTGATCACAATTAGGGTGGATCCAGATAAGGTTCATTGATGGTGACCAACAGTGATCGCTGCTACTCGGTCTACACTCATCGAGATTAAGATTGGTGCATACGTCAGTCAAATCACGATATGGAGACCAGACTATGACAGGCACATTGCTGTTGTCTTTCACAAGCAGCACTTGATTTGGATTGAGCCTAATCCATGGTGGTCCTGATAGTGATCAAAAGTGCCTGCGTGACATTCATATCACTGTCTACAATTGCTTTATTAACAGGTGTCTCACTGCACGTTGGGCACTGGTTCATAACGCACTGTGCAGCAGCCCTTGTTTCTCCTGTTCAATGTCACTCGACTGCATTGTGGCTGCCCATTGCAGTGCGACACAGTCAAAGTACTGGCACAACGCACAGCATCTCTGTAGCTGCTGGCATGGTGTTGTGTCCAAGGTGCATAGCATCATGAAGCTTATGCTCAATGTGATTACTCTTGATGACTTTTGATGACTTTCGAAGTCTAAAATGCAGGTTTGGGTGCTGTCAAAAGCCAGCTGCTGCTTTATTTTCCACTTTTGTTTTGTCTTTTTTTATATGTTAATAACAAATATACTGCATTTAACGTGGTTTCATACGATTGTAATTAACATTGTATTGTATTCAATGTTTCCTTTGTTTCTTCTTGCCCAAAGTCTTTCTGTGGGTGTTTTGTCTGCTTACAACTTATCTCGGTGCATGCGTAGTGCTAGAACCACTAGAGTTATACTTTTATATGCGAAGCAGTTTACGATGAAGTTTGATCCTGTGGTGTACGGCGTGACCACCACCCTTACTGCGCATGCGTGAAATCTGGCCCAAGCACTGTCAGAACGCGCTCATGTGTTAGCACATTCCAGTCTGTGTAAGGGTGCTGGGTAAGAAGACGCTGTGGCCTCTCCCCCTTACACTCTCTCAGCCATCATGTGATGGCATCGGGGAATGCGATTCTGCAAATGCGCGATAAACTAACGCTGTGTATCTTAGTCAGAACGCGCTGGTATGCACAAGTGCGTTTGGACTTGCGTGAGCGGCTGTGTAAGAGGCTGTGGCCTCTCTCACTTACATTCTCTCAGCAATCACATAATGACATCAAGGAACGAGACCCGGCAGACGCGAAATGAGCGCATGTGCTCCCGCATAGTGGGGCGTGCTTCAACAAGAGTTCGGGATGAGTAACAGCAACAGAAACTACAGTGAATCCATGGTGTGCTCCACTTGCAAAGACGCGATAGCATCGGGCAAGGTGCCCGTGATGAACGGAAGTTGACCCACACGCTGCTTCGCATGCTACTCATGGTTCCTTTTAGTGGAAGATGGTGTAACTTTTTTTTCAAGCTTCTTTGTATCTTACCCTCCAGGTATAGCTCTTTTTATTTTCCCTCTGTCCAACAGAAGGTGACCCTGGCAGTGATCAAGGCTGGGGAGCTTGGGCTTGGTCCATGGTGCCGCAGATTCTGCCCACGTGGGAAGAAGAGGCCGCAGGGATGGACGATGGTGTTGGTGACCCAACAACATTGATGGACACTGGCTGGCCCACCTTGTACCACGTGGGCTGCTACGTGGCAAAAGCAACCTGTGTCTTCAAGGTAGGTCCTGTCAAACGTAAAATCCTGAATTCGCCTCTCAAGACGAAAAATAGAGTTCTTTAAAAATAAAAAATAAATTATCAATTTTGATGAAACTTGTTGAGATTGTGTATATTTGTGTGCTGATCTCAAATATGCAATTATATTTCAAGTGCACAATGTAGCTTATAGGGTATCAAACATTTCATGTGTATTTAAGGAGCAAGACATTCTCCTGAGCAGAGAAAGTTGCTTAGTAAATTAGCATATCAAACTAATTTGGAAGTATAACTGTGTGCATTAGATTATAGTGGATGTTGTAGACACATTTTATCAAAAGCTATAACTTAGACATTCACAAGTGAGTTGATTTCAAGCTAGAATTTCAATCATGAATGTCTGACATGCCATAACTTTTGTTCAAATAAGCATAAATCATCTATTCTCATTTTTTTGCATGCAGCTTTCATTCCAAATAATTGTAATATGCTGATTTACTTTGCCGTTTTCTTAGTTTACAAAGAAATCGAGCTTCCAAAAAGCACATGAAATGTAGGATATTTTGAAAACTACTCATTCAAATAGAAAAATAATTGCATATTTGAGATAAATACACAGATAAACATAATATTAGCAAGCTTCATCAAAATTAATCAGTAATTTGAAAAATATATATATTTTAAGGGGAGTGTCTTCCCTTGAATGATAAGGTGCTTAATGTGGGGCCTGCTGTGGCAGCTCAGTAGCTGTTTAACAGAGTTTAACATATTTTATCAGAGATTAACAGAAATTGGTTGTGTTCATGTGACAGGGGCATAAGCTGTCATGCCCTCTGTTAGTTTTCTTACAGCCCACTCCTCATGAGGCGTTTAGCATCTCTATCAATTTCAGTGTGAGTCTTGGCTGTGAAATTGAACTTGCTGAGTGTATTCATTTGAGACCAACCCTCATGCAATATTCATACTCCCTGCATTCAAGGTTAAATTTTTCTAGAGAAAAAAAAAAAGCTTATCCAAAGTTTTGGTTCTAAGTAATACAATTAATTATCAGTTGATACTGGCACAAAATGTTTTAAAGCTTCTGTAATACTATATAACACCATTGTTCCTGCTCAGAATGAACACCTTTCGGAGTGTGTCCACAGTAGAAGAGGCCGCAGTGTTGATGACTGTGAAATTGGGAGTGAGAGCGTAAAACAATTGATATGGAAATAAATCAATGCCTCTGAATCTTGAACAAATGTGTGTGCATTTTCTGCACAAGCCACAGAAATATAACAAAAAGTAAACAAAAAATGGCCTTGCAATTAATATAAGGTTAGAAGCATACCTTTATAATGAATTTCAGATATAACCAACTTATTTTCATGTAAGATGCAACTTTGTTATTATGAGGTTTGAGTGCATTTGTCGCAATACTTAATTACCCATTGCCATCACCATCATTTCCAAAGTGCACTGATTTTCCATGTGTAGTAGCGTTCCACCAAAGTGACATCCTGCAGGCGTAAGTGCAGTTGCTCAAAGTGACATAAATTTTGCCAGTGTAGTGGACGTGGCCCCCTCGAGAACTGAGAAATGTGATCTCAGATGATGGACAAAGGCCCACTGTGTCTTTTATTTATTTCATTTTTGCAGACAACGAAAGAAGATGGTTTCGCAGGTCGCATCTCTTCATCACGGCGACAAAACATGACCGGTCGACCACTGCTGCAGTTGGAGTTGCATGGCGCCACATGCGAAATGGCGCTGCAGGGGCTCACCTGGGTGCACCTCCAAGTGGGTGTCACCGGGGCAGCAATCTCCGGGTCCGAACGCTGCGCCTGTGGATTTGACGAGGCGATGCGACGCAACGGCAGGTCAAAGGTGCATCTTTGTCAATATCAGTCTTGGGCAATATGTGGTCTGCAGAAGATATACGTGTGTGAGTGTTGTTCAGAAATTTAGTCGATTCAGGTAAGCTAACAAACCAATGTTGTGCACGCTTTGCGGAATGGGGCATCATGCCAAAAGCCCCTTTTATTTTTTGATGTGTCCTTATAGGCTTTTAAGCGTCATGTGAATGAGATGATGTTAGAGTGCATCTGACTAGGCTGGTTAGTACACTGTTGAGATTGGAACAAACAGCGCTAGACATGGGACAGTGATAGAAGGACAGATAAGGCACTGGTGTCTGTCGTTCTGTTGATGACGAGTAGCTCAGGATCTGTAGTGAAGTCAGCACCAAGCACATTTATATGAGGCATTTAGCATTTGTCTTCAAAAAATTGTGTGGTATAAGAGGATGTAAGCATGCCACATGTGTAATAACTCCAGCAAGGTTGATTAGCTGCTATGAATGACAAATATACTTCTCATCGGTCGCAATACTTGCACATTAACTGGGGTAGCAATTGTCATCTTTCCCATTAGCTCTGCAATTCTTTCAGGGAGCGGCCATGTACCTGAGGGCGGGAGTCACCACAGGTGGCCACACCTACAACCACCTCACAGGCTCGCTCTTTGACCCTCTCGCACCCGAGAACTCTGGCCAAGTTCGGGAGCCCGAGCCTGGTCTGGATGTGCACGTAGAACGGCTCACCGAGCTGGCCATGGCCGAGCGTTTCCCTGCGCTGTGCATGGACTACCTGTATGAGCTGCAAATTCCTGAGGACTGGGACGGTAAGGCCTCTCACAGTCCTTTTGTTTCACATTACCACAAGAATTAGGTTTTAACTGCTGTATTAGTGTCACACACTGGGGCCAGAATCCTTCTTTCATCAGTGTCTTTCTGTTATTATCCACTGTTGTATGCAGCACCTTGCCTTCACATCACATAGTTCACATGTGAGTGTAATGTGACCATACCTCCAGAGAGGAAGGGCTTAACCTGTTGAATCAATTACTTTTTTGTAGATAAAAATGTTATTGTACTACTGTTTGCTCACATTGTGCAGGCAGTAGTTGTCCTAGTTTCTCTTTAATAAATGGTGAAAATGCTGTTCGCTACCTTGTGTGTGCTTAAATTGATGTCTGTATTTGGTCAAGAATGCAATTAAAATTAATCTGGTTAGTAACACGAGTATGAAGAAATGACACGGCCTAACCAAGTCGAGGTAGAAACTCGGAGAGGCGTTTCAGCGACCGTGTCAATATCTTAAGTGCAGTAAAGCGGGCAAGAGTTCCTTATCGTTTGTCAAGCCAAGACATGATCTTGTGAACGGGCATAGTTGTCTTAATATTGTCTATTCTCTCCATTTCTTCAGATTCAAATGAAGCTGAGGAGCCCTGTACAGTGGCATTTCTGGAGAGCTCTAATTGGGTAGAGCGGTCCCTCTGTCGCTCTGTGATTGGTCCTCTCGTCATTGACATCACGAGTGGAACAGTACATCGCCTTGAATGGATGTTGGACTGTATCACGAATGGCCCTCCGAGGCCAACCTATGGACAAGAGGAGATCGGTATGCCTGTGTTTTTGTGCAACAATGTGTTGGTCATTTCTTAATTCGATGAAACAGAGCGGGTAGTTCTTACTGTGCTTCTCTTAAGAATGTTTGTAGAACCAAGAGGGTTGGTAGTATTGGTATCTGCTTACAATGCGGGCAGGTGAAGCCTCCCTTTTCTTTTTTACTTTTTGCAGATGTGGCTAGTCAGAAATTCTAATTGAGAGCTAAAAAGATGCTTCGTCGGGGGAATTTGTTAAGAACACGGAATAATATTAGGTCTTTTGAACAAAAATCTCGTTTTGTGTCAGCAGCTGTTGTCTTCTGCTGCACAGGAGGTGGTTGTGGAATTGGTTCACAGCAGTGGTGCTCAGTATGAACTGAGCTAGATTATAATGCGAAATTCTGCCTAGTTTTAAGTACCTAATAAAAAACTTACAGAAGACACTTTCTAATCATCCACCATCTTGCTGACCAGCTGTTTTTGGCACCAATTGTTTTTTGCCATTCTTTTGTGGGAAGCTAAAGAGTTTCATGGTTGAAGCAACATCAACATTCGCCAGAAATATATGAAGGTGATTGGATTGTTGAGACATATTTTAGTGAACTGAAATACTGAACCATCGAAGTTAGAATTAGTATCATGTGTCAAATTCAGAACTCTCACGAGATGGGTAGCTGACTTGTACAGCCTGGTTTTTCAGCGCCCTTACTGTTCCCATTGGCCATGCCAAACGAAGAGCAGCTGGAAAGGCTATGCCAGTTTGTTCCAAGCCGCACATATCGTTTGGCTGTACTGAAGCCCCGGATTAGACTCTGCCCTGCCACACACTCAACGGGAGACAGCCCACGGCAGAAGTCCGTGCTTCGTCGGGTAAGGGGTTTTCCCATTGTACTTTTAACCGAGCTACTCATAGCATCCGTAACCCTGGCTATCTGTGTATTGTTTTGCGTGGTGCTGTGGAAGTACTGCCAGTTTTCAAACACTGCCCTCACAATCAACTCTCTCTGCTGTGTGCTTGCCTGTGACTAATATAAGATCCTTTTGTTGTGCAAGCTGAAGGACTTGCAGTGTGCAAATCTGCTGGGCAGATGGCATATGTGTAATGTCACTTTCAAATAGATATTTTTGAGCATTTTTTGGATTGATTAATGTTTCCCAACTGCAGATCTTACGCCAGTGTACTGTTTTCTTTAGGGGTGTGCACTAGGATTTACCGTGTCAGCTCTTGCGACGTTTCAATGTTACATTCTCTTGTTCTTCTTTGATTTTTTTTTTCATGAGCAGAAGTACTCGCGAGACGATCCTGGCCCGCCAACTGCGCTGATCAGCTCCTGCCTGCCCCTGCTGGAACTACAGCTCGAGTGCCTCGACATTTCACTGTCAAAGCCCATGTACCCTCGGAAGATGACTGCCCTGCTGGCAGTGGACGAAGGTGCACTTCCAGACACTGTTCGGCAGCAGTGCTTCGCTCACACCCAGGCAAAGGTAACCCGGATTTCACAAGAAGTGATGCAAGAAAACGTGAATCCAGCTTTTTTATTCCCCAGAGGGTGGAGTTGTCTGGCTTGACACCTGCCAACTCTCCCGATTTGCTCGACTCGCGAAACTTTGAGCCGTCCTCTCACTTACATGGGCACTGTCATAAATCCCCAGATAAACAGCATTAGTTCCAACGCGAGAAGAAAGCAATAATAAAGACATCGGTTCTAAAATTTGCTAATTGCTTGCAGGGTGTTTAGCCACTGCAGTACGCTGATGTCATGTGGAAAAGCGCATTAAGATTGGCCGGGGTTTATAACCGACGCAGCTCACAGTAGACATTGTCCCTTGTTTGTGCACGCTAGCACACATGCCGGATAATCTCAAGTGCAGATATTATTACATATGTTTGCGAACTTACTAGCGATCAGTTGGTCCTTAATATCCCGAACTTTGAGGTCTCAGCGTTGGCGGGTTTTTCGTAAAAAACCAAAATGACAATGTTTTAAGCTGTATAGTTTATTTTATACTTATTTTCTGTGCCCCAGAGTAAAGTGCCATGGCTATCCTTTGTCAATCATTGTTATATGTTAACTATAGATATTTGTATAGAGAATGCTTATTCTTGTGTATGTACATTGTTTATTTTTCCATTCCCTGTTATAGCACAAATGAGGCTGACAGAACAATAAAATAAAATGAATGTCACCTGGAGATGATGATGATTATGGCGTCACAAATGCTTCTAATCAGTAGTAGTTAGTTGTAGCAGTAGTAATAGTGGTAGTGTTGTTGTAGTAGTACATTAGCAGTAGTGGTAGTTGCAGCACAAGCACATAAGCCAGTGTTACTCTCGAAAATAACAGTGACTGAACCCTATCAGGTGAATTGGTACAGGTTGTTCTGAGGATCGCTCATGAGAGTTTTCCAGTGCGTCATAGCTTAGTAACTGAACTGCCCTAATCACATGATTAAGCTGGTTCTCATTTTTGCTGGCAAACGGCATGAGTGACTACCAGGGGTCATCATTACAGTCCAGAGGAACACAAGACGCATTTTCGATGTGAAGCGTTCTATTGAAACTAAACTGGGATTTGATAAACCGCAAAAGAAAAAAAAATTGGCCCAAATCTACATTACATTGTAAATGTCGTCGAAAGACGATAGTATTGCGCCTAGAGAGAGTGAACAAAACGTTTATTTGATGTTCTGCGCAAGAAAATCGGTGAATGGTATTCTGCAGGCGCTGTGTGTGGCGTAGGCGAACGAGCGCATCTAGGCACGTTAGACACAAGTGCCATCTGGCAGTTATCTTCGAAAACAAAGGCGTGCAGCCCGCGGAGAAAGATGCGCGCCAGTCTGGGAGGTAATAAGGTGTAGAACGCAAAGCGACAGGCAGGTGCCACCACCAGGCCGTCGTAGCAAAGGGTTGGAAACGCCTTTTTGAGCATCGCGTTGCACTGTCAGCGCAGTGCGATTAAACGCTACATTCCTTAGAGTTACTTGTGTGTGCCTCTTCTAGTATAAAGGCAGACATAGATGGATGGATGGAAAAACTTTATTTCGTCAGAAAGCAACTGAGGATGATTCCGTGTTAGATGGCCATCAACCCATGGTTGGCGGCGACCTGTGTGGCCCACTCCACGACCCTTAACTGGACGACTGGGTCCGAGCTGGTCAACACGGCCTCCCAGTGCTCAAGAGAGGGATCACGCATAATATCCACCGGCGGCGGCACTATGCTACATTCCCAAAGTATGTGATCATATGTTGCCACAGCCTGACACCATTTGCATTGCGGCTTAATCTCCTCCGGGTACATTTTGTTCAACACGTAAGGGTTGGGAAAAGATCGCGTCTGCAGTTTTCTCCAGACGCATTCCTGCGCCTTAGTCAACCGCTTGTGCGGGGGCGGATAAAACCTCCGCTCTAGTTTATAATGATTCGTTATGTCATGAAAGGACACCTCACCTGAATGCTCGAGGTTTCGTCAGCCGGGTAGGTGAGCCGCCAGTTCCGGGGAGGTCCGCGAGAGATGGGCAGACATAGAAAACATCGAAGCATTGTTGTGGCGCCTCAGATATGTGCTGTAATTGCTTTTTAATTGACAATCGCACAACTATGAACGCTAAACCTTGAGCAATATTGGTGGGCGCTGCGGATGGGGTTGGCCGTTTGGTGCCGTTTGAGGTATCGTTAGGGCGGACAAACAGACAAATGTACAGATAGACAGACAATCCAAAATTTTTTTCATTGAAGGTCTTTAAAAAAATATGAGCCACAACTATGAAAACATCTGTAGTGCTGTAATGCTGAGTATGAAAACTGTCATATGTAACTGTAATCATTATAAAATATACAGTGGGTCAATAATTAATAAAGAAAAATGCAGCTTGTGTGAAGCCTATTGTGTTTACCTTGCAAACCAGCACCGACTAATTTTGTCCATGTGCTCTTGTGACAGTGTAATAAGATGATGCATGAGTACTATATTTTTAACATTGAGAGCTACATTAATTACTACATTATTTACTTTGCACACTACGATAGTTCTTGATAGAAGCTCCTGAAAAAAAAAAAGTCATTTTATTTTCTTCTTCAGCTTTGGGGCCTGACAGTGGATCTAGCAGCCGCGTCAAACAAAGCATCGGCTCGTCCACCGGCTCGGGCAGTGCTTTTGGATCCAGCCTGGGCTACGATGACCATGCACTCTGTCGTATGTCCCGTAGTCCTGGCTCACGGACCGAGCAGCCTGGCACGCTCATGGAGCACGGTGGAAGTGGGCCCGTTGCATGTTTTGGCAAGTAAGCAGCGAGCCATGGCTGCCTTGGGGGTGCTGCTGTCCTGGCATTCGGGACCTGCGGTCACCACTACGCTGGGAGCCTCTTCACTCCTTGGCAACCTTGTTCATGAAGGTGAGCTGAAACATACAGTTGAGACAGAGTCGAGGAGCAAGGGAGCATGGTTGGGGGTGTGGGGGGGGGGGGGGGCGAACATAAATCGTGTCTTTTTGTATTGTTGAACAACGTCTGGAAAGGAAAGTTTATTTGATGTATTTGATCTTTTGTTCATTCTTTATGTTATATCAAGCACGAGGCACACTGTCATTAGTGAGTTCTGCACGGTTAGGACCTGGTCGCAAGGCTACTTTTCTTTTTATCTTTCTTGGCTGATGACATCCAACTGCTGAGCTGAAAGTCGCAAGATTAAATCCCGACCATGGTGGCCACACTTAAATCGACGTGGAATACTAGAAACTTAAATTTCTGGAGCCCTGCGCTATGTCATCTTTCATAACTGTATCGTGGTCTCAGGGTGTAAAATTCCAATAATCATCGCTGATCACATCCGTTTGTTGTCCGATCAACTGAAAAAAAAATTATAATGCAAATATACATATTTTGTGTGCAGTTCTTTTGGTGGAATTAGGTACTCTGTGACATGAAAAAGCTGTGAACAGAAGTAATTTAATCAAATAGGGGCACCTTATTTTGTACTCTGTTGATTATTTTTTTATCAGTGTGTCATGATAATTTTGAAGAGCGTGACTGAATTTGGATAGAAGAACGTGCACAAACACACGGTATATGTGTGTGTGCTCTGTCCACTTTCAATCGCGCTGTTCAAAAGTATTAGTGTCAACCAACTACTCCGCCAACACACGTTAACCACTTCTCAGTATGTACGCAGTAGACTGGAATCGTAAATGCTTCCGAGGCATCACATTCTGCCAAAGCTTCACGTTCTGTTTGGTCCTATTGGACATTAAAAAAAAAAAAGAAATGAAGGCCTTAAGTACTTTACAAAAGGGTGCATTGCAATGGTGACACTGTAAATGTGCACACTTCTCAAGAAGTGCGCACATTTACAGTGTCCCTATTGCATTGCATCCTTCTCATTTGTAGACTGCTAGTGCCATGGTGAATGATAGTTGTATTTAATTATGCATTGTTCCTAGTAACTGTGTCAGGTCGATTTCATGAGTGCTACAAGAAATCCTGAGTAATACAACAAGAGAGAATTAGTTATCTAGCAGCATGTTTATACTGCAAGCCTTTGACATCAAAGTGATGTGCATCGAAGTGTGTGCATGTTTATGACACATTACTGTGTCGAAAATTTTTTAAAAATTGGTGCTCTGAGAGTTTAGGAAAGCAAGCAAAAGCACTTGTGCTCTTGTTTTTACTAACAGCTGTAAGAAATCGTGTGCGACTATGGCGGCCCTTGAAACTTGCAAACACCCATTTTTTGTGTGTGTAACTGACAAATCCCTAGAATTAAGCAACTGACTGTAGCATCTGCATGTGTATCTGCTTCCTTCTTATTCACTCGATGTCGTGTTGCGTGGCTGAGACGTCGTGTGTTTCTGTCTCCTTGCAGGAAGTTCAACGCTCGAGTTAGACATTGGCGGCCTCTCCTGGAGCTTTTCAGAAGACACCCAAGCGTGCACACATTCAGCCAGCATGGTGTCACTCTCCCTTGTTCTGAATGACAAAGGTAGATGTCGCAAAGGCATTGTATTCTTTCACTTTGTGCTTTGCATTCTGTGAGTTAGTGATAGTGGACATGGCAGTAGGTGGCCATGTAGCCCAGAGCAAGAGTAAGAGCACATCTCCAACACTAAGCTGTCATTGGCTGTGGAGGAAACCGTACTGACTTTAAGCGAGACATTCTCATTTGGGTACATTCTGACATTTCTCTCCATCATGCTCGAGGTGCTGTCGAACATGAAAATTGTAGGTGTGGTAGCATTGTGTTTCCGCTTCACTCGCTCGTTGCGCTGTAAGAAGCATTGCATGGAAGAGTCCTGGTACATTGCATGCATTATAAAAAAAGCATTGAAGTCGCACAAGGGGATTTGAGAAAATTGTGTGCAGCGATTGGCATAGCTCTTGTATGAGAGGCATAGATTAAAATTCAACTTACTGGGAACCTACTGGGCGTAGACTTTACTTGGCAGGGTCAAATGAGCATCATCTAGACTTCAGAGCACTGCCCCAAAGCCTTTTCTATGCCTAAGGCTTAAATAGTGATGGTAAGAGATTCACTAAGAGTTGGCTTGTGAAGTCTGGCTGCATGAGCTAACACTCCTTTCTTGTATCTTTCTTTGCTCTGTGGAATTGGCTCTGCTGTTAATGTTTATCAATGGTGATGGTTTGAAAAGGTGTAAATCTTTTTCATGGAGGAGGCAGAATAGAAAGTGTTTAATTGGCAATCTTAGGTGCTTTCTGCTGGGGAAATTACAATTTGTATCCGTTGTTGTAATTCGTGGTGGTGACTCATGGCGACCGACCGACCGTTTCAACCCTTTGATTAGTCGACAAAAGCTATTTATATTAGGCTTTCTTGTTTAAGTAATCTTTGCAATAACAAGGCAGTGTCAAGGTGTTCAGCTCAGCGGATCATGCATTCAGAGGCATACAGTTTTTGTTATTGATAGGATGAGCAGTATTGAATGACTTAGCCTTTTATTTATCAAATGGCTTTCTTTTCTTTAAATTATTGCTTTATTGTGCCTCGTTTCAGACAAGAGCATCGGTATAGTTCGTGCACCAGAAAACACGACACAGGTGCCTCAGTTCACGAGGCACGAAGGGGACGTGGAGCGAGAGCCGAGTCGGGTCGAAGAGTCCTGGATTCGTGCTACGGCCAGAGTGCCACTGAACTGGAGTTTAAATGCGGGTAGGGCGTGCTGATACCGTTAAATTTATTTTTGTCTAGTTACAGTGGCTTAGTATAGCTATGGCACTGTGTTGCTCAAAGGACGAAGGTTTGACTCCCTATCACTACACTTGCAGTCTGGTGAGAATTCAATGCAAGATTTATGTACCACACCTTGGGCACATTTCAAAAAATTGCAAGGGTGCAAAATTGATCTGGAAGGCTCTCACATAGTACCTATGTCGCTTTGGTATGTTAAATCTAGTCACTCACTTGATCATTCGATCAACCAACAAACCTAATTTTCTTTTCTGTTGCCTTTTTCTTCACAACTATGTAACTAATCTAGCAAATTTTATAGGATTTGTATAAGACTTGCTTGGTTGAGAGAAAGAAGGGGCATTTAAGGGCTCATCCTTCTTTGTTAGGCACAATGTTAATTAATGTGAACTAACAGAGCCAAGGAAAGTGTGGAGGAAAGGAAAGCCAAGGAAAGTGTGGAGGATGTTATGTGTATTGATTGCGATCTTGGTGTGAAGAAGTTAAAGTGAACAAAAAGATAACTTGCCGTCAGCGGGGACCAAGCCTACAACCTTTGAAAAACACATCTGATGCTCTACCAGCTGAGCTACTGTGGCAGTCATCCTCTCATAAATTTTATCAGATATATCTGTGCATTTATAAACCAGGGAGTGTTAGTCAGCACCACTATAGTCATGATGGCGAGTGTGAAATGCCCCTTTTTTTCTGCCTGCTGGCATCACGTGCCTACGGGTAGTATGCGACAAATCGGCTACCATCTCGTAAAAAAAGCGCGTACTGTATGACTATTTAGCATCTGCTCTAACGTTATCATGTTTAAAACAACTAGGCACCCTATTCATGTCTCTAGCTTAATTTTGACAAGGCTGCATGTCACGCCCATGCACAGAACAACGGACTCCGTAGTCACTACATTTGTTAGCGACATCTTCGCATATCGGTAGCCTGTCATAGCTTCACGTGACCAACTACCTGGCCTATGCCGCTTGGGCGTAAAGCCCCCCGTGGGGCGACTCGGGAGGCTCCGTGTCCGGGCTACCCTCAGACTGCCCTCATGCGTTTTTCACATCCGTAGGTGTGGGTTGGTAGCAAAAACAATGCCATATTAGCGTTCGGGTGTCCCCCCTCCCCCCGCATTACAATTTGAAATATCGAAGGACCAAAAGACCCTTTACTGACTTTACAAATTTCAAATTAACTTGTTCTGATTAATTTGTGCTGTTTCTCATTCTGTACACGTATTGCTTACTCTGGGGCAGCTGAAGCCACTGGCTACGTGGTGCTCAAAGTCAAGGGTGTTGCTGTCGTCATGGATCCCGCCCTGGTGACCTGGCTGGCCCCATTGCCTTTGATTTTCCCGATGGGTGGCGACATCCACGTGGCAGGTCCCGGGGCCATGCCGTTTTCGCCAACGGCCAGCGATGATGGCATGCCAACATTTTCGGACGAGAAATCACGAGACGTGCCGCAGGGTCAGTGCTACCATCCCGTTATTAACGACCATGCAGCTGCTACACTTTCTCCTTTATAGTCTCTTTTGCCTGTTTGCATTGCACTTTTGTGCTGTGTATGTGCATGCTGTGGCAGTAGCGAACATCAAGTTGTCCTTCATTATTAACATTTTGAAACTCTGTTGCCACTGAAAGTGCAACACCAAACACATTGCACGAGACGAAATCAGGTGATGGGGCATAATAGGTAAACAGTCTAATGAGAACGGATGGGTAGCACTTGCTTGGCAACCGCATGCTACCAGACGAACAGGCCTGATGACTTATGTAGATAAATCATCTGACCACTTTTACCCTGATGACGTCACACGCGTGGTTTTGTTGGACTCATGTGTTTAAAAAAAAAAAGGCTTAGGAAGCTAGGAATGTTTTGAAAAATTTGTGGACTTTAATGAGGCACTTGGAGCTGCCATACTTAGAAAATTTATGACATGACATTTCATATGAGAATATGTACTTATGTCATATGAAATATGTACCCAATGTTAGCAGTGGTTTATAGGCCCTTTATTTGACACAGTGATTTATATTGAAGCACAATATCAGATGAAACATTTCACTAGTTTACTAGCAGAGTTACGAGGGTTTGTTTGCAGGCATATTAATGCTGTATTTTATGCTTATTATCTACATTTTTGCGAGATTCTTGTGGTTTTAAAGTGCTGGCACAATAATATTACACCTTGTTTCTTCTGTGGCAACAAGTTTTAAAATAGACTTATCATCGCTGGAAACCTTGTTTGCTCAAGCAAGCGATGGGTAATTACCGTATTTACACGATTGTAAGACGACCCTTTTTTTCAAATTTGACAATCCAATGTTGGGGGGTCGTCTGAGAATCGAAATCGAACCATGTACCTTAGCATCGAAATCGAACCATGTATTGTCATCTCGAATAGTTTCCCGCTCAACCCAAAGCGCATAGTTTTCCGCGTGCTTATACAAAAGCTTTTCTTTTTTTAGCATCTACTGCGCGCATAACGAGTGCCTTTATGACGAGCGCACAACTCTTGAGGGAGCACCGGTAATCGATGGAAGAGCCGCCGTAGGGGGTATTGGTAGTTGACGGAAGAGCTCCTCTTTGTCGGGGCAGCTTCAGCCTCTCGACGTGGGGGTCAACAAGCCTTTTAAAGACCTCCTGCGCCGCGAATACAACGAGTGGATTTCGTCAGGAAGCTGCGAACTTACGCCAAGCGGGCGTGTGAGGAGAGCCTCCCTGGCTACTGTGTGCGGGTGGGTCCTCTCCGCATGGGCGGCCGTCCCACGCGATGCCGTGGTGCGGTCGTTCGCGAAGTGTGGACTCACACTTGACGACGACGTGCTGTGGGACTGCAGCAGCAATGACGGCAGCAGCACCAGCGAGGACGACTCCAGCGACGATGAATAATCCTCCGCAACCACGTGAATAAATTTCCCTTGTGTAAAATGCGCGCGTTCTTTTTTTTTTTAGAGATGCGATTTTGGGGGGGGTCGTCTTACATTCGAGTCGTCTTACAATCGTGTAAATACGGTATTTGTAGATGTTTTTACTGTTCCCATTGGCAGCTTTGGTTCACTTATGCACACGCGCATCAGTGAGTAAGAATCGTGCGAGCGAGAGCATTGAAATACAATGGCAAATGACTCAAACTCTATATGTAAGTGGTTGTTTACATTCAAGTCACGTTGACGTTGATCTCGCAGGGTGTTCTGTTTGACAAGAGCTGTTCTAGGCTACATCAGCCGTTCATATCTTGTAGATTGCTCGAGTGTGTCCCCGCGAATCGGCTTCACAAGTTGTCTTGCCTTCCGAATTTCATGTCAGTGCTCCTTTAACACATTCTCTGTGATTATTCCTCCGTAACGTAATGCCCGCTTGTGGGACCTTGGTGTAATTGAATGAATGAATGAATGAATGAATGAATGAATGAATGAATGAAATGAAAGGGATTGCTTTTTCATGGCGCAGAGGGCAGAGGATCAGCCAGTGGCAGTCAGAAGAGTACCACCACCAGTCTGGTGTCCCCTCCGGATCTGGCCGGCCCACGAAGGCTGCTTCGGACAAAGAGCGAGGTGCTAAACTCTGGCAAGACACTGGAGCAGCCCAAGGGGTTTCACAGCTGGCTGTACAGCACCTACCTGCACCTGAAGAACTTCTCTGTTCAGGTAGCGTAAACAGCCGCTAGCACACTGGTGCACTATCCGCAATCACGGACTGCACTCAAACCTCATTGTAACAAAGTTACATTTTACTCAGAAATATGTTCGTTATATTAGAAAATTTGTTATAAAGGTATATTTCTAACACTATATCTATCGTAATACTATTCTTCATTTAGTTTATTAAAGCTTGTATTTGTTATATCCGGGTTCGTTATATCGAGGTCTGAGTGTATGTGCTGCAGTGAATGGATGTGTGTCACAGTCTTGCATGTGTGTTATTGGCCAGCTGGTTCGGCATAGTCGGGGGTGCGACAGCTGCGCCGATTGCCCCAATTTGATACGATTTCCCATTTGTGCGCCAAGCTGCACAAAAACCATGAAATTCGCCAAAATGGCACCACGCTGCACCACAATGCCCGACCAGCCTCAAAATTTTCTCAGTTGCACAAGTTTCAGTAAGAAATGTAGGCCACGTTGGCCACGTGTAGTTTGAGTCGTGAATCAATCCAGGAATCTAGGTGCGTAAACCATACCGGCGAAATGTGATTGACCAGATTGAGTAGCTATGCCATGTGCCCGTTAGTCCGCTGACCGTAGCAAATCTCTATGCGTTGTCGTAGCCAGCAGCAATTCGCAGGAAATATGAATTTGCTAGCCGGCAAATGCGCTAAAGGTTGAAGCATATGGCGCTACTGCTGGGTGCGAACAAACTCGACGTGCTGTGAACGACGGCATTGCCGGCGACCACGCTAGTTGCCATAGCAATGGAACATGCGATAGAAATCCTTTGCCGTCGTCAGGCTAATGGGCGCGTACCGTTGTTACTTTAGTCAAACTCGTCTTGCAAGCGAGTCGAGAAGTTGTGCCTAATGCTTAACCGACCAGTGAAAAAAAAGGGGGGGGGGGAGGGGGTGTAGCTGTTCGAAAATTTTTTCTCCTGGAACCGCTACAGAATGCTGCTTAAGCCACCTTCGCTGCAGTACAGTAACGGTCTGCGGAAAAGCGTCATAACGATCGAAAGAGGCTGTTAGCATTATTCACAGAACACAGCACAGTTCTTTCAGTTACCCATGTGTGTGCAGGCCGCCTAACTGTAAGTACTAATATGATCACTGACGTGTAAAGAAATTACTGGCAAATATTTAGAGCACTGTATGGCATATCTGCAGCCCCCCCCCCCCCCCCACGCCCCCAAAAATCACACAAAACTGAGCACTGGTTTTTTTACTTTCTTTTTTTTTTTTTGCCACTCCTACTTCTCAGTCTTATGATTCTCCAGAATCTCGAGATTGCTAGCTTGGCAGATCCACCTTTGAGTCAACAGAGGTCGTCAAGGGATTTGACAGGTGTGGCCAATGCTAATCTAGACTTTATCATTGTTTGCTGAGGGGGACGGTTCAAAATACTATTCTTGTTGTAATAGTAGTGCTCACATTCACTATACGTGGTTTAGGGAATATTTAATGGTTTGTACATATTTTTTTAAATGCAAGCTTTCTTTATCATACTTCTTCAGGTTTTGTCTTTCGTGATAAAAAAATGAATGTTTTTTTCCCGTAACCTGTTCCAAATTTAGATTTTAGTGGTCCAAAGTAGCATTTCACTGCTCCAAAAATCACTCCGAGTTTTATTTCGGCTGTTGCACCCCTGCGTAGTGCTTTCTCTTTTGGCTTACCAGAACAGATACTGAATCACTAATACATTGCCCCTTGCAACACCTTTGCGTTTCCTGAAATGCAGAAGAGCAAGGTTCGTTTAGCATACGTGTTTCAAATGCACTATGAGCGTCAAATTAAACCCGAACAGTGGCAAGCCTTCGCGATGGTATAGTGGACGTCATCCAGATATCACCATTGACATGCCCGCATATATACCATCGCAAAGGGCTCTGTGCCATGGAAATGCAAGAAAACAACATTGCTGATTAGAGCAAGTTACTTAACAGTGATGTAAATGAACGCACAGTGAACACACTGAAAGAGGAGGGCTTTGAAGTCTCCATTCATCACGGCACTCCTCTGTCCCTAGCTCCTCGTTGCCATCTTGTGGTGCGTGCTGCAGTTGGACGGCGCTTGGGTTTAATCTCTCAAAGGTCGACCTTCCTGTCTCGTCTCTGCGCTCATTTTAGGCAGACATTGCCAACATCTGCGTGCTGTTTCCTCGGGTGCCCATGCTGCTTGCCTTTCCAAGACAGCATCGACAGCCGGGCTCGGTGGAGCCCGTACCCAGCGTGCTGTTGCAGTGGCGCCGAGTGCTGAAAGGAGGCTCTGAAGGCACTGTAGTTTGCACTCTGTTGCCGGCCGTGAACGTGGTCTCCGCCGACTCCCGGCCCAAGCAGTCGGCCGCTGGCCCGGCAGCTGAGCAACACGACGGTCCATCTGGTGAGTTTGCTCAACCCCATACGGGGTTCTTGAAATGTGTTTTTTTTTTTCAGTAGTTGGCTGAACTAAATTAAATATTGTAATACACTCAAATCTCAATATAATTAACATGGATATAATGAAATATCAGTTATAATGAAGTGGAATGAAAAATAGTCTTGCAATAGATACAGTGTTAAGAATAACCTTTGTAACTAATTTTCAGATATAACAAACTTATTTTCTTGTTAGGTGCAACTGTTTTAATAAGGTTTGACTCTAATCACTGATTCAATTTTTTCTGCAGATTCCAAATGCCTAAGTAGATTTGTGGTAACTGCATTAGAACAAAAGATGTGTGATTTATAAACAATTTAGCATATGCCTTACGGGGCTTTTCAGCAACTTAGCTTTGTTGAACACAAAAACAAAGAATGTGGAAAGATTGCTAGAAAGCTAATCTAGGCGGGGATACTTTTTATTTTTTATATTCATCAACTATAGTTTTCAAATAATTATGGTTACTGCAGCAAAACTTCTTTTACTCATATTTGCATCTGCATGTTTTGCATTTAGAGTTCGTTGTCAACAATCAAATTATCATCACTGGCTAGGCCATTTTTCTGGCAATCTTGCCACAAAATTTGCTTTTTTGTTTGAAAAATTGAAGCTCCCTTAAGAACCCAGAAAAAATAGGCTAAACACATATTTTAGAAACTGCATATTTTTTGTTTAATGCAGTTATTAAAAATCTACTTGGAAGATCTGAAATGCAGAAAAAACTGATGAAATATGTATCAAGTTTCATTCAGCATTCATTTCATTTCATTTATTTATACTGTTAGCCCAGAAGTGGGCCATTACAGGGTGGAAGTACAAACAATTATTTGCGCAAAAAAAGTACCGTACAGGTCTCGAGATAATTTCTCGGTTTTATTGTGAGCAGCAACTCGAAGTTATACATAACAAGAAATGGAACACACATGCGATGCAAAACATACGCGCAGAACAGCACATGACACATTTGAGGTGGCACTTTTGCACCGCGCTGAAGATTTGAAAGACAACTACTGCAGTCTCATGCAACCAACAAAAAGTACACACGCACGTCACTGTTATTCGGGAAATAAACGTTTTAGATTCTGTTCAAATGATGTAAGCGAGGAACAACCAATTATAGACTCTGGCAGCATATTCCAATCTTCAATAGCACGTGGAAAGTAACTGAACTCAAAGCAATCGTTACGTGGGACTAGGGGTGGTATGTACATATTATGGCGATGTCTGGAGTGTTCTTGTGTGTTGACCTGAAAGCAATCTGAATAGTTTAGTTTAAAATGATTATGAATTAACTGGAAGAGGTATTTCAGACGCTCAATCCTCGTCCTAAGTTCAAGACTATCCAGTCCAGCTTTTTTACAAAGTTCAGTAGGTGAATGATGTCGGCGATATTTATTAAAAATAAATCTCGCACCAAGTCGCTGTATTTTTGCTATTTTATTGCAGTTTGTCTTTGTGTAAGGGTCCCAGACAATTTTAGAATATTCGATAATAGGTCTGACAAGGGTTTTGTAAGCAAGACACTTTATATCAGATGGGGCGGTATAAAGGTTACGTCTAAGGCTATACAGTGCCTTGGTAGCCTAGAGCATACATTATCAATATGAGTGTTCCACCGGAGGTCGGGCGTGAACCATAACCCAAGATATTTATAGTTTTGTACACGCTTGAGGAAAGCATTGCCAATCTGGTAGTTGTAATCTAGAGGTGCTTTCTTTCTAGTTATAGTCATAAAGACTGTTTTTTCTGTGTTCAAACTCATTTGCCATTCTTCGCACCAATCCTTTATTCTTTGAAGATTGTTGTTTAGATTAACTTGGTCATGTTCAGTCTCGATTCTGCTATAAACAACACAGTCGTCGGCAAACAACCTTATCGGGACCGTAACCCGGTTTGGTAGGTCATTTATATATAACAAGAATAAAAGGGTACCCAGCACGCTCCCCTGGGGAACTCCGGAATTAACTGCAACTGCTCTAGACTGTTTATTTTTTATTTGAACAAACTGCTGACGGCAGCTGAGATAGGATGAAAACCATTTTGTCAAGTGATTATTTTGAAACGTTTTGTCAATTTTAAACAGGAGCTTTGAGTGCGACACTTTATCAAATGCCTTTGCGAAATTCAAATATACCACATCAGTTTGACCACGCAAATTGATTGTTTTTGAAAGATCATGAACAAATTCGATTAACTGTGTAGTTGTAGATATGCCTCGGCGGAAGCCATGCTGCTTCGAAAACAATAGATTGTGCGTATCAAGATAGGACATCAGGTGTTTGTTAATAATGTGCTCGAGTATCTTTGAACATGTACTAATAAGCGAAATAGGACGGTAGTTGCGCTCGTCCCGTGAGGAGCCACTTTTGTGAACAGGGGTAATTTTAGCCCGCTTCCACGCTAGTGGGAAAGAGCCACTGCGCAGGGACGACTGAAATATTTTTGTAAGGAAGCGAGCCGCCCATTCAGCGTATATGTACAGAAATTCGTTTGGTATACCATCAGGGCCGGGGATTTTTCTTGTATTTATATTAAGTAAAAGATTTAGGACACCCTCTTCGCTAATTACCACATCATCGATCGGCCGCTGCAATGATGACGTAGAAAACTCGGGCAAAATGCCATTATCATGAGTAAACACAGAAGCAAAAAAAGAATTGAAATCATCAACACGTTGTTGAGTAATTTCAGGTGGCCTCGGGGAGCTTGCTGGGGTAGTTATAAAGCGCCAAAACCTTGAGGGGGCTTCCTTCAAGTATTTCGTCAATGTCACATTGAAAAACCGATCCCTGCATTGCTTGATCAGACGTTTCAGTTCTTGTCTCATTGAAGAAATGCAAGCTGTTCCTTCAGGGGTACAATTTTTTGCACAAGATTTTTGTTTCCATTTTAGTTTTCTTTTTGTGTGAATGATTTCTCTGGTAATCCAGGGATTGGTTTTACCAATGCGTTTTCTAATCCTGGGTACATAGCTGTCTATGCACTTCCCTACAACAATTGAAAAGAAATGCCATAGCCTATCAGTGCTGCAGTTAGTGCTGTAAAGGACCTGAAATTCATCAAAGGACTTTTCAAGATAGTCCAAAATAGACACATCATCAGCCGCCATAAAATTCAATACAGTGCTAAGTGTGGGTTTACCCAAGGTGTCTGGGGACAATGCTAGGTGCGTAACTACCATTCTGTGGTCGGACAGGCCTTCTACAACTTCACAACGGCTGAGTAACGGCAATAGCTTTGGGGACACAAAAACCAAATCAAGGATAAATGACCTTGTAGTCCCTATCCGAGTAAATTCAGTGACACTTTGCGTTAGCCCGTAGCAGAATGCCAGCTCCAGTAGTTGCTCAGCACTTGCAACCTGTTCCGATCCAGGAGACTGGGATAGCCAATTAATATCCGGAAGATTGAAGTCCCCTAATAATAATACGTTATCTTGGAGGCTAAAATTAGAATCCATAAAATTTCTTAGCTTTGCGATTATATCCAGAGAGGAATTCGGCACTCTATAAATCCCTCCAATATACACAGTTCGCTCGCTGAACCCACACCTAATCCACGACATTTCTATGTCACAGTTATCATCCAACACTGAAAACCTAATGTTGTCTTTAATAAGAAACGCAACACCACCACCTCTTCCTTGCCGGTCTTTTCTAACAATTATGTAACCTGTAGGTGTTACTTCGAAATCTGCTACATCCTTATGTAACCAAGTCTCTGTTACGACCATTATATCTGGTTCATGCTCCAGGATTGCGGCTTCAACTGCATCAGCTTTATTCAGCAAACTTCTGGCGTTTACATTAATAACCTTAACAGATGCTGTTGGTCTCGATTTGCGTCAGTCAGAGCTGGTGAGACCTGGGCTAGCATACCTGAATCGCTCGTTGGTAGCCTCATTCCAGCCATAGAGAACGTTGTTTACTTTCAGTTTATCGATGATTAGTTTAACCTTTGCTCCCTTTGCTCTTTCATCCGCTGATGAAATCCATAGTTGTTTTCTGATTTCAACTACTCGTTTAGAGTAATCTTCGCTGATACTGAATTGGGTCCCCTTGAGGTTGCGGCAGTTTTTCAGTATTTTGGTTTTGTCCCTGAAGTCTCCTACTTTCAAGATGACCGGACGGCTTCTTTCAGGTATTTTCTTTCCTAGACGGTGAATTCTCTCAATGGAGCTACACTTTGAGCCAAGTAATTTGTCAAAGATATCGTCATTCACCTTACTTAAGAGTACTGCCTCATCCTCAGATTCTTCTTCTTCCACTCCGCGTACAACAAGGTTGTTGCGTCTAGAACGATTATCTAAGCCATCGAGCTGCCTGGCAAGAGCCGTCAATTCACTGTCATGGCGACCAACACTTGATTCTATCATTGTAAGCCGGTTCTGTGTTTCACCCAACCCTTCAAGTTGTTTTTCAATAGTCTGGAGCCTAACATGCATGTCGGAAATGCTGGCATCTGTAGATGTCTGCTTGGCCTGAATTTTATTAACTTTTGCTAGTAGTTTACTCTGGTTACTTAATATTTCCTCCAGCATTTTTTCAACCTCGGGCCCAGGATTTTCCTCTACGTCACCGGACAACTTCAGTAACAGGCTTACAACTGAAACACAGTCATTTAAGCAACCAAGAACAGTGTGTGGACACGGCAGCACAATCAGACAGGTACAGTTACTACGAAAACCATACTTTCGATCACCAACCTGCACAAGTAGAGGCACGTAAGGCGACATCGTCACGGCGGGGCTGCCGTGTCCACAGAAGGTCGAGACCATGGCCCTTGCTTTTATATGCTCCGGGCAGCTTGCTATCGGGGAGGCGGAGGACGTCATTGTGCTCCACGGGTGTGCGCAGTCGACACAGTCCACGTGGCACAGCATCGCTGACGCCACTGGCGATGATCTGGTTGCGCAGTGGTTGAGTTCCTTCGAGGGCTGGTGCGCATTCTTCATCGGGGTCCATTGGTAGTGTTGTCCAGCGATAACATGGGCCGCTGCTGCGTCCGCGAAGAACCTCGCCAAAACCTGCACAAGTAGAGGCACGTAAGGCGACATCGTCACGGCGGTGCTGCCGTGTCCACTCCCAAATAATAAAAATTTTAAGACTTACATTTCTCCTAATTCTTCAGATGTTTAGTAACAAACAGTTCTGTTAGAAAAAATAGAGGAGTTCGCTTTCTGGGCCACTTCGTCAATGTCTACTACACCAAAACATAACATCAAAACAACTGTATAATAAAAAAAAAACTTCACAGAAGAAACTCACAAAGAAACTATTTCCAGTCCCTAACTGTTTTTAATGCCGAATTATTTTGGCAAAAGCCTTGTCTGGGATTCGACATTGTGTTTTGGGATGGAATTCGGTGCAGTGTTTGGGGTTAAAATAGAAAATTTTCAAATCGTTTGTTTACAGGGACGCTTTTTTGTGAAAAATTGTGTTGACTTTGTAGCTTCATGCTATATTTGAATAAATAACAAATTTTCCTTTCATGAACTATTTGTTGAATACGTCATTTTGTAAGTCACTTGCACCAATGGATCCTTTAGCAATGTCTGTAGGAAACTTTATATTGTAGTAAGACTTATAGTCTTAAACTTTATAGTCTGAACCATTTTTGCAATAATTACGGGGTTTATCTTGTGAAATTTATCTTGGTATACACTCGTGTCAGAGCCGCACTTTTTTTTTTTCGCATTTTTTATGCGGCTTGGCCCATTCACGGAAGTGAAATTTTGTTCAGTTTTTGATCCATGTATAGAAATAGCTATTTAATTGTGCCATATGTACTATATGTACAATGGGATATCTGGCGTCTAGCTGTGGATATCCTTGCTAAATATTGCTGCTCAAGCTCGGCTCATCACCGTTGCTTGGATCATCCACACGCTTATGTATCTAATCGTCCTCAGTGCTTTCCATGGCATTCGAAATCCCAGTGATCTTAAAACTCTTTACAATAATGTCCATGCACACCGCATGCTACGCATTTAAGATTCAAGAGCAGACCAGCCCTGCTTAGTCGCAACGACACTGCTGTTTTCTTGCAAGATTTTTTATGTTTATTTTTTTCCTAAACTTGGACTGCCAAGTTCGGGGAGCAGCTTTTAGGTGAGTGTATACAGTATACTTTACAAGACGCTGCTGTATAACGTTTTCTGGGCATTCGCCAAGAATCCTATGAAACTTAGCAGGATTTCATCATGGTGCTATTGTTTGCATACTCAAGCTTTCCTGCTTTTTGTTTCTATCTTTAGGGGAGAGGTTTCCGTGGTGTGTGAAACTGAGTTCGTGGGCGGCCTTTGAAGCTTGCAGCCAGCACGTGCGCCACATGCTTAAGCCGTCCTCCCTGTCGTGCACGGTGGCACTGACCTCCTCCAGCCACAACCCCGAACCGCAGCCAAGGCTGCCTCAGCTGGGTCTCTGCATTCACGTTGACGTCGAGCCTTTCCATCTCAGCATTTCCAAGAAGCAGGTGCAGTACATTTGTGCAGAAGTGGCATCAGAACAGGATGTCTTGTTTTAATTATATATATTTCATTAATTTTCATCGGAAGGTGCCTACAATGCAGTACACGATCAAGAGGCATCCATATTTATTATCATACAAACTAGCCTAATTAACAAGACTAATGTGATCTGTTATTCATTTTTTAAAGTCTTCATATGACATTGCCTTTATTACCAACCATATGTTCCTCTTACATGGTGCTGTACTGCACATGCATGTGCATATATTTACCAAAAAGCTTTGCACTTTTTTCTGCTTTGCTCTTGCTCGAATTTCACAGAAATATCACGTTTTATGCTCTTTATAATTTTAATGTAACATTTTGCTTAGATACTTAGCCTAAATTTTATAGAAGAAAGCACTGCAAACTTGCCTTCATTAGTGGGAAAACTGCTCGCTGCCAAGAGGGTGCGTGCAGTGCAGTAGACTGCTTTCAACAATGGCATGTTTGCATTTCAGTTGTCAAAATTAGGTCTTGAGACAAACTCGCTTCACTCGTTCAGAGCATCGCATTTCATCTTGAAGCATCTAGAAGCGCACTTGCCTTTAAAGTAGAATCATAGTGAATATTCAACAGAATTTCTGTGGTGCGACTTCTTTGATTGCTTCCAGAGCAGCTGAACATTTGGCTTAGTCAGGCTTTCACTGGCTGCAATACCGAGAAGGCGTCTCATAGTTGCTGTTGCGGTGGAAGTGAAGGACAATTTTCTGTGTGTTTTGGTGCCCTGTCATTACTTGCCCGGCAAAGCACTTTTCATCGGTGAGCCATGTGAAGGCAAACAAGCGTTCAGGAAGCGATACATTCACACAACCTTACTCCCCATCCAATCTGCCAGTAATGATGACCCTTAGTGCTCGTCTTATAACCTTGACCTTTTTTACCCTTCTAATTAATGCTCATCATTCTTGTTCCTCCAGCTTAACGAAATCAGGCAAGTTTTGCTGTTCCTGGCGGCAATACACACGAACGCTTTAAACACAATGGCCTGGTTCCACCAGTCGAGTGTTGGCATCCCCGAGCCGATGGGCCTGAGGCCCATTCACCGGCAGACCTCTGCACCAAAGGGCTTCGGCAGGAGCCTAAGCCTAAGCGAGTCGGGAGAGAAGAATGTTGTGACCCCCGTAGTGGCTGCCGCCAGTCCGGCAACCAAGACCGCCCTCGAGGTGCCTGCCCTGACGTTCTGGTTCCAGTGGACACTTCCCAAGGTTGGGGTCAACCTCTTTGGCAAGAGCGGAGAGGGGCCATTGGCGAAACGTGAGTTGCAGGAGAGTTGATGAGCGGGCTAGTTGGATAGATTCATTGTGACAACTTTGGGTGCTTTCTTACTTTGTCCCGTTTGTTTGCACTGCCTAGTTGTCACAATGGAAACATGAATGCACTGTATTGAACAAAAGAAGGGGAACATAACAACAATGGGTGGGAGAGTTCTTTTGTTAGACAGAATGACATGAAGCCGAGGAATACAGTATACTGTAGTCCTCGGCGACACTGCTGGCGCCGCGGTAATGATGATGGTGATCCCACGTGAGCATAGCGCCACCTCCAGCTTGGCAGTTGTTAAACGTAAATGCGGCTTCTCCGCGAGACGCGTGCATGTCATGAGGCGCGAATAATTTTGCAGGGGGTGACAGCATTCCCACACATTGTGCGTGTGATCAGTCATGCTACAGCAGCAGCTATTTTAATGCATTTTGGCTCTTTTCTTAAAAGGAAACATGGTAGGGCAGAGCAACCAGAAAATGTTTTTTTTTCGTAACTAAAAAATAACACACTCTCTGAAGAGCAAAATCGTGCATTGGTGAGTTCATAGAAGCGCTTAAAGCCATCTAGAAATGGTGCCATAAACCAGGCGTCCTGACGGATGCAAGGGCTTGTTTACTTGTTTCCCATGGTCGCTTCTGCACATATGCATTTTTTTTATAATAAATATGTCTAGATTAGTTAAATTTACTAACTTCCTAGCACTTTGCTCACTTCTTATTGTAAATTTTTTTCAGCTGTAATGCTTTTGTGCTGAAGTTATTGGTTCATGTTGCGTTTTCTGCGTGTGTTTTCAAATATAAAGGCTTATTTTTCTCAGGATCAGTTTCTGAAAGTTTTCAAAACTTGATGCACTTTTTCTGGAAAACTATCTGGCCGTTTGCGCAGAAATTTTTTTTATATTATTATCGAACATCTTCCAAATAGTCTGAATCTAAATCTTTGAAAAAGTGTGTGTTAAAACTTAAAAAGAATTATTAATTGGAAAATCTTTCTTATGGGCACGTAGCATGTAAGGACAATATATATATATTTTTTTTGCGGGATAAGTGTAGGAACTTGTTTTTAGAGCTAGTTGTTAATGCCACTACCGTCATACTGTTTTCCATTTCTGAGAAAAGTTACATTTAATTTTACATCCGCACATAAAATTTTGTACTCAAGTACAAATGAGTAACAAAACCTACCAGGTCTAAGTTGCATAAAGTGAAAGACATAAGCATTTTTATTTAGCACACGAAATTTCACAATAAAATATGAAAAGTTTCCGTAGATGTAAAACTGAAATGAAGATTAATGTTTCTCTACGGTACCCCTTTAAAATAAAAGAAAGGGTGGAAAGGAAGAGGAATTAAAATTTAAATGAGTGTCTGCCTGTGTTAGTGTAGCTCTCTGTAAACTGGCCTGTACATTATTAGTATTACGTGCACGATTATACCATCGATGTCGCTGTTCCAATACCCAGGAAATTCTTCATTGTGCATGCTATTTAAAATTGTATGCGTCATTCACACGCACTTGTGAGCAAAAAGCATTTTGAGGGAGTTGTTTCTTGCTACAAAGATATTTTTACATCACAAGTTCTGTTATTTTGCATTCGCAGTGACTGTTGACATTTACCTCCAGTTTCTAAGTGTCATATTTTTTGTGGTGCTTCTTCTAGATGTCTGGCTTCAGTTCGAAGCCGAGGACGTGACCGCGTCTCTGGACGTCCAGGAGGTATACTCGAAAGTAAAGCTAAAGATGTCTTCCTTCAACATCAGTTGCTTCCAAAAAAGGTAGGTGCCCAGATTCTTTTTGTGTGCCTCCTTACTCTGTACGTTTTCTATGGGGATTTTTCAATCAGTTGTCCTCTCAAACTTTTTTTTTCTCTAGGTCAGTGAAGTACCCAAAGACTAACAATAACTTAATCAACAAAAGAATGGATTTGTACTATGTAAAAATAGTGTGATACTGTTCTCTCCTTTAGTGATTTCCAGTTTGGAGGGGCAAGCACAATACTGCGGTAGCTTTTTGGTTGTCGCTTTGTTACAGTTATAGATCTCTAAGGACTGAAAAATTCCTTTCACAATTTTACAGACTTCCCAAATTAAAAAAATAATTCTGGTATGGTCATTGTTTTATTAAATTATGTTTGAGCTGTATGTGTATTTTTTGTAGCCATGGGCTGTACTGCCAAGAGCTTGAGCTTCTAAGCGGTTGGAGAAATAAAATTCTATATTAATGTGAAAGCATGTAAATTGATTTCAAGGTACAAAAATACATATACGGCATGTTCCGTTCAGGCATGCAATATGATACACTGTGTTGTGCAATCACGTCAAATTCGCATGGCATGATTCCAAGGCACACAGTACTACATTAAAAAAGAAAATGAAGGAATGTTTTGTTTTTTGTAAGATTTGGTAATTAATATTAATTAGCATATAATTAAATGTTTAAATATTTTGCAATCATTAGGCTTCAGTCCTTGCATAAACAAAATCAGATATTAGGCCAGAAATACATGCATAACTTGCTTTTTAGTTGCATTCATTTCAAGCTAAGGAAAAAATCTTAGTGTGGGTCCTGTAACTTGGCTTGTTGAATGTAATAGCGTCTCCATTAAAGTGATCTCCTGCAGTAATATACAGCGCAACGAAATTTAATGACATTTAGTTGCCTACTCAGAAAGCGTGCCCGAATGTGCACACTGCATTTCGAGCCATTTAAAGACACCTGCGGTGCGTAATTCACCCCTTTAGTTAATGTGGTCAATTGCACAAGCCGCTGCGGAAGGGGATATCCTAATGTTGCTTCATTACACTTGGTAAGGAAGAGCTATACTGAGATCAGAAATAGCATACAAGTTCTATAGCTGACAAACATTGTGTAAAACTATTTGCTTGCAGCACAATGCAGAGTTGGGCGAGTTGGGGTGCCTTATGATGTCAAAAGGTACAAAAAAACTGGCTATGCAGAATAGTGTTATCCTGTGTTTTCAGTTCTGTGTAGTCATTTTTCGTGCGCCTTTACACATAGTTTTTATTGCTTCCTTTACATTTATCTAGCATCTTAGCTGTACTTTCTGCATGCAGTAATGTAGAATCTTATTATGTAGGTCATGTAATGATTGTGATGTATTTTTATATGCGAAGCAGCTCTTTGACTAGCCTGTGTAACACTGTCCCTCCGTACCACCGCGCTGCCCTGGCTGCAGAAGGTGGGGCGGTGCCAAGTAGGTCACACCTTCCCTCGCAGTGTGCGCACATTGACGTCACTCTTCCTAGCCTGCTCGAGCAATGCTCGAGTGCACGTCGAGCGAACAGTCTTTCTGCGATGAAACCTAGAGAAAATCCCACCCACCTCCCGTGTCTTTGTGCTTCAAACAAACGTTCACTTCAGTAAACTCTACACCTTGTTTGCTTCAAACCGTTCTTCCAGCACCCGCATCGACGCCCGTTTCAACCGGGTCAACACCATGCGCACCGCTGCTGCTTCTCATTCCATTGGGGTTTCTTTCGGGGAGATGGTTCATAACTTTTTTTCTATTTCTGACTTCTAAATGTCTGCCTCTGCGTGACCATACTTGGTCTATTACTATCATGAAAATGCTGCATATTTTTCAAAGCGCTTCTCACTGAAGTCTAAGTATATTCTCACTTGTGGGTTTGTTTGTCTTCAGCCCAACTTCACCGACATCAACCTGGGAGGCTGGGCCATATGAGGGTGTCATCTTCAGCTGCACTGAGAAGCTCAACCGTCAGACTGGCACGAGCAAAATGATGGCCGCCTCGTCTCCCTTGAGCCAGCACAAGCAGGCCGACTTCTTGAACCTGACTTGGACGTCCGCTCTGTGCGCGCACGTTCGCAGAAACATCCACAAGTCAAGTGAGTCAACCTGGGCGAGTTCTCCAGAGACATGCATTCATGCTGAATAGCTGTGTTACGACAAGAAAGGACTGCTACAATGCTTACAACAGCTCACTATGAACACAACTTAATTAAGACCCATTCATACTACTCATTATCAATGGTAGTACGAGTTATTACAGCGAGCAGTGGCAGTCAACATATGATGCATAGTAATTAAGGAAAAAAGTTGAGTTAGTAGATGTTTAGTAATAATGTCACAGATCATGAATTGGGCAGGATTTCATGTTTAGGGCACGGTTTCGGCCCTCTCTGCTATACGTATGGGCATGTTTGCATGTGTGTGGAGGGTGTATAATCATCATGAGCTCTACTTTTCTCAGCAGTTAGCATACCGGATTTACTCGATTGTAACCAAACCCGGTTTCCACGACGAAAAAAAAAGACATCGATTGCAACGTGCACCCATTTTTCTCGTTGGCCTTGCACGATCACACCACTCGGGAAAACGACTCCTTTTGGGAGCGTCTTCAATATGAGGTACAGGGGAAGCTTGTGTCTATCTCACGTGCAACGGAGCATTGCCGTCACTCTAGTTTTACCATGGCCCGATGTCAGCACGCGAACTTGCTTCGCCCCTTTCTTCTCAATGGCAGTGGTGCCAGGCATGTTGAAGTAAAGAGGCATCTGATCGGCATTCCCTGAAAACTGTGAAGCTTTTTATCGTACTCCTCCGGAAACTTTTCGCATATGCCCATTTGTCTTCGGAGGGAAAAGCCTTTCCTCTTCATAAAGTTAGTTATCCAGCACCTGCTCGCTTTAAACTGGCTCTGCATTAGCCCTTTTTATAAGGCTAACAGCATAGCCTGCACTTGGAGCAGTTCTGCTGTCACGGGCCGCTGTGCCGCTCACTGCTCAATCACATACTCGGCGAGCAGCTCTTCAATTTGCGGAAACCGATCCTGCTGTTGTCCACTGAAGCCTTTATCTTTGCTGTCGACAATCTTCAGCTTTTATTTCCGCCAGTCCCGCACGCACATTTTTCGGGAACTCCGAACGACCGCGATGCAGCCCGATTTTTGTTCGTTTCGGCACACGCGATGACTTTTCTTTTAAAAGCGGCATCGTGGTGCACTCGTCGAGTTTTTGGAGTTGGTCCTTCCATGCCGTCGATGCTAATGCACTGCAAGATGACGAACTCCTCAGCACACGTACGAAGTGCCGCACATGGGAAACACATAGGCAGAAATGGCCGACGCGCCATGCCGACGCACGTAGGGGGCGGCCATTTTGGAATGCCGATGGCAATAGAATGACCGTATTCATTTTTTTTCATACTCGATTCTAACGCGCATGCGATTTATGAACTTGCTTAACCGGAAAAAAGGCGCGCGTTAGATTCGAGTAATTACGGTACATACTCATACAAACTGTCGCAGGTAATTGCAAGTGATGTCTTTATTTACAAGCATGATTTGCCTGTTGCCACACTGACCCTTGTTGTGATTTTAACAGCTTTTTGATTCTGAGAAATTGAGCAGCGTGCGGGAAATGTCTCTGCAGTCTTTTTGGCGCACAGTGCGATACTTTTCTAACGTGGTGTACTGTAGAACCATCTGAACTAGTCAATACTCTGTTCCACTATCTTTTTTTATGTATTTTCAGTCCACGCCAAACTCAATTTCGAACACAGCGAGTAACTGACCCAAGATGGTCATTTCTTAAATAAACAGACGGTTTCTGGCCTTTTATGTGCTGTTGCCAAAAGTAATTGCACTCAAGCCTCTTTATAACAAAGCTGCATCTTACACGAAAATGAGTTCGTTGCATCCTAAAATTAGTTATAAAGGTGTATTCCTAACACTGCATCTATTGCAAGACTATTTTTCATTAACTTTATTATAAATGATATTTTATTATATCTATGTTCGTTATATTGAGGTTTGAGTGCACATCCTGCTCGTCCCAGCGAGAAACACTTGAGCAAAAAGCATGACCATTTGCTCACGTGTGTCTGTATTTTTGTTTGCCATGTTCTCTTCCCAGGGAAAGAGTTCACTCCCCTGACGGAAGCCGAGAAGCAGGCCCTGAAGCCTCATTTTCTCAGCGAGGTTGATCTTAAACTGGCTCCCCTGGACGTGGTGCTGCACACGTGTGTTGCTGGCGTGGTGGCTGACATGGCTGTGCCAGTCCAGAGCCTTCTGGAGCTGTGGACACCGGCCGTCAGTGTTCCTCCAAAGGGCCAGTCCTCCAAGCCTGCAGGTTGGGACCTGAACAGTAGAGCATTGCCGCTGGTCTACGTCTCTTCGGGCACCATCCGCATTTTCCTCCCTGTGGACGACTATGGTGGATCGCAGAAGTGAGTCCTTCTTGAGTTTTACAGTGAAAGCTGTTATGAGATCGCAACAAGGATCGCGTGTGCCGTAGTTGTCCGCCGCCGCCGTCCGTAACCACTATCACACGAAATAAGAAAGAAACTAGGTAAATAAAAAACACCAAGGACACAATGGAATTTGAACCCGGGTCTTCATCGTGCCAGCCACGTCTGCTGCCGATGAGCTACACCAGTGCGTGGAACTTTTTTGCGAACTGATCCTAGACAGGCTTTATGTCGGGAAAGGAATCGCATTAATATGTGTAATAAAGGGCTTTAGGACAGCAAAGGAACAGCCAAGCATCTCATAATGTGAATTGTGTAACGAGTGGGCTGTCAAATAGTACAACGTATTACAATAGCACTAGGCATAATTCTTCATCGTCTTCACCCACAGCATCAAAAAATTACAAAAAAATTCTTTGCAAGTGTGTAGCAGGTAATACGCTTTTCCAAGGACTAAGGATGGCATTGTGAATGCCTCCCTACTACACAAAAATTATCATGACTTATGGTGTAGTGGGTATCCAGCAAGTTTACTTGTAGCAGTTGCCCAAAGAGTATAAAAAAAGAATCTGAAAGTTCATTCTTTCAGCTTTCGCTGTGACTGTACTGCGTGTTTCGCGCAGGCCTGGCAGTTCTTTAATTCAGAATGTTGCCCTCAGGGTAGATTTCTGGTCATGGTGTGACATATTCATTGTTTAGCAGGAGGGAACACACATACAAGTGCAAACTTCTAACCATCTTACAACTTATGTGAAAGAGTTGTGAAATATTGTTGAAAGTTAGTGCTTGTGTGTGTGTTCGTTCCTGTCTCGTCCCGTCAGATATAAGTTACAGTACAAATTAAAAAAGGGTGTTACATGTATACGAATGACCTTTTATTTTGAAAAGAAGTCGATTAAGAATTAGTTTCCAACCATATATTTTCAACACTGCAAGTCAAGAGGACAGCTGCAATGAAAGTCGGTTGCCCTGAGGTGCCCCTGGTGCACTACATGTAGCGTCTTGTACAATCACTGCAAGCATGCCACATTCACCGCAATAATGGGGATGGCATGAGAAGGGCAAGAGCACACGTATGTGGCTGTAGCTGTGACGTGTTGGTCAGGACGTATTGCTGCGAAGTATTAGTCGAGAAGACACAAACAAAAAAGAAAAGAAATCAAATGCACAATTCTGTGCAATTTGCGACAGAAAGATACAAAAACACAGTTTTTATAAACTTCCCTGCTCATTGAAACTTGCTTTCATACATAGCTTTGTAGAAGTTAAACCTTTCACTAATCGCACGTCCAATAAATTTTTGTGGCTGGTTGTACAAGGAGAAAGCAAATGCACAAGGGGGAGAGAGTGAAAGTTAGTCTGACAGATGAGATTGAGAAGTTTAGGGTTACAACGGTGTAAAAAATTTTCTGGTGCTTAAAGGGCCACTCACCAGACCTCATACCAAATTTTAGTTAGACAGTGGAAGTTGTTGGGTGTCCAAAGAGGAACATTTTGTCACAAAAATTTTTTGAATCAGTTCATCACGAGCGGAGAAAACGGGTTTTTTGAAGCGGCGCGAAACGAGGATGAGAGGAGGCGAGCTCGAAACCCTTGCCACTCCTCCGCGTAGCTTTCGCAAGCCAAATCTCTTCCCCACCTCTCAGGCATCCGACCAAGAGGTCACGTGCACATGACGTGCCCAAACAAGTCCAACCCCCGAGCACACGAGCGGCATTGCTTTGTTGACCAGCGTTATTTTGTGGTCTTCTGCTTGTTTCTGTGGGATGGTTTGGAAACGCTGGCTTAGACGCGGTAGAATAGATAAGCACAATGAGTGTGCGAACGCGTAGGAGCGGTCCACGGTGGTCGTCTGCTCGATGCGCTGTCCGCAGGTACACGAACGCATGCGAAACGTCGACACATCAGCCTCGCATCTCGTTGCAATTCACGGGAGAAAATTAAAAAAAGACGCTCACATTCCCTTATTGCATGTCATTATTTATTTAGAGCTTTATTAATCTCTTCAAGCAACAAATTAATAAACTACGCATGCCGTGTTACATAATTTTCGCCATGTCGTGTGTCACTGTTTGCAATGTCAGAGTCATCTACGTAGAGAACCAACGTCACTGCATTGCCGTGTACGTAGGGCCATTCGTACGTGCACGTCATGCCCTCATTCTTTGAGCGCGTGCCGGCAGAAGGGAGGGGGAGCAGCGTTCATCTTGAAATTTGACCCATTTCCGCGGCGCGTAGCATTGCAAATTTCGGCAGGCGTGATCATGAACGTCTCGTCTACGCATTGCGCTTGTCAGCTCAAAATTGTCAAACCTGGTGAGTGGCCCTTTAAGGATGTATTTTTAGCAGTTTTTAATTATCTCCCAGGCATACTAGGGTCACCGTGTTATCTGCTGTCCTATCTTTGTGATGACTGGCTATCCTAACTTCAATAATGACTACTGGCTACATAAAGATACATGAATGTGTTATTGTGATGCATAGAATGAGAATGTGGGTTTGATTTCTGGCCTCAGTGGCCAATGTGAGTGAAATGCCACTACACTCAATTGCACTGGTAAGCTACTGGTGCACGTTAAAGAGCTCAAATAAAATCAATCACTCAGCAGCTAGTAAGTTCATCTCTGGAACGTTCCTACATCTACGTGGAAGTTTGGCGGCATGCTGTTTTGTTGAAGTTTACGTGGAGTGGAAATGTTGTCGCAATTGCTGTGTGCATGTTGTTGCCTCCTTGTGCGCAGGCCATCGAGCAGCGGGGACGTCTGCCTCATGCAGATTGGGGCAGCGTCCCTGAGCCCCCAAGTGGACAACCCCCTATGCCGCCGCCCCTTGCGAGAGGACCTGTACTGTTGGGCGCAGGAACAGGGCATGCTGAACGCCGTTGGCTCGGACTTGGAAGACCGCCAGTACCACATGCGTCTGTCGTCCTTTTTCCTATGCACATGTGAGCACAATACCGCTTGAAGGCAGTCATTGAACGTGTTTCGTCATGTGTGTAAGAGAAGGGTCTCTCTGTTTACATGCGGTGGAATAAGTACTAATTTATGATTGTCTTGTTAATATTTGAGAACATGAATTCTTATATGTGCGAGCGAATGTTAATGTTGTTGCCGATGATTGCGTACAAGCTGCAACATGTAAGAACATACAAGAAAAGTAAGAGAAAATGAAACATGGGCAGTCAGATAAAAGATGGAGTGCTTGGTCTGGGGCTCAGGTCTTTATTACGCGACATTCTTTCTGGTGCGAACAAATGGTTCAAGACTATTGTGTCTTGACCCGTCACCCTAGCTAGGTACAATATCAGCATTTAACAGTTTGATGTTGCATGAAGAAGTGTGTGGATGGCTAGGTGGGCTGCATTTTATTGCAGATTACTATAAAACTTTAGGTGCAAAGAGAAAAATGCAGGACGACTACAGCTGTGTGTTTACCATTCTTTGTCATAGGTGTTTCTATTAGCATTTGAATTAACCTTGATTTTTGTTTGAGCCTTGAGTGAGGTTTCCAAAGCTTTGCCTTGTAATAAACAATCATTTTCAGCACCAATTCATCCTTAATTTAAAGAGTCATGTTTTTGCAGATATATTGCTCCTCTAATATCAATCCACAACATAGAGCTCAAGTACAGAATAAAAATTCTGAATATATATTTCGTGAGTTTCATTTCATGAACATGCGTGAACTTCATGTCAGAGCTGTGAAATATAGTGCAAAAGCAAAATGTGCTATTCTTTGTTCAGTACACTTGGAAAAGAATCTGTTTGAAATCTTTTTTCTGCAAACTGTTATTGTCAGAAACAACATAACTCGAAAACCTGCCCATGACAATTTGCTGGTGCCTGTACTGCTGTGATAACATGCTTTGGGCACATAAATCCAGGGTGTCTATGGACCATTGCATGACCCATTACGACCCATTAAACATGACAATTTTGTCACAGTAGAACCTTGTTATATAGCATAATGCAGCGTGACACAGTGGTGCTTTTATTTTTTTCTAAATTATCAGGCTGCGGGCATCATAGTGTATTGTGCATTATAAACATTTTATATTTGCTTAACATATCCAAATACCTGTAGTATACCTGTAGTAACTGTATTCACGATTCTGAGTCTTTAACCTCAATGTGTAGGATTGCACTAGCAACACATGAAAGTAAATACTCTTTTCAGTGATTCGCTTTTCCTTTCACAATCAGTGAACTGGAGTGACCTGGCCAGCCAGGATGGCAGAGGCGAGGGCACTGCCCTGGGACCTGGTGGTAGCCAGCCAGTGACCACACTGATGGGTGAGAACCCGGCCTTTGAGTGGAACCGCCAGCCCCCGGGGGCCCACGTGCTTGGCAGGGCGTCCAAGGCGCCTGTTCCCTTGCACTTTGTCACTTCTTGCTGTGACCTACACGTCACCCTGGCTCCCGCCATGATCTTTTTGGAGAACATGGCCGACGGAACTTCTCAGGTGAAGTTTTTGACATTCATTACGTTGAGTAGTATGGCAGTGGCTGTGGAGAAACCAGATTACCATATTTTCTCGCTCATGACTGGTACAAGAAATATGAAACATATGGAGCTAAAGTTGGCGTCAAAATTGATGCGAATTTGGGTGTGTAAAGTGGTTTCATGGCAGTGCTTTACGGCTATGCAAAGAAGGTGGCATTACGGCAATACATGGAAATTACTTAAAATTTTTCCACAAATAGTTTTTGAGTGGGGGGGCGTTTTATGCAGGGATGGGTTTCAGCATGTGGGTGGTATGCATGATATTTGCTTGAGACTGGTCGATAATCACTATGTTGCTTTTGGATTCGGGACAGTAGCATGCAAATATTGTGCGAGTGATACTAAATTTAATCTGCCCACATTGTCAAAAGCCATTTCACTGAGTGGCTGTCATGTGTGACTTATGTAGATTAAACAAGTTTGTTGTATAATTGTAAGGCAAATGGGTTGGAGCCTGTCCATTTTTTGGTAGCACGTGTGGAGATAGGTTTGCACAAGGTTTACCTTCTATGCGCAACCGTGTAGGGATGCGATGTCCTCCGCTGCCGCTGCGTGCGAAGACGTTGCGGCCGGGTTCGTCGTTTTCTCCGGCACGGCGCAGAAACCATGCACGAGGCAGGATAACAACAACGGGTTTATTAACCCAAGATGCAGCACAGTGCGACACTCACGGGCTTGCAGGCCGTATAGGGAACTCCGCAAGACCGAGCAAGTACGCTTGCCTAGGGCGCTACGACTCCCGCACAAGGGCCGAAGTCGAACGCTCGAACGAGAAGCCGCCTGCTAAGCAGCGCATCAACCTCTCGTAGAGGCCTGAGAGCATTTGCCGTGACAAGCGAATCGTCGGGCACAACACAGCTCGTAAGAGAGGAGGATGTCACGCGCGCCCAATGGGAAATGGCACTGCGTTGTGACGTAGGCCCGTGCAGCGCACCAGCGTAGCGTGCCCGGACACGCCAGCGCGGGAAGAAGCCGACGGTTGACTGGCCCAGACCAAGAGGCGCCCTGGCAGCCATCTTGGCGGATTTCGGCACTTATGCGCGCCCGGGCTACTCCGCTGGTGCGCATGCGGCAGCTGGGAACGAGGTGCCAGGTAGGAGGGCGCTCTCGATTCCCACACACGTGAATGGGCAAAACGCGAAGGAAGAACACGGGACATGTACTGGCCTGACAGCTGAAAGATTTCATTTGTTATACTAGTGCTTGTCCCGTCTTCTTCCTTCATGCTTCGTCTGTTTGTGGGATACCCAAAAATGAATAAACAAGTTCCAGCCATGATTGTGAGAGAATCGCCTTATTTTTATGGCCTCGATCTATGCAACAAGAAATTGGGCTGCGCATTGCAGTCATTTTAGTGAAGCTAATTGTTGTACTCTAAGAAAAAATCGAGTATTTGGGGAATTTTTCTTCCAGGTAACTATAATCATCATCTACCTTATATACTTTCATTGTGTTATCACAGCAGTCCTGACACTAAGCGGTCACGAACGGCATGCATATTATCATTGTGACATAGCATTTTTGGTAGGAGAGTTGCAAGCGCCGGGTTCTCAAGAAAAGAAGCGCACTCAAGCCAGATGACAATTATAGTTTGTGTCACAGGAATACTCCCCAAATGCACATTTTCCGAGTGCATGTTTACATTTGAAAGTTCTGCATGTGGACTAACTAATGGTTCCATTTAGCTGCTTTGAATTGCTGTTCATGAGCTGTTTGTCCACATGCAGTGGCTTTTTTTGATACAATGTGTGCTCGTTGTTTGAAATAGAAGCAGCAGGGCAAGTTTTTTATGCAGTCCAATGAAGATGTATGACCAAATGAGTTATGCTATTCATAATATTTGGGATGTGCCATAATTACCCAGACACAGTAGCACCTTTTCCTCCCTGCTAGGTTCAACATAGTGTCCTGTGACAGTAGTTGGCTGTCAAGATGAGAAGTATCAACCGGGCTCACACGAGTTAGAAGCAGTTGCATAGTGCATGACCTAAAAATTCACACGCGGGGCACAGCTGATATTCTGAAGATTTAATGTGTTGTGTGAAGTGCATGTAATCAAGAGTTTGATGACTGAACAAGGACTGAAATGTCCATTATTTTAAAGTTCTTTTTGGTTGGCGTCTTTCTTTTACCTCTGACCATGCATGTAATGACGCTAGAGCCAAAATGAGCACCATTCTAAAATCCAGGGTGAACAGCATTTCATGTTCTTACTAAACTGCGCAGGAGGTCCTAGTCTGCGGGCACTCTGTAGAAGCGAGCATACCACGCGACCTGCATTGCCACTTGAGCCTGGACCAAGTGGCCCTAGTGCACAGGATCTTCTCCCAGTACATGGGCATAGTTGGCAAACTGGCCACGGCCACGACGCCCACAGGGAAACACATCTTCCCCGCCCTGCGCCACGCGTCGGAGTGTCGCGACAGTGGCCTCGGAAGCGAGCTGTCCGAGGCCCTCGAGTCGGTACAGACCTCCGAAGCGCCAGCCACTGGACTGAGCTTTGTTCCCTTTGACCTCTTGCTGACTGCATCGACAATCTCTCTGACACTTGGACAAGTGGAAGCGGACAGGAGAAAGCAGTCGCACTCCCCGCCGAGTTGCAGTGACGATGAAGACATTGGGTGAGCCATGTATCTGCTTTATTATTGTTGTTTTGAGTATATTTAGTGGTTTTTATTATGATAGCAATTATATGGACACTCTCGGCTGGATTACCGCGCCAGCGTCAACGTCGGCGTTGGCGTCGATGTCATGCACCATATATGTGTGTGTGTGTGTGTGTGTGTGTGTGTGTGTGTGTGTGTGTGTGTGTGTGTGTGTGTGTGTGTGTGTGTGTCTGTATATATATATATATATATTGTCACGTACCAAGAGCCGTAGAGAAGGGACAGGAACAGCGGGGCAGAAAGACACGAGCGTGTATCTTCGAAACGAGGCGCTAACCACACTTCTTCTTCGTTCTCCTTGCCCTTTTCGGCTCGCTAGGGCTTGCCGGCTCACAACTCTAGGTGGCATTATTCCCCCTCCCATTAGAGCATCGACCCGATGCTCATACACAAGGGGACAGCAGGGTCGGTAAGGGAAAAAAAAAAGAGAAACGGTAGCTATAGCGCACAGGGCATATGCAGGTGCAAAAAAAATTGTCTGAGGTAGGTCATAAGAGAAAAAAAAAAAAAAACCATTAACAGAGTTCACAGTTCGTTCGAGACCCAACGGGCAATGTAAAAAAAAAACGAAAATGTTTGCTGCCTGGGCATAATAAGACGAGTATCACCGCGTAATATAAGGTTTTAGGCGGACGACATGCACAATCTCTGTTCGTGGTGAGTGGCGCTGTGTCGTTGCCGAGCCTCCGTCTGGAATAACTTCATAGTTGACCTCGTTCAGCCGCCGTAATACTTTGTAGGGTCCGAAGTACTTGCTCAGGAGTTTTTCGCTCAGACCTCGCCGTCTAACAGGAGTCCAAACCCACACTTGGTCGCCAGGTTGGTAGGAGACTTGTCGGTGGTGGATATTGTACCTTCGGGCGTCTTCACATTGCTGCGATCTTATGTGCACGCGAGCTAATTGACGTGCTTCCTCTGCACGCTGAATGTAATCGTCGACATCGGGAGCTAGTAGCTCGTGCTGGTCGATGTCACAAGGAATCATAGCGTCTAGCATGGTTTGCACGTCTCTACCGTAAACGAGGCGGAAGGGTGCGAACCTTGTCGTTTCCTGGGTTGCGGTGTTGTACGCAAACGTTACGTATGGCAGGATTTCGTCCCACGTTTTATGCTGCACATCCACGTACATAGAAATCATGTCCGCCAGCGTTTTGTTCAGCCTTTCTGTTAAGCCGTTACTCTGGGGGTGGTATGCGGTTGTCTTGCGGTGGTTCGTGTAACTGAGCTTGAAGATGTCGTCCAACAGTTTTGCCGTAAACGCTGTCCCTCGGTCAGTGATGATGAATGACGGGGCACCATGACGAAGCACAATGTGGTGCATGAAAAACTGGGCGACTTCAGATGCTGTACCGCGTGGCAATGGCTTCGTTTCAGCATAACGCGTCAAGTAATCAGTTGCGACGATGATCCACTTGTTTCCGGAGTGAGACATAGGAAACGGTCCAAGAAGGTCCATCCCAACTTGGTCAAACGGCGTACGCGGTGGATCGATGGGTTGTAAGAGGCCTGCAGGCTTCACAGGTGGTGACTTGCGACGCTGACATTCGCGGCATCCTTTCACGTAGCGTTTGACACAAGCTGCGAGTTTTGGCCAGAAATATAGCTTTCGAACCCGGTCGAGTGTCCGTGAGTATCCCAGGTGGCCGGATGTCGGCTCATCGTGGCAGGCTAATAGGATGTCATCACAAAGGTCATGAGGGACGACTAAAAGATAAGATCTGCTGCCAACACCAGTGTTTTTCTTGTATAATATGTCGTGTCGTAAGCAAAATGACGGCAACGTACGTGAAAGGGGACGAGGAACAGACGCGGTGCTGCCTTCTAAATGATCGATGATGGGTCTTAACTCGGGGTCCGCTCGTTGCTTACTGAGGAGGTCCGCCCCACTGAGAGTCCCCAGGAAGGTGCTGTCGTCTTCTACAGCTGTATGGTCGGACTCCAGAGGTGCTCGTGATAGCGTGTCGGCGTCTTCATGCTTTCTACCCGACTTGTATACAATGGTGATATCGAACTCCTGAAGTCGCAGACTCCATCGTGCTAATCGCCCAGAGGGGTCTCGGAGGTTAGCCAACCAACATAAAGCGTGGTGATCACTCACAACTTTGAATGGGCGCCCATATAGATAAGGCCTGAACTTTGTAATCGCCCATATTACCGCGAGACATTCCTTCTCTGACGTTGAATAGTTGGTTTCGGCACGTGATAGAGTGCGGCTCGCGTAGGCAATCACACGTTCAATCCCATCTTGTGTTTGCAGCAGGATAGCTCCGAGACCAATGTTGCTTGCGTCAGTGCGCACCTCTGTGTCAGCGTCCTCATCGAAATGACCGAGTAAAGGAGGGGAACACAATCGATGTTGCAGTTCCGCAAAGGCAGTCGCTTGTTCGTCAGTCCACTGAAATGGGGTGTCGTCACGCGTAAGTCTGATGAGAGGCTCCGCAACCTTAGAGAAGTTTTCAATAAAACGGCGATAGTAGGCGCAGAGCCCCAGAAATCGCCGAAGACTTTTTTTGTCTGTCGGAGCTGGAAAAGAAGCCACAGCGGCAGTCTTCTCGGGATCGGGCCGAACGCCTGCAGCGCTCACAACGTGACCGAGGAACTTCAGTTCATTGTAGCCGAAATGGCACTTCTCTGGCTTGAGGGTAAGGTCAGCGGATCGTATGGCTTCAAAAACACTCCGAAGGCGATGAAGGTGCTCGTCAAACGTTTTTGAAAAGACAACGACATCATCTAGATAGACGAGGCAACTTTTCCACTTGAGGTCAGCGAGAACGGTATCCATCATTCGTTGGAATGTGGCCGGAGCGGAACAGAGGCCGAATGGGAGCACTCGGAACTCATACAGGCCGTCAGGAGTTACAAAAGCCGTTTTTTCGCGGTCACGTTCATCGACTTCAATTTGCCAATAACCACTTTTGAGGTCGATTGAGGAAAAGTACTTTGCTCGCCTCAGCCTGTCAAGAGAATCGTCCACTCGAGGCAACGGGTACACGTCTTTCTTTGTGACGTTATTCAGCTTCCTATAATCGACACAAAAGCGAAGTGTACCATCCTTCTTCTTTACAAGGACCACTGGCGATGACCAAGGGCTACTTGATGGCTGTATTACACCGTCTTGAAGCATTTCCTTCACTTGCTTTTGAATCGCGCGTCGTTCGGTTGGTGAAACGCGGTAAGGCTGTTGCCGTATAGGGTGCGCGTCGCCGTAGGTGATAATACGGTGTTTGGTAATCGATGTTTGGCGGATTCTCGATGAACGTGCAAAACAGGCGTGGAATTCTATCAACAGGTCGTTAAGCCTTCGTTTGTTTTCGTCAGAAAGCGCTGGATTTATGTCGACGCCCCGGAGAGGTGCTTCGGTATTATCGGTTGCCTCGGAAGCAAAACACTCAGTCACATTAGTTACTGGGTAGGCATAGGCGATGACAGTACCAGGGAAAAGGTGTCGGCGCTCGTAGCTGAAGTTCGTAACAAGTACCTCGCAATGGCCATCGTGAAGGTCTACTAGGCTTCGTGCTACGCAGACACTTTGGGAAAAGAGCAGGGATCGATTGCTCTCCGCCACCATTTCACCGTGTGCTGATTTGTTACCAGCCACTTGAACCATAACACTTGAGCGCGGTGGTATCGTCACAGCATCGTCAATTACCCGCAGACATACTCGATCGTGGTCGGGATTATGCTCTGGTGTGGCGCTTTTTGTTGAGAACGTGACGAGGCGTTGTCGAATGTCGATGATAGCACCGTGCTCCCTCAGGAAGTCCATGCCAATGATCAGGTCTCGAGAACACTGACGGAGAACGCTCAAGCTGATAACAAAGGTTGAACCACGAATCAGTATTCGTGCTGTGCAAACGCCGAGTGGCATGACGATGTGCCCGCCAGCAGTACGAATTGGCTTGAGGTTCCAAGGCATCGTCACTTTCTTTAGAAGAGCAGCCTGTTTTTCACTTATTATAGAAAAATCCGCACCCGTGTCAACTAAAGCAGTGACTTTACGACGTCGAGCAGCACTGGAATATCTAATGAAACCTTTTCGGAACCAGCTGGTGTCGTCGTCGTCGGGGAATCTTCAGTTTGCGGAAGCGTCGGTAGGAGGCCTTGAGCTTGTCCAGTATGAGCGGCCTCGCCCCCGAAGGTCGCTGTGGTTAGTTTTCCCGGCGCGGACTGGGGGACCGACCCTGCGCCACGCTCGAATAGGTGCGGCGATTAGGAGAAAATTGCCGCGGCGACGGGGAGCGTGACTGGTGAAAGGATGACGAAGTTCCGCGCTGTTGAGCCACATACTCTTCAATATCAGGGGGCCGCTGACCGAACCTGGGTGGTGGTGAGTTCGTCGAAAATCCGCGTAGTCCAAGTTGCCGGTAAGAACAGTGTCGGTAAAGATGCCCAGCTTCGCCACAGTGGAAGCAGAGAGGACGTCGATCAGGCGCACGCCAGAGGTCTGATTTTCGCGGGATCGGGCGAGGTGCGCTGTAATATGGCACCGCTTGGACCGTCTGCAGCATAGCTGGGGCCACGGTGGGATGCGGGATTGCGGGTGTTACAGGTTGCTGCAAAGCTTGAGCATACGACAAGCGGGGAAAGTCACCGGGTGGTTGATAATCCCGCATGCAAGATGGTTCTCTTAAAGCATGCTGGACTTCATCTCGGACAACGCTGGAGAACGAAGAGGTAGGGGGCTGCGAGGGCACTGACAGCTTCTGGAGTTCTTCGCGGATGACTGAACGTATGAGCTCTCGGAAAAAATCCATTTGGCCACCGAAAGCTCCAAAGTAGTCCGTAGTTGAAGCATTGACGTGCCGCTCGTATGACGGGGCCCGGTGCCTAAGGGTGCTTTCGATGGTGACAGCTTCCGTGAGAAATTCTGACACAGTCTTGGGTGGACTGCGTACAAGCCCACCGAAAAGTTGCTCTTTCACACCGCGCATGAGGTACCGTACCTTCTTTTCTTCTGGCATGCCGGGGTCAGCTCGGTGGAAGAGGCGCGTCATTTCCTCGACATACATCGCAACCCCTTCATTTGGTAGTTGTATGCGGGACTGCAGATCGTGCTCAGCTCTCTCCCGACGGTCAGGGCTTGCATATGTCGCAAGAAGTCGGCGTTTGAAGTCTTCCCATGATGTAAGAATACCTGCCCGGTTCTCGTACCAGACACGTGCGCCGTCCAAAAGACTGAAATAGACGTGCCGCAGCTTGTCTGCGTCGTCCCACTGGTTGTGCACGGCAACGAACTCGTAATGGACAAGCCAATCTTCCACATCCTCAAGTGCAGTGCCATGAAAAGGATTTGGCGTTCGCGGTGTGAGTAATGTGCAATGGAGCGGCGTTGTGCCGTTCGTACCGGTTGGGTTGGTGTCGGCATGGCTGGTCGGAGCTGCCATGTTGTTTGCGAGCAGTCCAAACTCAGGGGATTGCCCTCGGATCCTTCTGCTGGCGCGGTGCACAGGAGTGACCACCGGTACGACGCTTGTGTTCCTGGTATGTGGAGGGGTACGGTGCATAGATTACCCAGCACCTCCACCAGTTTGTCACGTACCAAGAGCCGTAGAGAAGGGACAGGAACAGCGGGGCAGAAAGACACGAGCGTGTATCTTCGAAACGAGGCGCTAACCACACTTCTTCTTCGTTCTCCTTGCCCTTTTCGGCTCGCTAGGGCTTGCCGGCTCACAACTCTAGGTGGCAATATATATATATATATATGAAAACGGAAGAAAGAAAAAAATCTAGAAAAAAGACTCCGGCGTGCTGAATTGAACGTGAAACTTCCGCGTAGAGAATAAGAAGGTGTACGCTCGATTGTGGGCCTTTATCTTGCAGTGGGGAGGTTCGTACGTCTCATACAATTTCTGTTCGTAGTTACCGGGCGCACAAAGGTCACTGCAATCATTGCACATCCTCCGTTTGCGAAAAGGGCACGCTTTTCAGACAGGGCGAAGTAACAACTGAGACGCTTATTCGCATTCATCTGTACCTGTGAGTACGTTTCATGCGTCATTTGTGCATGGAAAACGCGGGGCACGTTTTGATCTGCTGGCCATTCTGCGTGGGACCTTCCAATTCATTGCTATCGCGTTCAATGCTCCGCTTTTGCGGCGAAGCTGTCACTTTTTTAGTCTTTCTTTCTCTATGTGGCCGCAGGTAGTGTCATCTATTTCGTGTGCACATTCTGTGAAGCTGACGTTCGTGAAGTTGTAGTGAACACGACCCACACATTCACTACACGCTCTGCACATCCTTTATTCTCCGCACCACATATTCAACATGTCCGACTTCTCTCTGCATACCGCCATCTCTCTCCTGCCGTATTCCTGCACGCACACACGTGCCCCCTTTTGTTCACTTGACACTTGCACGATCTTGTTCCTCCACCGTCAACCATACATGGCTTCTGAGAACTGCGCCCAACATACGCGCACTCCTTACTCCATCTCATCTCTCATAGCCTTTTCTCTGTTCTGAAGAAAATGTAAATTATAAGGGCTCATTTTCTTTGTTAGACACAATATTAATTTTTTTTTTAATACCTCGAGGGCCTCCCCGTAGTGGAGGCATTACATGAGGAGTGGTACAAAAGAAACTTTTGGTATGAGCATACAAAAGTGACATGATCTCCATGATACAAAAGAAATGCACAAACGTCGGGTCAAGAACTTGTACATAAATGTAAAATTCAATGGACACAGGGAAATAGTATCAATACGCAATGTATGAACTAGAAAATAGAAGTCATAAATGCGAGGGGCATCAAACAAAGAAACGGCACCAACATATCACACAATCCCTGGCGCAGTAAGCGACGACTTGAACTGGTCAAGGTTTCTTAATTGGACCACGTGATCTGAAAGATGGTTCCATTCCTTTATAGTGCGTATAAAAAATTACTGCGCAAATGTGTTAGTACGGGGGCGAGGGTATGTTACTTGTAATTCATTTTTGCTGCGGCTCGATACATGTGGTTTCAGCATGATGTAAGTGTTGGGTGATAAAGAATGATAAAACCGGTGGAATAATGCCAGTCTTGAAAGCTTCCGGCGGTGGCTGAGGGGAGGAAGTGCTAGGCATGATTTCAGGTTTATGACACTAGTAAATGATAAGTAGTCTGCAAATGTGAATCTAACCGAGTGGTTTTAAATTGCTTCAATGCTATCAATTAGGTACTTCTGATGCGGATCCCATATGGCGGCTGCATACCCTAATTTTGGCCGGATTGGGGTTTTATAGGCCAGTAGTTTTAAGTGAAAAGGAGCAAATTTCATCGTGTGCTGAAGATACTCAAGAGATCTAGTAGCGCAGGCAATTAATTTGTTTATGTGTGGACGATCCAGGAGAGATCATTTGCGATATGAACATCTAAGTACTTATAAGACTTAGCGGATTGTGAAGACGACCCTGATAGAGTGTAATTAAAGGATAGCGGACTCGCGCATCGTGAAAAAGACATTAATTTGCTCTTGGAAACATTTAATGACATTTGCCAACGTTTACACCAGTTTTCAGTAGTAGTTAAATCGGACTGCAACGTAAGTTGGTCTTGGTTACAAGTAATTTTGGCATACAGCACACAATCATCTGCAAAGAGACATATGTTGTTAGTAAAAACAAATCCTTGCTGAAATTGTAGGATTTATATGCTTCTGAGTCTAACCAACCCGCACGAGTGCGTTATGGAGATACTTAACCTTGTGAGAATTGAGGCTAGCCCGCTGCCATTGCGCAAGCTTTTCGACTCATTTCTGCCGTTCTCATGTCCTAACATGAACCTCCCGTCCTCCGCGGTCCGTCGGCGCTGAGGGAGCAGGAGTGATGTTGGCCCCTCTCACCCGGTACCGGATTGTAGTGGATCTGTCAATGGTGGCACAGTTGATAGATGCGCCGTTGACAACTGGCAGATGTTAACACGGTGCCACCGTCGACAGATCCAGTATGATTTGGTACATTGGTACTAGGTGAGAGGGGTCAACATCACTTTTGCTTCTCCAGTGCCGACAGACCGCGGAGAAGGGGAGAGTCATGTTAAGACATGACAGAGAGAAAGAGAAAACATTTATTGAGTAAAGCTTGAGTGAAGGTGGGAGGGTCACTTATTTCAGGAACCCTCTGACCTTGAGTGAAGAGTTGACACTGGTCGACCAGGTCCGGCTGGGAGATCGCAGCCTCCCACGCTTCACTGAGGAGGTCTGGGTCCGCATGAGAACGGCAGAAATAGGCAAAAAAGCCCACACGATGGTGGTGGGCTAGCCTCAATTCTCACAACCTCTGTGCCAGAACACTTGCACGTTTTAATGCAGATATGATGCTTCCGAGGACTCGGACAGTCGTACTGGTGACGAGGTCGGTACGAGTTCCCACCAGACCAGCCGAGGCAATGGCAAGGTGGTCCCACTGGCCCGCCTGGTCGTGCTGCAGCCCCATGCTTTTCTGACGTGCTCTTCTGCGGAACAAAAAGCTGAAATGTCGTGCTTTGACATTCAGGTCGGCGGTGTGCCAACTGGATTTCGGGCAGCAGGTAGTTTCATAAATCTCACTGCAGAAGCTTCTACATCTTGCTTTTTAAAAAAAATTTTTTTCTAAGTGCAGTTTGTCCTGCAGCATAGATATGTGTTTGAAGGGGAACTCCGGTGCATTTTCGACCATACTGAGATAATGCCATTTTCAAATAGTATTGATAGCCTTACAACAGCTTGGGTGGTTCATTTTGCTCAGACACTCATCAGTAATTTTAAATAAGCAACGAACATTGAGTCAAAATTGAATTGAAACAGGAGCTGTTTCATCCTCCAAAGCGGTTATCGGATGACATCACGAAATTCATATTCGAATCGTGCCCCAAATCAGTCTTTTCGTTTCTCAATATTGTGTGTGTAAGACTCGAAGTCAACGACGACTAATGCTCTGTATGCAGCTGACAAAACTCAACTGTGCTCGCATCACCTTGTAGAAAAAAAATGCACGCTGAATCCGTCTGCTGGGCAAAGCCGGGTTCTGAGAAAGAGTAGGCACTTAAGTCACATACACAGGGTGGCCCACATTTACAAGTGTGATTTTGTAATGGACTGCCAATTTTTAAAATTAATTTTCTAAAAAACTAAATGACATATGGTTGTATATTTTGGCTCATACCGACGAGAACACATGTTAAAAGTTTCATTGAAATCGGTCAATATAGAAAATCACAGGAGTTGCTTTTTGATAAACAAAAGTGCACTGGTCTTTCTCGTTTAAAAATTGTAGTATGAATTTATCAAACCTACTAAAAATTTGGAAAACACTTGTGCCTGGTAGGTCTGATAAAACTGCTCGAATTGTACAGCTCAGGACTGTGTCGGTCAAGTGTATTTCGTAGTGAACTAACTGGCTTTGAGTTAACATCTTGTATTGAACCACTTTGATTAACTTTTTTGAAGTACAGCTGGTAGAGCTGATGTTGCATGAAATCGTGTATTGTTTGTAGGCTTGTGCGAATACTCAAGGATTTCGAATAATTGAGTGAATATTACAGTATTCGAGTTCACTTTGATTCTAACTGAAATTTCAAAGCAGAATGGGAGCACAGTTAGACCTGAATATAACAAAATTGACAAATCACCAAGAAATTTTATTACAAAGAGGTTTTTATCATAGTATGCAGTTCTAGCTGGAAAATTCAGAAAAATGCACAAATTAAACAGTAGAGGAAATGAAAGCAGAGCTTGCCCAAAACAGTTATTTAGCAGTAGAAAACTGTTTTATTTTGCTTTATTGCTTGTTCGTGAAGGGATGGCAATAGTGAACGTTCGTAGGACATCAATACAACGCTGCTCCGTCATCGTGTAGGTGGCTTTCACTGATGTCACTGAAACGGCAATGTTAGGGCACAATAAAGTTCTGGCCACATTGTTATCATATTGAAGCAGGCCAAACAAGATGTAGTTATGCTGCCTTTATGTCATCAAGGCTGCCATGTTGGTAAATCAGTATGTTACAAAGCTGCAACCATGAAGTCATGTGCAAGCTATCCATACATAGTCCTCCGAGATGGGCTTGGATTTTATTACAAAGAGGTTTTTATCATAGTATGCAGTTCTAGCTGGAAAATTCAGAAAAATGCACAAATTAAACAGTAGAGGAAATGAAAGCAGAGCTTGCCCAAAACAGTTATTTAGCAGTAGAAAACTGTTTTATTTTGCTTTATTGCTTGTTCGTGAAGGGATGGCAATAGTGAACGTTCGTAGGACATCAATACAACGCTGCTCCGTCATCGTGTAGGTGGCTTTCACTGATGTCACTGAAACGGCAATGTTAGGGCACCGCGTTACAGGATGCAACGTTTGTTGCGTCATGTGCTAATGTTGTTGTTATATCACTTGCAAGTTCTTTCGTTATTGACGGACCCAGGCCAATAAAGTTCTGGCCACATTGTTATCATATTGTTACGTACAATCCAAATGGTGTACGAATAACTGTTTATTGGGGCGAACTTGTGCCCGAAAAGTAGCGGCGTCTGTAACAGGCGATCAGCAAAAAGGGATCATCTCCGAGAGAGAAAAAACGCTCGAGTGGTGGTCCCCTTCTTCTTCATCAAAATCCCGTGCTGAGGAAGCGCGCGCCGTCACGGCCTTTTCTTGTTTGATCATAAAGCCGCTGATCTCTTGGGGGGGCGCGTGAACTAGCGCGCGTAGTTTGAATACTGCGTTCACTTTGCGTCATTATCCCTCCTCCGAAAACGCATCGTCCCGATGCGTAAAAGCAGTGTTGCTGAGATGGTCTGAATGCGTGATTTCCAATGGAGAAATAGGTATTCCTCATAATCGGGTGTGTATAATTCGATGTTCATTGCCTGTCATAGTATGGCTTCATTCTGACTACATGCACGATTTCTGTGCTCCTTCGGCATCTTGATGAGCTCACTTGTCCTTCCGGTGACACCTCGTAGTTCAAGGAGCTGACGCGACGAAGGACTCGGTAAGGGCCGAAATAGCGGCGCATGAGCTTTTCGGAAAGGCCAGGCGTCCGCACAGGAGTCCAAATCCAAACTAGGTCGCCTGGTGCGTAGTCGACTCCTCTCCGACGAAGGTTGTAACGGTTTGCATCCACGCGTTGTTGTTGTCTTATGCGATGTCGCGCCAACTGCCGTGCTTCTTCGGCTCGCTCAATGAATTCGCTGGTGTCAGGCTTGTGCTCTGTATTGTCGCCTACAGGCAGCATTGCATCTAATGGTGTGGTAACTACTCGACCATAGACTAGCTGGAATGGCGTCACTTTAGTAGTCTCCTGCACAGCAGTATTGTAAGCGAAAGTGGCGTACGGCAGTATCTTGTCCCATGCACGGTGCTCCAAGTCAACGTAAATGGACAACATATCGGTTAGAGTTCTGTTGAGTCGCTCGGTTAGCCCATTAGTTTGGGGGTGGTAAGCCGTTGTTTTCCTATGACTTGTGTGGGTAAGTTTCATAATGGACTGCGTAAGATTGGCTGTGAATGCAGTTCCTCGATCCGTGATAACCACCTTTGGGGCACCATGCCGTAGTACAATGTTAGTGACGAAAAATTCAGCTACTTCTATAGCCGTGCCCCTGGTGAGAGAGGCTGTCTCGGCATACCGGGTTAAGTAGTCTGTCGCCACTACTATCCATCGGTTGCCCATTGATGACGTGGGAAATGGACCAAGTAGATCCATTCCTACTTGTTCGAACGGAGACTCAGGTGGTTCAATTGGCTGGAGAAATCCTGCAGGTTTCAATGGAGGCGTTTTGCGTCTCTGGCAATCTCTACATGTCCTTACATAATGCTGTACAGCATCCAGTAACTTTGGCCAGTAGTATTTTGTGCGGATGCGAGCCAATGTTCTACTCACTCCGAGGTGTCCTGCTGCTGGGTCATCGTGGCAGGCTTCCAGGATTTCGGGTCGCAAGGCCGAAGGAACGACGAGTAGGAATTTCTCCTTGCTGTGCTCGAAGTTTCTTTTGTATAAAACGTTGTTTCTCATGAGGTACGAGGACAATCCCCGGACGAAAACTCGAGGAACACGCACGGGTTGCCCTTCCAGATGCTTGATCAGTTTAAGCAACTCCGCGTCAGATCGCTGATATTCAGTCATGTCTGCGGTGCTCACGGCCCCAAGAAACGGAAAGTCGTCTCCATCTTCCCCAGGTGCAGATTCCATTGGTGCGCGTGATAGGCAATCAGCATCGCTGTGCTTGCGACCCGACTTGTATACGACTGTTATGTCGTATTCTTGCAACCTGAGGCTCCATCTAGCAAGTCGCCCAGAAGGGTCCTTTAGGCCTGCGAGCCAGCACAACGAGTGATGGTCGCTCACTGCTCGAAATGGTCTACGATATAAGTACGGTCGGAATTTCTGTATGGCCCATATTACCGCCAGACATTCTTTTTCCGTCGCCGAATAATTTATTTCAGCTCTCGAAAGAGTGCGACTAGCATATGCGACCACTCTTTCCTCTCCGTTTTGCAGCTGCACAAGGACGGCGCCTAGTCCCAAATTGCTTGCGTCCGTGTGAATCTCTGTTTCGGCTTCTTCGTGGAAATGTGCCAGGACAGGGTGGTGTAGGAGTCGCTGTCGTAGCTCATTGAACGCCTCTTCTTGCTCGCTTGTCCAGGTGAAAGGCATGTCTTCTTTCGTCAGTCGGGTTAGTGGCTCCGCAATCTTCGAAAAATCTTTAACGAATCTTCTGTAATAGGCACAAAGTCCTAAGAATCGTCTCACAGCCCTTTTATCTGTCGGTCTAGGAAACTTTTCTACAGCTGCTGTCTTTTCGGGGTCAGGTCGAATGCCTTCAGAGCTAACCACATGACCGAGGAAAAGCAGTTCATGAAAACCAAAATGGCACTTTTGGGGTTTTATCGTCAGCCCTGCTGAACTAATCGCTTCGAGCACAGTACGTAGTCGTTCCACATGCTGATCGAAGGTGGCCGAAAAGATCACGACGTCATCGAGATAAACAAGGCAGGACTGCCATTTTAACCCGGACAGCACAGTATCCATCATCCGCTGAAATGTGGCGGGTGCGGAACACAGGCCAAATGGGAGTACCTTGAACTCGTATAACCCATCTGGGGTCACGAAAGCAGTTTTCTCGCGATCTCGTTCGTCCACCTCTATCTGCCAGTATCCGCTCTTGAGGTCTAGAGAGGAAAAGAATTTTGCGTCTCGTAGTCTGTCAAGCGTGTCATCGATCCTTGGAAGGGGATAGACATCCCGCTTTGTGACGACGTTCAATTTTCGGTAGTCAACGCAGAAGCGCAAGGTCTGGTCCTTTTTCTTTACCAGTACTACAGGTGAGGCCCATGGGCTGGCCGACGGTTGAATTACGTCGTCCCTGAGCATTTCTTCAACTTGGCCTCTGATGACTTCTCTCTCTTTTGGTGACACTCGGTACGGGTGCTGGCAAATAGGTCTAACAGATTGATCGACTATGATGCGGTGTTTGATGATGGATGTTCTTTGCACTTTCGATGACGTGGAAAAACATGAGGCGTACTCCCGTATAAGGCTCTCGATTTTTTGTTTCTGGTTCGGTGATAGGGCTGCTTCGATGTGGATAGATGCGAGTATGGAATCTATACCGTCAGGGTGCAGTGGTGCAGTCTCGGAAGAATTCAAATCCGTAATCGGAACGTAATCATGCAAGTGACCAACCACAGTTCCCTTCGCAAGGTGCTGCACCTCATTTCGGAAATTTGTCAGGAAGACACTCGTACACCCATCACGCAGTCGTACAATACCTCTTGCTGCACAGATTCCTTTCTCGAGTAATAGCCCAGTATTGCTTTCTGCCATTCCTTCATAGTCGTTGTACACATTGCTTTTTACGGTGACAACGATGATGTATCTTGCAGGTACTGTTACATCATCACCTGCAATCTGGAGCGCATCGAATCGTTTTTCACTCTCGAAAGTCGCGATGGCGTGTTTCGTCGAGAACGAGACGCACGTTTCCTGCAAGTTTATCACTGCGCCATTGGCCTGCAAAAAGTCCATTCCGATAATTACATCTCTTGAACACTCCGACAGGACAATGAAGCTGGCGACGTAGGTGAAGCCGCGTATCCCAACTCTAGAGGTACACATGCCTGCCGGATCGATAAGGTGTCCCCCGGCGGTTCGCACTTGTGGTCCTATCCAAGGGGTCAGCACTTTTTTCAGCGTTCTGGCAAGTCCCCTGCTCATGACGGAATAGTCTGCGCCTGTGTCTACTAAAGCATTCGTTTCGTAGCCGTCTATAATTACCGACAAATCAGAAGCGACGTTACCATTTCCGCACGTAGTCTCGTGTCCGTCATCACATTTTGAAATCGGCACTGGAGGTTGTTTTCTTGCGTCGGCAGCGGCCTTACCTCCCCAGGTCGCCGATTCTAGTTTTCCCGAAGCGGGCTTTGGGGAAGTCGCCTCGGAGAGTTTGAAGATGGGCGCGGACTTGGTGACCGATACCTCAGTGGCGCTGTCGACCGAGACTGATGCTGCTGCGAGGAGTGAGCCCCTTGACGCGTTGACAAGTACTCCTCGATTTCAAAAGGTCGCTCCCCATTCCGTGGACAGGCAGCGTTTACGGGAAAACCCCGAACTCCAGCTCGGCGATATGCACACATCCAGTAAAGATGGCCAGCTTCGCCGCAGTGATAACAAAGCGGAATTCGATCAGGAGTGCGCCATATATCAGCTTTTCGGATCCTAGTCTCGGCTGGGGACGGCGTAAATCGAGGTTTCGGCAGATGCGTGCTTGCTGCGGCGAAATAAGGTCCAGGGGCGGCGAAAGGAGGTCCAGGGGCGACGAAATGAGGTACAGGGCTGTTTCTCAGTACCTCGGCGTACGAGACTGCGGGCTGCATCGGAACTGACGCTTGAACAGGCTGGGCTTGTGGCTGCTGCTCACGGACTGCCTGTCTCACCTCCTCCCGAACAACTTCCCCTAAAGACGAGACCATTGAGGGGTTGCCGTTTAGCTTCTGGAGCTCTTCTCGAACCACCGATCGAATGAGCTCTCGTAATACGTCGATGCCATTCCCGAAGACTGCCGACACTGCGTCTACGGATGCGACGTTAACATCACGATTGTAGTGCCTCGCTCGCTGTTGCAGAGTCTTTTCAACTGCTGTCGCCTCGGTGCGAAATTCAGCGACGTTCCGTGGGGGACATCGGAGCAAACCGGCAAAAATCTCCTGCTTCACCCCACGCATCAGGTGCCGAAGTTTCTTGTCCTCGCTCATATTTTGATCAGACCGGCGGAATAACCGGCACATGTCTTCCACATACATTGCGACGCTTTCATTGTTGCGCTGGTTTCTTGCCTGCAAGGCAGTTTCAGCTCTTTCCTTGTGGTCTGTACTCGGGTATGTGGCTAGTAGCTCCCGTCGGAAATCATCCCACGATCGAATGGTACCTTCATGGTTTTCAAACCACGTTCGTGCGCTGTCCTGCAATGCGAAATAAACTCGGCGGAGCTTCCGTTCTTCGGGCCATCCGTTGCAGTTGGCGACGCGCTCAAAACCCTCCAGCCAATCCTCGGCGTCTTCATGAGGATCGCCATGAAAAGGGTCCGGCGTCCGTGGCTCATCGACAACGACGTGCGTGGCAGCGACTGGAGACGAAACGGCGTGTGCGGCAGCGGTTGGAGACGACATTTCGGTACTCTCACCGGAGGCAGCTGGAGACACTCTGGGTTCTAGTGGCAGGGGAAATTCCGGCGGCTCACCACGTAGACGACGGCTGGAGCGCTGGTGAACTGGCGTGAGCTCAGTTGGTTGGACTGCTCGTGGTTCCGGGCTGCTTCCTCGAAGTCCAACTGGGTTTGGGATCATTACCCCGCACCTCCACCAGAATTGTTACGTACAATCCAAATGGTGTACGAATAACTGTTTATTGGGGCGAACTTGTGCCCGAAAAGTAGCGGCGTCTGTAACAGGCGATCAGCAAAAAGGGATCAATCTCCGAGAGAGAAAAACGCTCGAGTGGTGGTCCCCTTCTTCTTCATCAAAATCCCGTGCTGAGGAAGCGCGCGCCGTCACGGCCTTTTCTTGTTTGATCATAAAGCCGCTGATCTCTTGGGGGGGCGCATGAACTAGCGCGCGTAGTTTGAATACTGCGTTCACTTTGCGTCAATATTGAAGCAGGCCAAACAAGATGTAGTTATGCTGCCTTTATGTCATCAAGGCTGCCATGTTGGTAAATCAGTATGTTACAAAGCTGCAACCATGAAGTCATGTGCAAGCTATCCATACATAGTCCTCCGAGATGGGCTTGGGCAAGGCGCCTTGCCCCACCGATGAACGAGCACGAAGTGGTAACATCGTGCATGGCGCGCTCAAAGCCCCGGCTACAGCTAGAATGAGCACTCGTTTGTGCATGAATTATTATTATTATTATTATTATTATTATTATTATTATTATTATTATTATTATTATTATTATTATTATTATCATTATTTGGGGCAGTGCCTGCTTATGAAGTTTAGGTTTAGGCACTTGTTGGAAGAACTCTAGAGAAGTAAGGGAATCACGGACCTTTCATCATGACGTCACTCACTACGACGGAATCACTTCGGCATGTGAAACCACGTTATTGTAAATGCAGGTCGCTGCCTGTCAGAGCTGGCCAGTCCAGGCACGTTTGTGGAGCCCTGGCTCGAGACAAGGCCTGGAGAGCCCCACCCCAAGACTGGGATTCCACCATCCCTCTTTACACTCTCGCTGCATGGTTTTCTGATGCCCCAGGGTAGGAGGAGGTCCTGCTTCAAAAACTTGTGTTTTGTTTTTACAGTTTGAATTTGCAATTCAAAGTGAGAAGCAAACCGAGGTGTTATACTTGGGATGTAAAAACAGCGCAAAAAATATAGACAAGGACAGAGGAAGATTTTTTGCACTGTTTCTACATCCCAAGCATGAACCACCAACTTGCCCAACTTTTGCTATTATTGCAACCAGGTGTTATTCTGCAGAGCCACATCATTGCTTGAAACTTGTAAAAAAAACACAATATGAATGTCATGTAGTGGAAGGAGTCTCCTTAGCACTTGTAGTATTGTAGCATTATCTGGGCGTGCTGTAAGGCAGTGTCAACGCCTAAATCATATTTTTTTTACACAGTGGTTCGGAAAGGTACTTGCATAATGTGTTTGACGGGCGTAACCTAGCTATTTTCTTCCTAACTAGTTTGCAATGCACCAACTCATACATGAGTAGTGCTGTGGCTCATATTTCCAGCTTGTGTACTCACCATAAAACCAATGCCTAGTGTAAAGAAATTGTATGCAGGCACCAGCACTGATCTGTTTCTTGTCATTTTTTTGCCCTCTTGTTGCAGTGCAGTTAAGTTTTAATCATGTGTACAGCATGCTGCCATTATCATTTGAGACAGACATTACTGTGACCTGCAAGTATAGATTAGCATGTGTTGTAAGACACTTCTCTCCTGCTTCCGGCAGTGACATTATGTGTCAAGGTTGGCCGACCTGTGAGGGTTAACCTGAGTGCGTCCAAGCTGGACCAAGCCCTCCAGTTTGCAGAGCTTGCCTCGCATCAGTGGTCTCACATTCAGGGCTGCTCCGGCGCGCTCCATCAGGACAAGTCCGAGACCACGGACACCAATTGCGCGCGGACTGATGTGGCGGAAGCGCCTGCTGTGTCCTCCAATGAATGGAGGTTAGTTGGCTGATGTTGTACTTTGTGCTGTTCAAACAGAAGCCGCCTGTAGAGCCATGGACCAGCCCATAAAGCGATGTACACTCAAACCTCGATATAACGTACACACTTATAATGAAATACCGGTTATAACGAAGTAATGTATAAATAGTCTTCCAGTAAATATGGTGTTAGTATTACATCATTGTAATGAAATTTCAGATGTAGCAAACTTATTTTTATGAAAGACGCAACTTTGATGTTATGAGGTTTGAGTGTATTGTCTTTGAAACTGAAAAATAATACTGCGTCGGTGATGAAACAGAAGTAGAAGTGATTGACAGGATGAGTACAGAAAAACAACTGAATTTATTTAAATACATCAAACTTTAGTGTCTGACAACACACATGTGCACAAGCACTCGCAACAGTATCACATACTATATTCAAAGCCCTTTATTTTTCCTAAAAATCAAGCTCTTTTTTGTGTAGATGAATGAAAGGTTCACCATTATCGTTTCACTGATGTATTGTCTGATAAAACATTTTTTGTAGGAGCATGTTATCTGCCAGCGTTTCAAGCCATTATTCTGTCAGTTCATTTGTTAATGGTATTCACAATAGGATTTCAGTGGTAAAAAAGACTGCCAATGTTATTGTATTGTATATTAGTTAATTGTGTCATTTGAAGCTGTGTGTAATTTAAAAGCATGTCATGTTTGATTCATGTATGCCATTATTTATACAAGTATGTACAGTAAAACCTAGTCAATGTGAAGTCGCTGGGGTCATGAAAAATCTTCTAATTAAGCGGGTTTTCAAACTGAAGAACATACAAAAAGCGGGATGCAGGGAACTGAGAATTATTTTTAAGTAATCAGAATCGGTTGTTTGCTGTGCCGGTGTTTTCCCGCAATACCAGAGCCCAATTTTACTGCGAACGTGGGTGAACGGCGGGCACCGCTGCAGTCAGTAAAAAAAAAAAAACACTGCCTTAAGAAATGTGCGCCTGTGGAAAACAAGACATTTTCACTGCGACACAGTAGTGACACGTGGGCAGCAGCTTGTTGACTGCTCCTCGCTGCATCAGTACATCATGATGTGACCATTCGCTCATTCTTCTTGGTAAAATTGAGATTTTAGTAACGGCCAGTGTGACGAAATTCGCGGATGTGTTCAGGCTGGAAAACATGACCATCGAACCTTTCCAACTGAGTTTTCAAAGTAAGCATTGCAGGAAAGAACTCCGCCAGCAGTGCAAGTGCGCAAATTACTGGAGCAACTGGCAGTCCGAAGTTCGCATACATCGTGAATTTCATCAAACTGTCTTTTATTAATGTCCTTACAATCCCAGAGAAAATGGGAAATTACGACGCGCTGATGTTGCGAGAAACATGCAATATGCTTCCCGTGCATCGCATATGTGTTGCAGTGGAGCGTGTTTTGTTTTCTGCAAGCGCACATTTTGGTTAATGGCTCCCCCCCCCCTCCTCTTTTTTTTTTTTGCTAAAGGTAGTGAGGATGGGGTGCTTCAGCTACCACTAATCAGTATCGGTATGTTTAATTGCCTTGTGGCTCTTAAGGGCTGTCATTTGCTGCATATTTGTGGCAAAATATGAATCGGGAATCGGCACCCAAAGTTTTCGAATTAACCAGACTGCTGCTGACCGGCACTTCAAATTATCCGCTCAGACTTACACTGCAAAATATGGGACGACGGAAATATTTTGAATCAGGTGGGATTTCAAAATAACCGAGCTCGAATGAATGAGGTTTTACTGTATGTGTACTTTGCATAGACTTTTTTTTTATCTGTATTCTGTGCTTTATTCACTCCTGCACTGCCTGAAGATATCCTGCAGTATAGTAAAATCAAATAAGAATAAATTAAACTTGGAGGACACTTGAGCGTCACTTTCAAGAATAGAATGGCATAGCATAATCAAGCCCCGTGAACAGAGGGCTAGCCTTCTCAATGGCTAGCCTGTTAAGGTTCTCAATACATGCCTCAACTTTGCTGTAAGAAAATGGACAACTGTGCACATAACATTAGTCATTTCAAACTGTTTTAGAATGTATACTGCCTGAACAGTTAGTGCCCGCCACACCTTAATCATTTCTTTTGCAAATTCGTGAAGAGCCTATCAGGAGTCTAGGGGTATGACTCTTTTATTTACGAAGAAATACAAAGTGGAGTGTCCACGTCTCTCTTGACGGTCAGCTCGTGGTGAGGCAACATACAAACCTGTACAGCTGCCCACTTTGTTGATGCTTTTGCAGCTGATGATGATTAAATATGTCTGAGCGCCTTGTAATGGATGGTTCTTTCGAACACCCACTCGTTGCTCAATTCATTCGTCTTGATTCCTAGCACCTGCACGCTTCTGCCACGCAATTTTACATGCATTAAGAAGACTCCGTTAGGAGACATTGCGGATCGACATGGCATTCACATAGTGTTCTTTTTTCTTCCAAAGGAGTTTCTGGCAATAGCATGGCTCTGTGGTGAAACACCTGCTCCTGGGTTCGATTCTTACTTGAACCAGAGCTTTTACTGCTTATTTTATTTGCATCATTCTTTATTTTTCACTCACTCTCAACGATGTTGACATCGGAATTTCTACGAAATGAGCTGTTTGATGCTAGTGCATTGAAATTGCTCTCTGTGAAGTTCTAGAAAATAACAGTTTAAATTGATCACATATCCTAAACCTGTGTGGGAGAAACATGCATAGCTTGCTGAATTTTGTTCCGTGATCTATAAAATGGGTTGTTTTTCCACTTTGCTTCTACCTGTCATGTCACGTGGTAGATTCTGTTGATCAGTGTGAGGTCGCAGGTTTGACTCCTGTTGACACTGCAGCAGCATTCTAATGAAAGGCTGAATGCAGAAACGCTTCTGCATTTTATATTTAAAAACAGTTTGATGCTGGCATAGTTGAAATATTCCAAATCTTTCCAACTACTACACTGTCTTGCATAGCTGGTTTGTTCACCAAACCCCGCAATTCAGTTTGACCAAACTTAAATTTGTCATTCGCTCTTTTAAAGAGCGCAAACATGTATTGCTTTTCGTTTTCTTGGCTCAGAGTAATTGTGAAGAATATATTGCGCAGGCTGTCAACAAAACTGGAAATGGATCAGCTTGTCTTGTCCCTGGATGTCCCCGCACAACGCCATCACAATTTTAAGATGGTTCTAGCCTTGGAAGGCCACTGCTCCAACTTGGAAATTCTGTGCTCGTCCAAAGGTGTGACCTTCTCTTTGCTCACTAGGAATGTCTATCAATGAGAATGTGCCATTGTTGATTGGCACTTCTGAAATGTCAGAGTTGCATTTAGTGCATCAATCAACCAATCATTTTTATTGTTTATGATGACAGATTATGCTTATACAGGCTGGACGATTGAACCTTTATAAGAGTTGTGGCAAAGGTCTTCTTTTTTTAGTGTAAGCCGTTACCATTTAACCACAAAAGAAAGAAGTTTCTCCTCGAAGCACAGTAGTGCTGCAGGGACTGCAACGCCGATGCAAACGCACTGACGAATGCCGACGTGTGCCACCACAGTGCACAACGCAACCAGCGTCATCAGCCTGTTGACGTATGCAGTAGAGCTTGCAGGCCTTGACGACGTTTGTTCAGGTGGCGGTGGCTCAACGTGCCAAACTCACACACATACTCACGCACTGATTGACTCCCACGCTATCTAGAAAAGACTGCGCCAGCGCGCGTTCGCCTCGCGCACATGACATGAAAAGGCGCAGCGACGGTGCGAGAAATTCTAGCGCCAGTCCGTGTCATTTTTGACCGCCAAGACAGCAGCCGCTGCCTGCCGGTCGCACCACTAGATCATATTCTAGTTCACTATAATCTTGGTTACAAATGCATGCAAAATAATTTTTTTTGATATCCCAGTTACTCTTGTAAGTTATGAAGACGAATGAAAACAAGTTGATGCATCTAAAAACACATTCTGCATATGAAAAGCTCGCACGCATAAGTAAGGTTAAAAAACAGGTAACAGACTGCAGCATTTTTTTTTATTGAACTTTGCATTACAGCCATGCCATGCGCGGCCGAGAGAGCCGTCCTCCTCACACAGCCAGCGGAGAAGATTAAGGAAGCGCTCAGCAGGTCACATGACTGAAAAATGGCACCACCCTCTCACTTAAGCAATTTCCCTCTCACTTAAGAACAACGATAGGGAAGCTTCAGAAGACTTACATTTATTCACAATTTAGAGGATATTCGTCATTAATCGAAGTAATCGGTGGTGCGCGTCTGCACACATTTGCCTTGCAGCGAGTCAATCAGTTTTGCAAACGCTTTCTAAAGACGACGGCAATGACTGCGTCTCCGCTGCTACCCTCTGCACCGAAAAACGAGGAGCGTCTCCACGCGGAGAGAAGCAGATCGGCATTAGAGAGAGAGCCAACTCTCCGCGACAGCTTTCTTTTTTCTCTCCTCTATCCGCTTGCGGCCTTGAAAGGATAAGGGTTTCTATGGGGAGAGACTAGGCTTGTGCGAATAGTTAAATTTAGGTTCAAAGCGAATTTGAAGCGAATAGTGATCTTCATCGAATAATTTCAAATCGAATTCGAATACTATGTATAACATATAAAAGAAAGTGGGCATATTTATAATGACCTAACTAACCTGCAGAATATTTCTTACAAATTAAAATAAGGAGTCTATGCAAATGCCCTTTTTTTTTTGTTCAAAGGAAGTCGTAACAACTTTGAGTAGTAGGAGGATTTGACTTTTGGTAGGATTCAAGTTGTAACCTGTAAAACACGTAACATTTTAAAATTAATTATACTTAGAATATAAGCTGGCATAGCAAGCTTTTAGACTTTAAAAAATGATGAATCGATTTGAGGGTTGTATGATCATTCACTGGGCCCTGCAACACTTTTTAAAGTTGCCACGGAATTGATTCACCAAAAAAGCTCATTGCCCCATGAATCCACCGCCGCAAAAATATTTAGAATACGTCCAGTACGAGCAGAGTTGCAAAGATTGGGGCACGCTTCAATTGCATTTTTTTCTTGTCTTATCCCAACGGGAGCACTGGAAGGTAAGCAGGGAGGAATGGCATGGCGAAAGGAAGTAAGTCACGCGTGTCTCATGAGTCATGACCTTGAGCACTTTTTTTCTCTCTCTCTTACTTTTCTCTTTGAATACGTGGATTCTTAGTGCGATCGCGCACGTATGCGTGGACAATTCATGGCCTTCCACACCGGTCCCAGTAACAACCAAGCGTGCAACCGAGCGTCAAGTCAGCCAATGGCTGATACAATGGTTGTGACAAGTAATTTTTTAGCTTCATCCGTCATTTGTTAAGAAAAAAGAAGGCAATTTTTAGCTCACTGAGAATATACTGTCGATTCCAGGCCGTGTGCTGCGCTATAATATTTTGCTCACGCTATAACATTTGGCTCACGGTAGCCTCGACTACTGATTGGCAGCGTTTTCTGACCAGGCTCAAGAAGTGTAGCAAGGCCCCTTTATATTTGTAATGGGGCTTCACGGCAAAACGGATTTTTCTTGGGTAAATGTTTTCACTGGTTAGTACCCGCACACTCCAGTGAACCCATCTTTACAGGCAGTTACATGTGGTATAGTACACACTTATTCGTTCATAGCAGATACTTCGAAATTTTCAATATTTTAAATTCGAATCGAACCGAATTTGAATACTGTACTATTCGTTCGAATATTTGCAGCATTTGAATATTCACACAAGCCTAGCAGAGACGGAAAATGGAAAAGCATGGCACAGGCGCGTCGCAGATCGGCATTTTAGAGAGAGCAAACAATCCGCCACAGTCTTTTCTTTCCTTTTCTTTTTTTACTTCTTCACTCGCAGCATTGAGAGGTGCCGCTGGGGGATCGGGCATAGTGCTCAGAGCATTTTCGGAGCGCGGTATGTTCGAATTAACCGTCGCAAGTGCTTGCGCGTTCAAATTACAGGGCATTTTCGCTCATTGGTATACACATATGTTTGATGGGACCTCAGCACGAGTTAGAAATACTCGTAAGTTCGAATTAATGAGATCCTACTGAGTTTATTTTCCGTAGCATGCGTGGTCGCGTCGTGGTACATCGGGTCGCGAGGCGGTTTCCTTCTTTGCATGTTTATAGGTGTGCGCCCATCTGACCATACATTGCCACAAACTGTTATAATCAATATAACAAAATAATTAATATAACGAAATAATTGTGGCTCCCCTTCAACTTCGTTATAATGAGATTTGAGTGTATAAGCAAACATTTGTAACACAGTACCTATGACAAAGCGATTGGTCACTTGCTTTGTTATAAGCGATAATTTGTTATATCTTAATTTGTTATATCAAGGTTTGAATGTATTTGCAATCCCTGCACCAAGGCTTTGTGCTGTCAAGGCCAAAGCTTATAACGCTAACAGACCAGTGAAATGAAAACACTTGCATGAAACTTGCTCCGAAATTCTATGTTGAGGAGCACCATAATGGGCAATAATTTGTTTGCCCTAAGTATTGCAGGATTGTGTGGTTGGCTATGTTTTGTTTACTAACTCCGAATGTCGCACGTGGCTTTGCCATCTTGCAGGTGTTCCATCGACCATTGAAAGCAGAACTACTCTATCATCACTCCAGCTGTACACCCTCGTGGGTCAGCAGTGCATGGCTTTGGCAGGACCGTCAACCTTTTTTGTGTGGACCGACAGCTTCTGGGAGCAGCTGTCCGGTCTCCCAACGGCACACAGTGTCCTAAGGGTCCATTGCGACACGCTCCCACTGAATGTCGGGCCCGCGCAGTTGCTGCATTGTGTGACGGCAGCTCAGCACATGACGCACCTAGTTGCTGTAAGCCTTTTGATGCAGCACAAAACATTTCGTATGTTTTGAAATTAAGTTTTTATGCCTCACAAATCGGCACAGTAGGTGTGACTTAAAAAAAAAAACACGATAGCCGTTAAAGTACAGATGTGCAGAGGTCCTCAAATAAGGCTCTCGAAAGCTCATGAGTCAGAGGCTTATTTGTAGGCACCGTTTATCAATGTTTGATGATCTCTCAATCGTGAGCTTGTAGGTGACCAGCCGCTTTGATTCAGAAATCTAATCTTTCCTTAAAGCGACTTGTCATTTCATGTTGCCGCAGTTTTTGCTTGATTATGATCACATTACTGTCATTGTTGCATCTACCAACTGAACTGTTACACTGCAAGCACGTGCATGACAGTCCAATTCCTGGCATGGAGGAAAGAAACAGTTAAGGGAGCACTGGGCTATGTGACCGCAAGAAAGGAATAATATGTCAGGCAGGCACAAACCAAGTTGCCCCCGTTTATACGGTAGGGCAAGGGCTTCTGAATTGTTTTGTTTGTATGTGTGTGTTTGCACATTTCCATGAGTACATGCAACTTCTACTTGTGCTAAGCTATTAATTATTCCAAGAACTAAGTGGGGGTGTGAACTGTCTGCAGTTGTATGCGATCTTGTGCAGGTTTTAGGCCCCAATTATTTTGCTTCCTTTCTCTCCTTTCAATAATGTGGCTAAAGTTTTAGCACATAAGAACAGGTTAAAGAATAAAGAAAATACATCTCATATTGTGTACAAAGATGTAGTATTTCCAATTCTAGTCAGTTCAACGTTGGTGTGAGGCTTACCCCGAAGACGCATTGATAAAAAATAATAATTTAATTTTTTAAAAATGATTTGAGCTTGTCATGCTCTTCCAAGGATCGGAATAACATTGTGAAAACCGCAATATAGGTTGACCCCCCCCCCCAAACATTTAATCTCCAAAAAAACAAAAACAAAATTTTTTAAATCATGAAGTATCACGGCACACCCTTATCTAGGTAAATACGCGACACAACCAGCTGCACTGTCGTGACATTTGTCTTTATTTAGACACTATTCCTATGTAGTTTAACGCCAGAAGGTTACAAAGTGCTGTCACTCAAACACGTCCGAACTTGAGTCCGACGACATCTGTTTTTCACTAGTAATGTCCCAGAGTGCAACGTTCTTCGTTTCATTAAGTGCGTTATTGATGGAGCATTTGTAGAAAGATGGAAGTACGCCGCCTCGGCGCAAAGCTCTTCCGCTTCACAAATCGGCGCTCCCACGATGGCGATCCCTTGAATTGCACCCTCGTGAGCCCAGAGTTGCACTATCTAGAGAGCTTTCATGCGGATGCACTCCGCTGTTATGGGTATCGATCTGGCACGCAGCTCCCAGATAAATTAGGCGAGTAGCATTTCTAGTTTGGGGTGCACTGCAGTTCGTCCACGAAACATTTTTTTTTTTTTTTTGCTGTTGTTGTTGCTGTTGCTGGGTGTGGTGCGCTGCTTTTGGCTCCTTCAGTATCAATTGCGTTTCTTCAATGCACTGAATCCCTGTTGTGCCACCAGGTTGCAGTGCATTTCGGCATACTCGGTAACTTTTTTCTTAAAGCCTATCATAAACTGCTGCTGACTACCACTCATTTCTGAAGGAAATAAAAAAAAAGACAGCCGGCTGATCACAAATAACCGAGGCAAAATGGCATTGATAGACCACTGTAGGTCTTGCCTAACCTTGCCCTACAGCACCCCTGATGATGCTCACGATGGCAGTGGAGGCTTTCTACTTCAGCTGCTTACTGTTGTGAGGCTTCCGCATTTTTTTTCCGGCCGATGACCAGTATATAAAACGAAGGTGGGACTTTTTATTGCATTTTTTTATTCGACCAATATTCTTTTGGTTTTTACACTATTCTTGTGTCTGTTGTTGCAATTGTATGCTGTACAGTTACATTTCAGTGCAATTAGAAATTTTTAATGGTTTAGGTAATATTGCAGAACATTGTTGTGCTGTATTGTGATATCACGAGACATTTTTGCACACATAGCCCTAACTATATTGCTAGGAAATAAATGTTGTTATTACTGTTTTATAAGGCTGGCTAACCCTGGGCACTTTTAGTTTTAGGTAAAACATAGTTGTAAAACAGATAGGAAAATCTCCAGAAGTATTCACCAGCATTCGACATGGGTGCACTGTTTTGCACTCACATAGCCCATACTTACGTTGGAACAAGGTCAGCGTTGCTTCACCTCAATAGGTTTAATTAAATCAGTCTTTGTGCTTTGTGTAAGAGCTGTAACATTGCATAATATATTTGTCTTGTTCTCAGTCTGTCACAGAACGCCTAGAGAAAATAACGCCCCACGGCAAAGTGAAAACTTCTCGCAAAGCAGCTGCAACCACTGCCAAAGGTCCCCAGGGAAAATCGTGGTGCGACGACCTCCGCAATGGCAGCTTCCAGTACATCCAAGACGATGGCAAGTCTTAATTTTAACAATGAGTAGGTTTGAACCATGGTAGGAAAATGGGGGGTGGGGGGGATCACCCTTTTTTTTTTTTTTTGCTGGATGTGTGTTTTGTGATATTTCTTTTTTAAGTGTCTTTTTTTAAAAACATTTCACGCACTACATGATGCCAGCTAGCAAAAAGAAAGAATGTTCCACACTCATCATCATGGCTTTGAGCGGCGCTAACACTCCCACTACACTCAAACCTCATTACAACAAAGTTGCATCTTTCTTGAAAACAAGATCATTATATCTTAACTGTTGTTATAAAGGTATATTCCTAACACTATATCTATTACAAGACTTCATTATGACCAATATTTCAAGAGATCAGAGTTAACTATATAGAGGTAAAAGTGTACAGTAGACACTCATTAAATGGAACCTGAAGGGACCAGGAAAATATGTTTCATTTAACAGTAGTTCCGTTTACTGAGAGATGAACAAGGGAGCAGATTACAAGCACGAACCCAATCTTGCCAGAAGCACTTGTTCCATTTAAGCAGCAGTTCCGTTTAACAGATTTCCGTTTACATTATATTCTACTGTATGATAGTCGACATGCCTATAAATACCCCACAAAGTGGACGAGGGGACGACTGCTGCCCCAGCTCAATTGGTAAGAGCATCGGGTGTGTAATGTGAAGGTTGCAGTTGCAGTCCCTGCTATCAGCAAGAGGTCTTTTCACCCACTCAACTTCCTTCACATCTGTATCACAGTTACTACATCACACTTAGAGCAGTACACTTAACGTCACCTATATTTTTCATGGCCTCATTATCTGCTGGTTTTCGTTTACGTATTGACTGCATGTGATCATTTGTTATTGTGATGCCCCCATTACCCAATGCCTCTTACGAGGCCTGTAAGAACTAAAAAAAAAAGAGAGAGAGAGAAACTGACATTGAGAAGCACTGACTAGTGTTACCAACTAAATTTCATTGAGTAAAATGGTGAGACTTTCTCAACAAGGATTGCGTTTGAATCACTGTGTATATAACCTTGCTGTTATGCTTTAAGAGAATATAGTTGAACGCTTGCGTTTGTTTATAGTATCTTTCAAAGTTTTCTTTTTTGTCCTTTCGAGCTTCAACTCTGCTCACCATGGAACTCCATCCAGCTCAGTCCAGGGCCTTGCTTAAATCTAGCAATGCTTCACGTTTTATTTGCTTACTGGCTGTTGCATTCTAGGCACACCCAACCCGAACGAGATTGTCTTTCGGAGGCCATTAAAGAATGGGGATGCTGGCGTGATGACTTGGCGCTATCCCGAGCCACGGGTTTTGACTCGGGTCGACGTCTATCCCGTGCCTTTCTCATCAACAGTCACAATGGGCACTTCCCCTCCTCCTGTGAGTATAACAAAAACGACTGCCCATAAAAAGCCTGTTAGGAGGACAACTGATGCTTTTATGCTGTGAGGGTATTGCACTGTGCATCTGGACTAACTAGGAGTGGGCGAATATCCGAAATTTCAAGTATTTTTTTATTAGTGTTTGCTATTTGATTTGATTTACATCAGAGTTTAACTATTCGAACTATTCGAACTTCTTGAACACAAATACAGTCAATGTCAAATTAACAATGGCCCCTTCAGGTTTTAATATGCTTCACTCCATTACACTTTTGTGTCGTGGCAAAGCTGTCTTCCAGGCTCTGCTATGGTCTGTATTGTATTGACTCATGAAAACACTGGTTCCGACATAGAGATGATAGATGTAGCAGAGATGGCAGTTCAATTAATGCTGTTTTGTACCTGAAATTTGGAAGTTCAAAAAATTGGATGCCAAATATTTTTAGCACCCAAAATTTCAGATGTTTTTATATATTAACGTCCTGCGGCAGATTTGGAACTCCGGACTTGAATGGAGGATGCCCTTGTCCGTCACATCAGTTGAGCTTCCACAGAAGTTGAAAGAGAAGGAGAGGCTGAGGATATCGCATCTTTGCCTTTTATGTGTAAAGAGTTGTAACTTGTTCGCACCACTTTGACTTGCACCAAATCACGTACATAGATACAATTTGGCTTCTGCACTGCCTCATTCTTGATAAGACAACTATGAAACACTTTCCCACCTGAGCTTCATCAGCCTAGCTAAGAGAAATACTATTATGCTGCTATCTCATAAGAATATGCTTAGGGAACCTTCTACAACTTTTTTTGGTTTCTGCTATTTTGTTTGAAAGTGTTAAAAGAAAGGCTATCTCTGCATACTATCCTCTTAATGCAGTCTGTGGAGTTTTCATGAATTTTGATGTTCACAGTTCAGCAAATAGGCAGCTTTTTGACTGTGTGAAAAATAAAAGGCATGTCCGATTATCTCGTTGCCTTATGGCACTTGTTGTTTTGACCGCTTTTACGGGACCTTCGTGCAGGCATTGCAATGCAACCTCCAGTACTGGGATCCCTGCCAAGAGGTGTTTGTGACATGCCAGCAGTTTGAGTTGTCGGAGAGCGAGCCGTGTTTCCTGGAGCTGCCAGCGCTGGCATTCTTTGGGGATCAGCCCCCGCCTGTGGCAGTGGCGGACACTTGGAGGGTCATCATACTTCCTCCTGAGCAACCAGCTGCAAGGTCTAGTGTTGCATATTGTTGCGCTAACTTGTCAAATCAATGGAGCTGAGCTTCAGCAGTCTTTAAGAAAGGCCTAGAAGTTCATTCCTTACATGGCTTCTATTCCAATGTGAAATAGGTGAGCTCTGCAAGACCTGAGCAATTTGGTAACAATGTCCACAGCAGGGAACACACCTCATCTCCTTATTCTGTTTCTCATTATGTTTCAGTCTCTTTTAAACAACAACATGGCAAGGCTCTAAGCTTAAACAGGCTGGAAACAAATCAATTGTATCGCATTAGGCCACAATATTCTCGGAGACCACTTGCCTGATTTGGACATTGCAAAAAAAAAAAAAAAGCACCCCTTGATTTGGGCATGGTGCAAACACCCAACCATGTTAGCTGAATGTCAAACCAAATAAATAAAATGTGGACAAAAGCTCACCTCCCCCCCCCCCTTTTTTTTTTAAGCCCGGCTTCTAACTGAATTGTTCAAGTTACATTCATGAATACCACTGTGTAAGGCGCACTGCCTGCAGCGTTACCGGTTGCAATGTACAATTTTGGTTAATCATCCTATGCTAAGTGCATAAAACAAAGTTTTAATTTTGCTACTCTGTGAAGAACAAACTGGTTAATGTCCTGGTCGAGAAGGCAGAGAAGGAATGTTGTGTGTGGATGCTAATTGAGGCAAAGGAAGAAGATTGCCTGGCTAGCCTGGTAACATAACTCAGTGGTAACATAGCACTTTGATTCCCCTATGACCTTTAACAAAGAACCAATTGAAAGTTTACCAGTTCTGAAGCACTTCCTATAGAGTATTTTATTTCCTTGTCACACTAGACGTTTTAATGTCATTCGAATGAAATGACACTCGCATCTAATGACACTTTGCGGCTGCCACGCAGAGATATATAATGTCATTAGAATCGAATAACTTAAAATCGAATGAGTTCGAGAAACACATGCATATTCTCTACCCCAGAGACTATTTAAAGAGTGGCATTAGGCATTCTCAATTTGACCCGCACTCAAAAAAACAGGCCATTAATGCTGCTTTTTTTAATAAGGCACCTATCACTTTAACGGGCACAGGACTATGAAAGGCTGTTGTGAAATGTCTTTACTCTCCACTTCAATGGCATCTGGGCACCAGTGCTGTCAGCCATGATGATGTATGCTCTCATACGGCTACGTCAATTTCGTTGCAAGCTCTTTGGCCGCATAGACGCATGCGAAACCACATTTCAAAGCAAACAAATTCGGAATGCTCTGGATTTTAAGTGTGTGGCCGCACCGCAAACAATACCATGTATGCATTTGTTACTTCGCGTTCTGGAAAACCTGCATAGACACATACGTTTTTTTTAGCTTGTGTCCGTTCTATTGGCTGTGGCTACTGCCTAAGTGGATCGTCTTAGCTTACAGTGGCCTTATATTCTGGTATATACATTTTCTATGTGTATTTATGTTGCAAAGTGACTTCCCGCATGTGTTTAAAATGAACAACTTCACTTTTCTATCACTCTACGTGTACCTCGCTCAACTTCTCTGGCAACTTTTTTCTGAGTTATTGCCATTGATATCATGATCGAATTACGTTACTTTTGCCTGTGTAGCACCACCACTGATTGAATGGGATTTGTTGCTCCGAATAACAGTTTGAAGCTAATGGCATAAACACCTTCAGTGTGATAGGGTTATTACATGTTTTGCTGTGTAACCTAGTTTCTAATGGGGCCTAATGATTTTCTTTGTAAAACAAGCTCTGTTACACTCAATTGAGTCATAAATGTACAACTGTTCACATACCTTTATTTAGTTTTCATTGACCCAATAAGCTTTGTCTTGGGCCACCCAGAATTTTTACAATTAAAAAAAGGAACTGCTGAGGCCATTCTTAGTTTGTGTAAAAGGAAGTTTACTGCACATAGCTTTACTACAATTCACTGCAACAAGAAATTAGCTGAAGCATTGTTACTCTAAAACTGTAAAACTTTTCTGTTCTGTCAAGTTTTTTAGCAGTGGAGCTGTTCTAGTATTGGTATTGATTACGGATAATTGTCCGTGTCGCATGTCACGCTCCGGTTCCCAGATACACCCATAACTGGCGTAACTGCCTCGATCGGGGGCGAAGCGGTAGCCACCTGGTGAAATGGGGAAGGGTAGCTCAAGCTGGAATAATGAGGCGTAAAGTCAATGCAGCAGGGGCGGGTGTGGCAGGGACTGTCCCACATCTTTTCCCATGCATCTCTACACTCTGAAAGTAACCTATCACAGACAAATTAACAAAATCGCAGAAAATTGCGAGGGAAACACGGGAGAACCGCAGCTCCATTGTTTCTGCAGATTTTGCAGAGGGCAGATCGAGGTAGCTTATTTTTCTTCCCCCTTATGTTGAAATGTCAGCAGGGACAGCGAGGAGCCCACTTCGGGAACGGCCATGTCTCCATTGGCATTAGCCGCCTGCATGCGTGTCGACTCCCACTTTGATCCAGCACTGGTGCCCCACCTGAGAGCGAGTGTGGCCGTCGATTCCTGTCTTGTCACCTTGAACGTACCCACTGACCAGAAAGGTGAGCCTTTACGCACCGTATTCACGGCACACTGTGAAGCATCATGATTTACTAAATCCTTTTGGAAATCATGGGGGTGAGTCTATAAAGGTTTACCTTAGTGACACCGTTATTTGAGGTAGCGGTTCCCTCATGTGGATTTTACAGCGATACCTTTTTGCTTGTTGCTTGCTCTGATTTTGCTGTTGCAACTAAAATGGAGAAACGATTTTCGCTGTTGATGCAGCGTGAAGGTCTCCTTTCGTAGCTTTTTGCATAGATTCTCGGAACTTTTTCTAAGTAGTGTATGTATAAAAGAATTTTTTAGGTGCTTGTGCATTTATGAGACACAACCAATTGATCAGAAAGACAATTAGTCAAAGGAAAGCATATGGAACATTATTTTAACAGTAGCATAGTAATTATGACCTAAATTGGAAGGGATTGAAACGGACGAAAAAGCATATCACCAACAGAAAGAGTGCTTTTCCATCTGTTCCTAATAAGTGCGTATGTTGTATCAGTTGGTGTTCAACTCTAGTCCACTCTAATATGTACTAGTGCTTGGAATTCTCATGATGTTGGTGCATATCTTGTCTTTAGTCAAGGTCACCTTCCTTAATCATATTTGTGTGCCGGTTACAGTTCCTTCAGCAGCGCTGTGGCCGTTCAAGTTGGATCACTCTGTGGCAAGCCCCACCAACCTCGACTTTGCCGTGATATCCATGGACCACTTGTGCCTTTCCTACACCGGCTGGGAGCATCGCATTAATCTTGGGGTAAACAAGACTGGCCTGAATTCCATGTGATTTGTGTACTAACTACAAAGTAGCAGTTGTCTGAACCTTGTGCATACTTAAACTGATGCTCGGAAGTTCTTACAGTGCCGCGTGTTTCTTATTTACTGGCCCTGTGTGGGCAATCATGTCACAGAACATCTTGTATCATAATATAGTCAAATGAAAATTTTTGGCTGCATGAGTTATTTATTTCACCAATGGTAATGAGTGTATAGTATACTATAAGTACATTGGGGCTTCCTTGTCCGGTTCATAATATAAAATGTGAGAGGCATTTGCCACAAGATGGTTCTAGTTTCTTCATTTTGTTGGGTGCCTACATTGTAAACTACCAGTTTGGAACCTCATCAGTGCCGAGTTCTACAAAAACAACAAATTTGTTCAAATGATGTGGTGCTTGAACAGAAGAAAACTATTTTAAATATAAACGATCTGAGCCGTGTTCCTGTACAGGTACTGCCCACACCATCTTTACATTCACTCTCACAATGGGTAGACAAGAATGCTCTGTATTTTTTTTTCTTTTAAGCCCATCCCCGCCCTTGCCTGTGTGAAGGGAAGGGATAATTTATGCATTTTGTATACTGCATTGAATCAATACTCCTTTAGAAATACACTCTAACCTCAATATAACGAAACCAAATATAACGATATATTGGTTGTAATGAAGTAAATAAAATATAGTCTCACAATAGATATTGTGTTAGGAATATGCCTTTATAATTTATCTTGTTATGCGTCTTTACTTTGCTAGGTGAATGGGTACATATCATGCGACGTCACAGAGCTGCTTCACCTCACCCGCCTTGGCATCCTCGACTCTGTAGGTATCAAAGCATCGGCCGTCATCTGCCAGCCATTCAACAAGGTGATTTCACATGTCTGACTGTAAGATCTTGGTATAGAAGCTTTCTATGAGTCACGAGGTGACCCTAATGTCAGCACTGCCACAACTAACCCGGATATGTATAGCAAAATATTTGTTATAACAAAGTAAATAAAGAAGTCTAGCAATCGATATATTGTTATGCATGTACCTTTATAATAAATTTTTGGATATAACAAACTTATTGTTGTGTAAGATGCAACTTTGTTATAATGAGGTTTGAATGTACTATTCATTGAGATTCGTATTAACATGATTATCACTATCAGACACTTGCTCCTAATATAACATGCCACATGAGATCTGCAGTGCAAAGGGACTTTTTCTTCTTATGTGGCCTTGCCACCGAAAAGCGCTGACTAACATTCCCAAAGCTACCGTATTTACTCGATTCTATCGCGCCCTCGATTGTGACGCGCACCCGATTTCCACCGCGAAAAAAAAAAAAAAACGTAAGACATCGATTGCAACGCGCACCCATTTTTCTCACTGGCCCGCACGATCACACCACTCAAAAAAACGACTCCTTTTGGGAGTGTCTTCAATTTAAATATGAGGTACGGGCAAAGCTTGTGCCCATCTGACGTGTAGCAGAGCATTGCCGTCACTGTAGTTTTACCGTGCACCAATGCCAGCACGCGAACTTGCTTCGCCCCCTTCTTCTCGACGGTTGTGGTGCCAGGCATGTCGAAGTAAAGAGGCGTCTGATTGGCATTCCCGATTTGCCCGAGCAGGTAGCCGTTGTTGCGCCGCAAGTTTAGGATGAACCTCTGAAAACTGTAAAAACTGTGAAGCTTTTCATCGTACTCTTTCGCAAAACTTTTTGCATATTCATGTTCATGTTCCCCTTCGGAGGAAAAAGCCTTTCCTCACCCCGCCGCGGTGGTCTAGTGGCTAAGGTACTCGGCTGCTGACCCGCAGGTCGCGGGTTCGATTCCCGGCTGCGGCGGCTGCATTTCCGATGGAGGCGGAAATGTTGTAGGCCCGTGTGCTCAGATTTGGGCGCACGTTAAAGAACCCCAGGTGGTCGAAATTTCCGGAGCCCTCCACTACGGCGTCTCTCATAATCATATGGTGGTTTTGGGACGTTAAACCCCACAAATCAATCAATCAATCGAAAAAGCCTTTCCTCTTCATAAAGTTATTTAGCCAGCACCTGCTCGCTTTAAACTGGCTCTGCATTAGACCTTTTTCTATGACTAATTGCATAGCCCGCACATGGAGCAGTTCTGTCGTCACGGGCCGCTGTGCCACTCGCTGCTCAAGCACATACTCGCCGAGCAGCTTTTTAATTTGCGGAAACCGACCCTGCTGTGGTCCACTGAAGCCTTTGCATGAAGCTCTGCTGTCGACAGTCTTCTGCTTTTGTTTATGCCAGTCCCGCACGCACATTTCGGGAACTCCGAACGACCGCGATGCGACCCGATTTCCGTCCGTTTCTGCACACGCGATGACTTTTCTTTTAAAAGCGGCATCGTGGTGCACTCGAGTTTTTGGAGTAGGCCCTTCCATGCCGTCGATGCTAATGCACTACTAGATGACGAACTCCTCAGCACACGTACGAAGTGCCGCACATGGGAAACACATAGGCAGAAATGGCCGACGCGCCATGCCGACGCACACGGAGGAAGGAAAGGTGCCGACGCACATAAGGGGCGGCCATTTTGGATTTGCCGATGGCAATAGATTGACCGTAATTTTTTTGTTCGTACTCGATTCTAACGTGCATGCGATTTATGAACTCGCTTAACCGAAAAAAAGGTGCGCGTTAGATTTGAGTAATTACGGTACTCTTTCACACAGATATATTCAAGCAGGCAGAGAGCTGATGCCCTTTTAGCCTTTTAAACCACAACATGAATAGTGCAGTGATTTTGAAATGGTTCCCCACCTGTGACAAGTTATCTTTTGAACCGGTGGCATTTTCTGTCACCTTATAGTCTAGACTACGATTAAACATAACCAATTTCTGCTGTGGATTCTGTCACTTCAAATTGTGTCACCTGCCACATTTGTGTACCTGTGATTAACAAAAAAGCCTAAATAGCAAACTGATGTATCTTTGTTTTTTCAATATTAGGAGCCTGGCGTTGAAATCGAGGCATCCTTGGACCCGTGCTTTATCAGGATCTGTCAGCTTGTTGTTCACACGCTCTCCACGGCAGCTTCCTACTGGAGCCCGGTTAGCCACCACAATGCTCCTTTTGTACAGAGTGGGGATGTGCTGTCTCGAATTTTAGTGAAACTTCAACTTGGACAAGTTGATAATGCTTCATATTGAGTTAGCAAAAAACAATACAATATTTGAAGTCTGCATCGCTCTTTCTTTAGTCGGTGTAGTTTGTGAGGTGCTTTGCTAGTTCAAACTGAGTTTCTGTTGGGTACAGTAAAAGCTCGGTAATTCAAGATTTCATGAAACTGGAAAAAATGGCTGAATAACCAAATAGTTAATTATTGTGAGTACAAAGAAAACATAATGAAGTTGGTGTCACATCAATTTTCTTTCGTTTTTTGTTGAATGCGAAAATTCTGTGTGAGTGCTGCGATTCTTGCCATGTGGGACTTAGTTCCCAATCAAGCCTGTGGCTCGACACCCCGTGTCTTAAGCCAAAACATATTCTCAACCTATCTCTTATTATGTACCACCACAAAATTCACTTGGCCCTATCTTTGAGTTTTGTGATAGCCTGAAGACAGCCTGAAGTTCAAAGTTACTGAGCACCCCATTCGCTATAGAAGAAAATGTGGTCACAAGTAGCTTGATCATAGCATCTACGCATTTCTGAAGGCATGCACGCGACTTACGCATCGAGTCTAAACAAAACTGCTGAGTACTGCAGCTGCAGCTAAAGAAACGTGGCTTGCCAATGCACAATCAAGGAATGTGACTACACAGTTCTGAAGGCAAGCGGTGAAAATGAAACTGCCACTTCTCACAGCTTCATCCTAGTCACTATCAATGTTATTATACACAGCACTCACAAGCCTTGGTTGCTAACAACATGATTGTGCTTGAAGTGCTAACTAACCGGGTTGTGGCCAAATATGACTGAATATGCCATACCAAATAACACATCTAAATTGTTCGATTTCCCAAATTAACGAGCTTTTACTGTACAATACTTTTAATATTATTTGGAGGGGTATGACTGCTGTTCTCACATATGAGAGTGGCTAATTATTAGGGTTTGTTATATGTTCGTGTTGCATCGTAGCACGCCAGCAAATGGTAGAGAATAAAAAAAAACCAAGCGATTTCTTACTTTTGCGGCTGTTATATGCTAAAGGAACAGGTTTTTTTTATTCATTAGTTATTTTTTTATGGGACATGCCGTGAACTGCATGTTATATAGGAATTGAGCTACGAGAAAATCAGACCGATTTATTTGTATGCACTAAAATATTGTGCTCTAAGGTACTCAAAGGAAAGTGATGCAGAATGATTGATGTAGTTAAGCTGGGACCCTTTTATGAGATGGCCTTATACAACCCGTGTTAACTTATAAGTTGCATGACAGGACAACATTAATTAAACCTCACAGACAACATAGCCAATGAAAGAGAACGAGTTTTATATGAGAGAACATGTATGTGTCTTTCCAACCACGAAGAAGACAAGTCCACTTGTCGTAACGTCGCCTCACAGATTTACAGTTTACATATTTTTCATCGCAAGCTTCTATCTTCACTTTCCAGCTGTTTTTATGACTGTGCGTAGTTACTAAAAACTTGCTTGACAGTTGTGTAACTTTCCAGTTATGCTCTGCTCTACTCATTACTTACGTGTACCACGCGAGGAGTTTTTGTGTCTGTGAAGCTTAATTTTGCAATAGGTGATGTTGCTTGTCTGTCTGCTTGTTGCAGGATGCACACACTGGTGTTCTCCCCAGCTACGTGGCCATTTGCAACAACACAACGGACACTGTGTGCTTTGGTCAGGTGTGTTTTCCTCAACTTCTCGCTCTCAATTGACTTTGTACTTGGCAGTGTTGCCATGCACCTTTGAAGGTGTGCCCCATATGACAAAGCAGAATGACACCTCATTTGAGGAAATCATATTTACATATTCCAAACCTGTACCTTACTGCAAAAAAAAGGTGGAACAAATCCAGATAACAAAAAAATTTATTGCTATTTTTATGTGTATATTCTTTCCCATAATCCTTGCTATAGCACTTTTGTACGCCAGAAATCATTAACATGAATTAAATATCTAGGTCCACTGTTTTTCTTTGTGAAATTCGGTCTAATGAGTGATGAAATAAAGAGAAAAAATATACACCATTAGCAATGTATCACAGTTTCCTTTCTTGGGGCTGTACCAGCTCGTGTAATCAAAATACTAAGACATATTGGTTGGTTTTTTCACATTATGGAACGTGGTTCGTGGTGTGTATACTACACTATAGACCGCTTATAACGTAAGTTGCGGGAGTCACGGATGTCCGCACTATAAGCGGTTCTGCACTATAAACAAAACAACCTTTTTTAAGGGCCGCGATTGCGAGCAGCAGCCATGCGTGTTTGGAAATCGGAGCATGCAATGCATGGTACTTACAACCTTTTACAGAAAACGCCAATCATTCAATTTTATGGGTGCTCACTCTTTTTCACTGTGAACAAGGCTTCCGTGTGGGAGCCGAAACGTCTTTTTTCTGTGCTTTTTCTTTTTAAAGTTTTACTTTGGTCGGCGCAGTGCCTCCAGGTTTTTTAACCTTCAACCACGATTTCAATACGTTGCAATTGAATCGTGAACCACCATTTGAGCGCTACACATGTCACTCTCGTTTTCATTAACACACATATCCCTTCCTTTCAAGAGCAGGCACCACAAAGAGCTTCGTTGATTTTTTGCCAAACTGCAACTTAGCACGCGACCGCTACCGAAAATCTACCAACGCTGATTAGGCCTAGCCTGCTATTTGGTACGTTGTCGTGGGAAGTTTTTCCAAGACAGGAATATCCGACGTTGAAAAGACCGCACTCAAGCTCTGAACCAAGAACAGTGTGAGTGAACCAATAACAGTGTGAGCTTACATAAGACAACGCACCGGCGGCAAAAATGAAAGCACACGTCATAAAGCCATGAAAGGCTTCAAATTTACGGACGAGGTGGCAAACAGGATATCTGTAGCAAGCACGAATCGACAATGCTTGATCCGGCAGGAAACTGTTAAGTGCAGTGATAAGGAAGGAATCGCACGTGCCATGTTGAGCTGCGGCAAGCGAGAGCCACGATGGTGACTCTAATCCGCGACGAGGCAACCGCCCTCGGCGAGCCCGCCCAGAGTGCTGCGGTCTTTTTTTTTCTTCTTCTTCTTCTCTCAGCCCCTCGTTCGCTCACTCCACGTACCCTCTTCCTCCATAACGACCTCGTCGCTCGCTCCCCAGCCGCGTACCCAGCGCGCCTCCTTTTAGACGCGCATTTGCTACCACAATTGTCACAAAGATTTTCCGGCAACCGTATTACAACCGGTCTTTTCTATTGGAGGACTGCACAATAAGCGGTATGTGTATACATGGGGTTCTATGGGCCGGGGAACGGGAGTCAAAAAAGACCGCATTATAACCAATTCTGCAATATAAGCGGTTACGTTATAAGTGGTCTACACTGTAATAGAATGAGACACGATAAGAAACAAAGAGGACTTAAGTGATGACCCTCGGCGTGTCTTGCTTTGTCCTATTCCGTTATGCACTGCTCATATAATTTTTTTCAAAGAAGCGCGTGTGTGTCTCTGTGGGAATGCACTTGTGCTCATGCACTCTAATATTTTAAAGCAAACTAGGCAAGACAATCTTTTTTGCCATAGCACGGGAAGGTACCACTTCCAACTGAAAGGCAAAAGGCTATCACTGACATAGTCCCTGTTGGTACTTTTTCATATGGTTGTAATCACAGGCTGGAACTGTGGAGAAGATATCACTCCAACCAGGGCACATGCATGCCTACACGTGGAAGAGCACAAAGGCACCATTGGTAAGCTCCTTCTGCTAATACAAATGTATGTTTGCACTGTTATTTAGTATTTCTGCTTTTTTTAGCAATATGGATAATTGTTCCTTACATGTTTGTCCTTGTCTGTATTGCTTGCTAGATGTTCTATAGCTCCATCTGCGATACTGTGGTTTCGCTATAAGTACTGTACAGGCCAATACAGTCAAACCCTTTTATCAGAGACACTGATATAAAAGACAAATGGGTATAAGAGCCACCGGTGTGTGTCCACAGTAAAATGCGGATGGATAAGAAAATGTTTACAAGGTACCCTGCTTATAAGAGACATCTCATGTAAGAAACAATAATTGCTGCCCAGAGCATGCCTTTCATGAAGGGGTTTTACTGTATTACAAGCAGACAGAAAAATATGACACTAGTCTTCATTAGTGTCAGTACAGTGATGTTCTGTCTGCCAGAATGTTACCAGTACCAGTTGGCAAATGAACACGAAATGTTGATGTCGAAAATTGAATATAAAGGAAATATTGTCATGTTGGTTACAACTTCATTACAATGAGGTTCAGTTGCACAATTTTAAATGCAACATGGGACAGTTGCAGGATTCTAAGCCCCGGGATTTGATCATAATTCAATTCAGTGGTAATTATTTATTGGTGATACACTAGTGTCATACATTGCTAGAACTGTTTTATTATTTTCTCTTCGTAGATGCTGCACCTTGGAATAGAAAACCAGCAGTGGAAGTGGAGCAGTCCTTTCGCACTGATTCGCGACAAGGAAATTGCTGTTGAAATACCCATTGGTTCTTCGGCTGTGTCTACTGTCCTGGTCAGAATGCAAGGAGGGCAAGGAGTTGAGATGCAGGCAAGTACCCAGCAGAAAAAAAAAATGAATGCATCTTATATATTCCCTGCTTTTCACGTCCAATAAAGTCGCAAAATCACAAGAATTGGAAAGCGCACTTATTAGACCAGGACGGCGACTCAGGGAGTACATCGAATGACTCAGTGAACATAGTGCCTTCAGTGAGATGACCATATGAAACAGTACACATCATAATCAAGCTAAATAGAGGCTAAATAATTGTGCAGGATGTTCAGTTCAATTACACCTCAATGTACCTTGTAGACGGGCTATCACCCCCTGTAAAGTCGCTTGCACCTCGTGAAGCACGTGTCTCGCAGATAATCTGTACTTAAGGTTAACAGCGGCTGAGCGGTAGATGGTGCATTGCTCGCACGGGATCTTCGCCATCATCATCATTGTGGTTAGCGTGGTAGCACCAGCAGTGACGCCTGGCGGCGAGGCTCGGGGGCCATACAGTAATGATTGGGGAGTCTCTTGGGCGCGGGGTGGCTGGCGTGCATTGTTGCTTGCTGACGGGGTCCCGCGAGACACAGCGACCGCGGGCTGTCTTTTGTGGGTTCCTAGTGGTGAGTAGAACATCGGTGGCGACGCCTTTGCGTTACCTTGTGTTTGTTGTTATGTTTTGAGTGTTCTCAAAATACCGTTATGTTTTGAGTTTTCTTTGATACTCAAAAGGTTAAGGTAATCTGAAGCTCCACAGTACATTTCAAAAGTTCATGGAAGTACTTTGCGTGCAACACACAGGGACGTAGAAAGGAGACACATGGCCAAGCACGTGTCTCCTTTCTTAGTTGTCGTGGGTTCCACAAAAGTACTTCCATCAATTCGTTCCAACTAGGCCGATTAGCAGTTTGATTCAAAAAGTATTGCAAAGAACAAATAATAGGAACCATAACTCAATTTGTCACAACTTCACCACAGGTGATCATCTCTGGCCAAGTCACCCTCCGGAGTCACTTAGTGACCGACCTTCAGATCCAGCTCAGGATGCTGGTCGACAGTGCAAAGGAACACAACAAGTCACCATCTGCACAGCCATCAAAGACTCGCACCCTGGTGGTTGACATTGGTGACAAGGCCTGTAGGAGCCTCATCATCAACCCTCGCAGGCTACACTCTTTTTCACTCAGGAGACAGGCTTCCACACCGGGCGGACAGGCAAGGGTGAATGCTGTGCCTTGGTCCAGCGAAGTAGTTTTCAACGCCATGAGCTCGAAGGATTGGGCCAAGGTTGTTGAGGTCTGTAACATTTTTTATATGTTATTACAGCAAAACGTTGTTTTAACAAGGTGGCATCTAACATGAAAGTAACTTCAATGTATCTGAGAATTCATCATAAATGTTCATCTGAAACATTGGGTTGATGGCACATTTATTTTTTATTTGCTTTGTTATAACCAATAATTCATTATATATCCCTATTTTTTATACAGTTAAGCCACATTATAATGAACCTTCATGTAACGAATTTCTCGATATAACGAAGTGTTGCTATTTTCCGCCGTTGCTCCATATAAGCACATGTATTTGCGACCTCTACATAACAAAGTAACTGCAGAAGACAACCTTGATATAGCAAATTTTTCTCACAGACGACCTAGGAATTTGGCCTCGAATTTTTGTCATCTCGGTACGAGCATGCATCTTCCTCAGGTGCCCCACTGCTGACAAAGCATGAAGCGGGGGCAGCACACACAGCGCACTCGTGACCCCAGCGACAGTTAGGCAACGGGGAGCGCTCGTTAATGCGCGCAAGGCGGGCCTGCACCCCACGAGCTAGCGTTACCACCGTTCTTGCCACCGCGGATGCATGTACAGATGTGCCCCATATGTGGGGCCGCGCGTCACATATGTGGAGCCGCGCTGCATATATATGGAGGGCGCTTTACCGAATAGTTTTCTGCTGTATCCGTGTCATCCGCTCTTTGCTTTCGACATCGTGCTCCTGTGCATGGTTTCACTGTGCAGACATAGTGTAGCCTCTGACGAAATTCAGCCTTGCAGACGGATGGTTTCATTTCTGTTTGAGCATTCGACGGCAGCTCTCACATGCGGAGGATGTGATCTTGTGTGCCTTCCAGGTGATAGATCTAGATGGCTCAACTCATTTGATCTGTGCTTCAGCAGCGCTCGCGCGCTTTTACCCGCTTGTGAAAGCTACGATCCACAGGGGCATGTTATCAATTTAGACTAGTTACGGGAAATGGCGGCAACAGCGAAAACCCGCCGAGAGTGTCTATATGTAATAATGCAGTTTTTTATTGCTAAATAAGTGTTTTTGGTTAGCTCTGCTTTTAGTCCCCCTTTGGTTTAATTTGTGTATTTATTTTCCGAATTTTCATATTACCTGCATTTAATAAAATTCTTTTTATAACGAATTTTTTTTAATTTATCAGTTTCGTTATATCCAGGTTTATATGTATCAAGGCTCTACTGAACTTGCTTTGTTGCCCATGCAATGCGCACCAGAAGATTAGCACAAATGATTTGTATGCAAAGTTTGGGGGGGGAGTGATTCTTTAAGTGAAAAGAAGATAAAAGTGAGCCCCGTAACTGTCTGCATCAGAGTGCAACACCTCAATAGTAGCTCACGAGGGATGGGGTTAAGGAGGGATTGAAAGGATAGAGAGGAATTAAAGGTATACAGATAGAGAGAGGGGCAGGGACAGCCACATACTGAAGTAAGGAGAAGATAGGGAAGATGAACACGGCCGCAGAAGTCTGAGGACGGGGCACCACTCCGCGAGAGCTCTTGTCGGCGGCAGGAGATGGCGTACGGCGAGCCAGTCGGCCAGAGCTGTGCTGTCATCGGAGATCGCGGGGGCGCGACTGGTCGGCACGAAATCCAGCCAGCGAGTCCCCGCAAAGTTTGGTCTAAATGCAGCTTCACTGCAACTTGTCGTGTATTGATAGAAAGATAAACTAAAATGCAAATGGTTCCTTGTTACAAATCTGCACGATGCTTTCAAAGAACACTGCAGCGAATGTGACCGTAATTTGTTTACAAATGAGGTTATTGTTAGTTTTACTTTATGCCATTATAAGTGCGAGCTGCATTAAATAATGTTGTTTCTTGTTTGTGTGGAATACATGTGCAATATTCTTATGATAATTGCAATTAGGGTTGGATGTTCTATTCGTTGGCTAGGTATATTGGGGAAGTACAGACAAGCTACGCATTTTCCAGTATATAAAACAGTTCCGGCATATAACCTTCACACCCAACTACCAAGTAGGAAAACATTTTTTTGGTGAAAATTCTCGCGTATTGTCATAAAGACACCTCGTGCACGAAAATTCGCGTACATTTTGCCACCCAAATTTCACTCTGCTCATATTGCCCATATTTTATGCTTGAAAATATGGTATATGAAAAACCAAGTGCTACTGCCGAGAGCTGAGTTGGCAGTGCTTTATTTGCAGGTACCACAAGACACTGATGAAGCTGCAAAGCTCCAGCTGTGGTGCTATTGTTTCGCTGGCTGTTTTGGATCATCAGCAAATTTCCTGGTTGGTAGCGCTCATCGAAAAGCTGCTGCTTTTATCTTGCTCATAGCCGTGCACTGTAAAACTCGCTATGAAGGTGGCACCGATAAAGTATACAAATGAAAGTGCAGGAATGAATGCCAAACCGAAAATTCTTTAGTACCTCCTCTTTTGTAATTAAACCATGTGATCTCGCTGCTCTGATGTCATCCCTGATAGGTTCACATTTATAAGCAGTGTTTTGCATCAATTTAGTGCGTCAGCTTAGTGTAATTGAAAAATTAAGATAAGGCTTTTGTTTCAAATTGTACCGTGTAGAGAAATCAGATTTCCAACAATTAGTTTAGACAGGCTGTGTTCTTTTTAAAGCGGTCTTGTGTAAAGTAATTGCACAAAATCATCTTTATCATATGAGGATGTGATGTAGCCCGCTGTGATAGATTAGCACATAAGTCATCATGTCGCTAAGCTCAAGGGCGCATCTTCCGTCCCCACCTACGGTGGCCACATTTCAGTGGGGGCGAAACCCAAAGAACATTGACTTTCCTAGATTGATGCACACCTTGGAGGGCCAGTCAACAGGCTCTGACTTTTTCTTTTTTATAGCCCCCAAAGAAGCTCGTCAAATCGTAGAGTAAACCGCGGCCATCAGGCTTTCAGAATACCACAATGCCGCGTGGAGCGTCCATTTCGAAAAAACAATTCCTGTGCTCCTTTCCTCCGCCTAACCAATCCTCCTTTCACGAGCAGTTATGCAAAGACGCCGATTGGCGACCTGACATAGCATGCAGCTCGTCGTAAATCAGTCATGATGACGGGCTACCCCTTTCTCTTCTTGTGAGGGAGAAGAGTAGCGAGGCCGTGCGAAAACTTAAAGCCAGCCTAAACCGATGTTCTAACCCCTGTAGCTTTCTTAATATAGCACGTATTTGCGAAATTCTTGGGGCAGCATGTTCACAAATCAAAAATACACATATTTCTCTTTGTAAAAACTTTTTTTTTTTGCCTCGGCGATGTTTGCTGGCCCTTTTAAGAACCCTAGGTGGTTTATATTAATTTAGAGTATGGCTAATAATAAGTTTTTTCTCATTTTCCTGCTCTCTCATGGCCCCTGGAAGGTGCTGGCATTCGCGCCCCTTCACGTGCTGCGCAGCCACTTGCCCTGCAGCCTCCTGGTCCACCTTCATGGAAGGACCGGCTTCGAAGCAGCGGGTGACCACTACCACTCGCTCCTAGTTCCCGGCCGAGGCCAAGACTGGCCTCTGCTTGTGGATCCACCGCCGTCCAGTCTCACCTTTCAACTCGGGCCAGGTCAGTGCTTGAAATAGAGCAGCCAAAGTAGCCGTAGCATTGCAGCTGATTTCGGCATCTCGCATGTGCATTTAAATGACATGGTATTTTACAGTTTCGAAGCAATGAGTAAGCATTTGCTGCCTAGTTTCCCTACTCAACTTGCTTGTGAAACAGTATTGCTTTGTGTGGCCACGGCAAAGGAGCAATCAAGCATTTAATAGGCCTCGTGTGACGAGTGACTAGAAGTGTGTATTGGCTGCTGTCATTGTATACTCTGTAATGCGCGGACATATCTTTTCTTTTACCTTACATTCTTTTCTTCTCTCTCACTGTCCCTTCAATCCACGTTCCTTCGCGAGTGTATCGGTTGAGGTGTCCTCACATGAGGGACGATTGTTGTGCACTCCACACCCCATTATCTGACCTTTTGTGTCTTTTTCTAAGGAATAACCCCCCCACCCAAGCAACATCAGTGCTCCCCTCTTCCCCGTTCTGTTGCACCGCTGATTTTCACCCCTAACAAAAAAAATCCTCCAGAGGGCCATGCTTTAGTGGCTGTTAGTACTGCAGTATAATGTCTTTAAGTTTAGCTTGAAAGAACCAAAAAAGGTATGTTTTACTTAATGGGCGTTTCATTTGCTGGAAAATGTGTATGAAGTTGCAACAGTCAAAAATAAGATCCACTTAATAAAAAGCATTAGCATTTTAAGCAGCAATTTCATATAGGTGATTTTTGTTTACCAATACTCTACTGTACATTAGTGTAACATTATCATTGCTGTGGTAAAGTTGTGTAGTCTGCATAATGTCATTCTTTAATTTTGGTTTTCCCTACTCCATAGAGGTGGACATCTGGGCACGTTGGTATTCCATGATTAAGAATGGTAATAGCGCACTAATAACAAGGACACAAAGCAGGCACACATGCACACACACACATCCATACATAGCGCAAATTTTGACAGTTTTTATTTTGCGATACCAAGGCTAATAGGGCCAAGAAGACAATAAATATGCTCACATATGTCGCATGGTAGAACAGGATTATTACTAGGCATCAAGACGGACATCAAAAAAATCAAATTCTTTTTTTTTTTTTTTTGTCAGCGTGATAGAGGGCATGCTAATACACTTGTCACCTGCCCTCTTTATCTCCCCGGCTTCTATTATTTCACGTGTGGCAGGCGGTTTCTTAGCGGTGCACTGTAAGAAGCATGGTTTTGACAAATGCAGAGTTTTGGCACGAAACGGAAATCAGCTTACACGAACTCAAATACCCTACTATTCATTCGATTATTCGAAGCTTTTGAATATTCGCACAAGCCTACTGTTTTGTAATCAAGTAAATGGCATGCGTATTCAGCTTTTGATGGCACAACAAAACTTAATGAGATACATGCAATTGGCAGCACGAGTCCCAGCATAGTTACCTCAAAAACTGATGAGGCCTTCTCAGTAGCAGTGTAGTAACGCAGTGTGAAAGTGCTAGCACCTTTTAGAAAGGGTCGCTACACATGATCAGTTCCCTTCTTCAGCCTCGAGCTAGCTAGACAGGTTGTTCAGCTTGATGTAAATCTGATGCGGTTCATCGAACATGCTCGATGTTTGGGCACCCAGCTCATCTATTTCCGCTGTTTTGCAGTGAAAATCCTTCATGCCGATGAGAGTGAGGTGGTTCGGTCTTCGCCTTTGACGAAGCAACGTGATCAGATGCTACAATCAAGAAACTTCAGCACAGCTCGAAGCGAAAGTGCCGCCTTGGCCCTATTAAGTGCAGCCATCCTTGTTTTTTCGACCAGTGTTGGCAGCACACAGAGCATTTTGTGGAGTTGCGAATACTACTGAAATTTTTATGAGGTTCACCAGGGGCTTTCATTCAGGGGGGTGGCTCGATAGCTTTGGTATAATGATGAAATTCTGACTCAGGCAGAATGCAAAAATGTCTCTGTGTGCCACAGTTTGGGTGTGAAACCACTAACGACCGAAGTAAACCGAGAGCTCCCCACTGCTGAGTCTCTTCTGACCCCCTGTTCAGTACATTGAATTTTGCAATTGAGCTAATGACTTCTGTGTCTCATTATGCCACTCGCACCCGCAGGCAAGCGCGTTTCCTCTCCTGCGCTTGAACTGAGGCCTCCGTCCTTGGACCATGAAATCTCCACCACACCTTCGGAAGACCTGTGGAGGCTACGCAATCCTGAGTGGAACTTTGGCTCCCCTCATGCAGCCAAGTGGCCATACGACGATGTTGAGCGCATAGCCAAAGTGGACCACATGTGGGAGAGGGGAGTTCTCACTCAGCTCTTCACCTCTACCAACGCAAGGTCAGTGTGTTTCTTCACTTTCTGCTGACTTATTAATTGATTCATTCATTGATTGATCCCACTCATTCATTGAACATATTTCTGTGAAGTGTATAATAATTGTTGGGCTTTAACGTCCCAAAACTACCATATGGTTATGAGAGACGCTGTAGTAGGGAGCTCTGGAAATTTCGACCACGGGAGGTTCTTTAACGCGCTCCAAAATCTAAGCACACGGCCCTCAAGCATTTTCGCCTCCATCAAAAATGTGGTCGCCGTGGCCGGGATTCGATCCCGCATTTCTGTGAAGTGGCAGTTGTAAGAAAGGCATCGAGACAAATGCTACCTGTCCTGTCACCTGTCATGCCGCCATAATAACACAGTTGTTATTCAGCTGTAAGCCTTAGATGCTTCATCAGGCGTAAAATGTGAGCATTGGCGTCAATGTCGACCTGAGTGACGCAAGCAATCATCACAGGATGACGTCACCCTATGACATCATAATGGAGTCACAAAACCTGATGTCACATGATGGCATCACCACAGGTCACTGTGACTTTGTAAAAGGTGGACGGAATATCAGAGGCACAGCGAAGCCCAATAAGGCGCAGAAAGGTTTCAATGCCTCTGATCTCGGAGGCAGTGTAAAACTACATTGGGTCCATAAAGCCTTCGGGAGGGGGTATCTATACGATCGACTAAGAAAAAAGGAAGGGATGGGTTGTGCTCTTGAGTTGCCTTAGGCAGGTGCATGAGGCACCAAGGCACTTTAGATTTGTTCGTGTATAAGGCATCTAACCTGAGAAAGAATACTGCTGACTTCTGTTCATGGAATGTTCACAGCCATATTGTTTTATCTCATGAACATAATGATTTCTCAGTGCGCTTTATTTTTCGCTCACACCCTGCAGCCCCAAGTGCCTTCCCGAGATGCCAGAGACGGAGCTGCACGTGAAACAGTATTACGACCCCAACCTTCCATATCCGGGCACAGTTCTGGTGGACATCAAGCCGTGGGCATTTATCGTCAATTGCACGGGGCTAGAGCTCAGGTTGCTCACGGGTGACCACAGCATTTGGACTCTAGCCCAGGATCAGACAATGGCACCACCACCACTTTATGTGAGTCTTCAGGGGTATCAAATATTGAAATTTCAGTGCAAAATAGGAAGTTGCCACTAGCCACCCCCCCAAAAAAAATTTAAAATGTTTAAGGGGGGGATGTGGCAATAAAAACCATCTTTATTACTGAAAATAAAGCGATACAATTTGACATGCAGATGTTGTTTGTTGTGCTGATATGATAACTGGTATCGGTTTTTGGTTTTGAGCTATTTAATGTAGTTTTTGAGTTGCAGTTCTAGACAGGCTCTCATGGTCATCCCATAATTATTCGATTAATTAGACATAAATTTGTCAAAATTTTTGCACACAGTTATCTATAAGGGTTCATTCTATGTCGTAATGCTATTTGTTTTTTTTAACAAGTAAGTAAATACACAAAAATAATTTTTGAAATTACCTGGGTTCACTAACAACTTTTACAAAAATCTAATTATAAAAATGTGTGTAATGTGCTCACAGATATGACTAGCTTTACGGCATTCACTAATGTCTCAGGGCCTAAGTGCAGAAAGCGGAATGGCTTTATCTTCATTTGTTGCGAAATGGCGCTGGGATGGCTGACAGCACCTGCTGCTCAAAAAAGAAAGGTGAGAAAATGGAGCCTCAAGAGAGTGGAGCTAGAAGCCAAGAAAACGAAACTCTGAAGGGAGCTGACTTTATTTTTCATTGGAGAAATGCAGCTTTGTGGCTATCTTGAGCTCCGTTTGTCCTCTTTACAATGATGCCAGCATGGGGATACTGTGCCAAGGGAAAGCAGCAGATTTACATTTTCTAAAGCCCAATTTTCACACTGCTTTTGACGACAGCCCACCAGTAAACTGCTTTTTTCTCAACTTGTACTTCTTATTTTGATCTAATATTTCACCATGATGTAAAACATGGCCTCAGGATTGCAGAAAAAAATTAATTGGAAAACTGAACACTTTGACCAAATTTATTGTTTTCATCGCCACGTCCCCCCTTAAAGAGCCTATTCCAGTTGTACCCAGTATGAAATCTGAAGGAACAGCGGAGCTGCAGTTCTCTGTTTCTTTTGTCATGTGAGTGGTGTGATGTCCTTTTGTGATGGTGTGAGTTTGTGTGATGTTCTGTGATCTTCTGTGGGTGTCTGTGATTGCATTACTGCGGGAGTAGAAATGCACCGAAAATGACATGTGGCAGCCCATGCCACATGGGTGGCATGGGCTGCCCATGCCACCCATGTGGCATGGGCTGCCCACATGGGTGGGCAGTGTACATCAGTGCACTGCCCACATGGGTGGGCAGTGCACTGATGTCTTGTTGGGCGTGCAGGACCCCTTTTTTCTGGCTGTTGAGGAGAACGGCGCGCTTCACTGCTCCCTGCGGCCCCTGCTAGTGGACCCTTCCTACCTTCTTCAGAAGAGGAAAGGAAGCGCCCCGCCCGACGACCTGGAAGCTGACCTGCTGCATCTGTCGGTGCCCATGCCTGTGTCCATCTACTATGGCAACCCCGACTCGGCTTCGTTCACTGTGAGTGACCCGTTCCAAGAGTTGGGAGTAATTTTTAAGGAGTTTTGATGTGTACCAGTATATCTAAGTGTGTAGTATATATGAATTTGCAAATCTTATAGGCTATCCAAAATTATACTGACAAGCATCAGAGCTCCTGTGATAAATTTCTGTACCAGTTGTTTCCGTTGACAAGTTTTGGTACCTAAAAAGTGGATGTGTCTTCACTCTGTTTCAGTGATCACCATTTCTGCTTAAATGTGTGCAGCTAGTAAAAATGCTTGAACCTGCCTTCTTTATTTTTTAATATAAGTGATGTCTTTGTGGCTAGCCTTGTTGTTACATGACATCAGCAAATTTATTTTGTCATGACATTGCGATAGTGCCAACGATGATAGGTCCAGAATCCTAAAGCATATGTGAGTAGTTTCAAATGAGAATGTGCGCTGAAGATTGCTAGGCAAGGCACTGTGCCATGTGAACAGGAAAGACTTTAACGAACTCGGGGTTTGCGCTCAATTGGTTTCGAGTGTGACTGGTCTATTTTTGCAGTAGGCCTATTTATGCTATACTTATACTGCACTTGATGTGACTCTCTGTTCATCTTATGTGTATTTAAACTGAAAATCAGCAGTTGGTGTCAATCTAATCTCTCCTTTTGGCTACGTGTGCTGGTCTTTTTCCTTCAGGCTGGTCTTGCCACAGGCATCCACAATAGTTACAACGGATTACAGTTGCCCCTGATTTCCACTTACTGTGCATTGTTCTATTCCCATTGCTCTTTTTTTTTTTTGCTTAACTTTGTACATGCTTTCTGGCACGATTCAGCATTGTTCTGTACAGGTCTGTCGGCTGATTGCCCTGGCACACGACTTCGAGGGATGCCTCGTGGTGACGCTGAGGTCAGCCGTCTACCTCAGCAATCAGACGGATTTGCCACTGGCTGCTGCCGGCTTCACAACCAGGAAGGCTCTGGACAACCCGGTATGTCATGCATTCGAAAAGCGAACACCTTTCTAACAGCATCGCATCTTCATCTCCTCCGTCTTGCATGCCTAATTTTGGCTACAGATCACATAATTCAACACCAACTGTGGGCAGGTACATTTTGAGAATTCAGTGGCATTTTCTTTTCAAATGTGAATGCATACAAGCCTGCACCAATGAACGTGTATCTTGAGTTGGACAGTTAGTTGGCCCGTCATAGGAGAACATCACTGAGTTCATAAGCAAGACCTATTTCTTTAGTTGCAGGGACGATTGGCTGCCAGTGCTTAGGTCATCTGGGCATGGCCTTCTCAGGCTTTAGGGATGCTAAATCGTGAAGCAAGCTCTCTTTTATTAGTAAATCACTCCTTCACAAAACCAAGGTCACTACGCTTCATCTAGAGACGACGCTTCATTAGCAAAAAAAGACGCGAAAGGGAAATATGGGTGTCAATGTCACCTTGAAGTTCTCGTAGCCATCACTATGACATCAATAGATTTGAGTGTCATCTACTGAGGCCATAGACTTTCCTGCAATAATACCTAGAGGGGAATCTGGCGCTAATGTCTTTGTGGGCTCCTTCAGCGATGCTTGTACCCCCATGAGAAGTACAGCCTTCGGATCTGCTTCAGATGGATTACTTTCCTGAGATTCGCGACGCTTGTTTGCCAAGTGTAAAAGATATGATGTTATATATAATTTAATCTTGCTTCATTTTTGTGTACGTAAACCTTTTTGCAAAACATTTCCGTGACCATGACGTAGAAGTGAAACTTGTTCGAATTCAACCACCGGGGTGTGCATTGATATGCCCTTGCATTCGAGATTTGGCACCAAGATATCATGAATTATTCTTTAAAACACTTGAAAACAAACATTTTTGTTTTGCTCTCAAAAGTATGCAATATCTATTTATGTAAGTAACAGTACAGTATTTAGTGAGAAACACTGATCGTTTCGTCTGCTGTGATGCCAATGTGCGCCTGTTCAAATGATCTGCCCCAACGCGCACCTCTCGTTTCGTTGTGAAGTCGAGTCAGAGGAATGTGACGGTACGTCTTCTCAGCTTCACTGTCATATTGCAGTCTAATTTTGGCAAGAAGCGATGATGAAAAAACAGTAATTCAATGCATTATTCTGCACTGCCATGGGACGCTACATCTATGCACAGCGGTGACTGAACGACGCTTCACTTTTTAAACTGTCAAGTATAACCTGTAAAGCTCCGATGTTACAGCAAATCAAGAAACCTAGCTGTCTTCAGTCTCTTTGAACAAGAAAGGAGTTGCTTCAGTACTTTGCACCGCACCCCACTATCCACTTTGTGCGAAGAACGAACTGAGGCTGCAGAAAAAAATTCATGGACAGCTTGCTAGCTAACGCAATTTAATCCGGATCCTGTAATTCCCATCGAGATTTCTCCCTTGCTTTTATTGTGTGAAACTTTATGACTGAGGCCTATGTAGCTCCGTGTCGTGGTTGTCAGCAAGATTTTTTTCTTGGGGGTTCAAACCAGTGTTGCATGGCAGCTGGAGGAGGGGAAAAGTGCTGGTGTAGAATTGGGCGAGGACAAGTGCTAGTGAAGCTTGAGGGGGGCAAGTACCCCTCTTTCACCCCCCTGCTGGTGCCCATGTTTTCCATCAGTAGAAGTAAAATATACATAGTCCTCTGAGAAGGCCAGAGACTTGACGTATGCTATGTTTCAGGAAGTTTTGTTCAGTAAATGTCGCCAACATACAAAAAATTCACTTTGACATCCATGACGTCACACACGGAGATTTCTACACGACATTTCAAAATAAGACTTTGACCTTCATATTTTATTTTATTTTTAACATTATCCGCAGCACCATCTTAGGCATTATTGCGGGGGCACAGTGCCTCATAGAATGAATCTGCAGTCTTGTGGCCAACTAAATCAGCTGGTAACATATTCTATTTGACAATGGCATGCGAAAAAAAAAAAAAGAGCTTAAAAAGATTCAGTCTGGGGTTGTATGGCCGTACTTTAAATTTGTGGTCATGACTAGAGGAATGATAATGCGCTGCTTTTAAATATTCTGAAGGGTTAATGCCTGTTTTCTTGTTATAAATTGAATAAAATAGTTTCAATCTTAGATTAAGTCTTTGATCTTGTAAGTATTGCCAATTAATTTCTCTTTTCATACATTGGGAGCTTTCAGTGCGGTCATATTTTCCCAGAACAAATTTTGCTGCTATTGACTGAATGCGCTCTAGTGCATGAATGTGCACTTTGTGAAATGGATCCCTCACAGGACAGGTGTATTCCTATATTTTCTCTAGTATTCCTGTATTTTCTCTAGTATTAAAGGTATGATAGTGAAATTAATGACATTAGAGTTTTCAGAAAAAAAATTATGAATGTAAACCTATTCCTCGTTTCACTTAAGAGTCCGTTCAAGTTGTATTTCCTGTCCACAGAAAACATTGATGAAGTGATTGATCCCCTTTTCCAACAGACACAAGCCTGGACTGGTGTCATGGAAGTGACAGCCGAGTGCTGCCTACCACCTGACCGCCATCAAAGCCTAGGCACCGTTCCTCTGCTGTTCTGGAATGGAAGTAATGGCGTTGACGACACTGAACTGGACGAAGCCGTGTACGGCCATCTGCTGGTCAGCCTAGCTCTGAACCGCGTGTCCGCCGAGGGCGAAAGGAGGCTGTGGAGCTTTCCCTTGAACCTAGGAGGTTGAGAACAAGAATATACGGTACTCGACATCGGTTTTCAAGGCCGTCGGGTCATCCTACGTGACACTGCCCCTCGTGGTGACCTGTCATTCGAGGGGCGGAAGCGTGTATCTCGTCATTGCTCGAGACGCCAATCCTCTGCTGCGCATCTCTAATGCCACACGTGCCACACTTGTGCTTGCCGAGAACAGCCCGACAAAAGGTGCGCTGCTTGCTCATGCTATGATGTTTTTGTGGGGCTTTCCACGTGTGGAGGTGAAAAATTGTGGGACACGAAGTGTTGCTGAATCCAACGCCTTGTCAAGCGGACTTTTCTTCAAGGTTGCAACAGCATACCTTATTGTGCGCCTTGACTGCTTACTTTGGGCAGCTTTGGCCATGAAGGAGACAGGTGTGCTTGTCAAACGTTGGCTTCAGGGACACCCCGTGTTCAAGAATATTTATCTCTTCAATGTTCATTCATCCTCTGAACTTCTGTCTAGTTAGGATTTCCTATGTGTGCGTTTTATACATAGCTGCAGGCCACCTTCTAAGTTAACGGCAGTTTTCATCTTTCATGAAACTTCTTTCACTTTGTGGGTTTCTACAGAACTTTTCTTGCTGCTTTCAGTGTGTTACTGCGCATTTCACTTTACTGATCAATGCAACTTCATCCTGCAGTCTTCTAGTGGCCTGATAAGCTCAAATACTAGAACGACCACACCAGAAGTGCATTGGCTCGACTTTTCATTCATTGTGTCAGGACAAACCGGGACCATTAACGCTCACCGATCTAATATGCTGGCATATGAACACTGAAACAAAATGCAAAAGCATGTGTTCTGGCACCTTCTTGTATTGCAGTGTAAGCAGGTATGAGTGATTTAGTCGGAATCTAAACTAATTAACTCTAACCTCACTATAACAAAGTTGCAGCTTACAAAAAATAAGTTTGTTATATCCGAAAGTTTGTTATAAAGATTATTTCTAACTGTGTATTATTGCAAGACTATTTTTCATTACTTCATTATAACGAATATTTCGTTAAATCCATGTTTGTTATAGTGAGGTTTGAGTGATATTGAGCAGTTTAGATGGAGTGAATAATGCACATAATGCTCAAGTGCATATCCAAAAACTTTTTTAGGGGGGGGGGGGGGGGGATGAGTTCAACCAACCTAATGTATGTTCGTGCATATATTTGTATGTACACACATGCAGTATCGAAAAATCTCGTGTTTGAAGCCTTTCCCTCTCCCCTTTGGCTACACCAGGGCTGGAACTCTTTGCCATGCAACCCAGCTGGTTGTTGAGCCAGCTGTGATACCTGGCCTGTCCTTCGCACTCTTTGGCCATGTCTGACCCTGAAACTATAACACACCATGTGTTATGATCACTCCGGCTTTTTTCAGACCAGTGGCTTCTGCCCTCGGTGGGGCCTGGTTGCTCCGTGCACTTCACGCCTCCGAGCCTTCTCGCCTATTGTAATGGCGTTGCCGGTGCAGCCGAACCGGGAAACCCCTTCTTGCTGCTCGGCTGCGCGAGGGAAGTTGAGCCACATCCGGTTTATTGGAGCAGTCCAGTGGCATGCTTGGATGTGGCCAACCAGTTCGTTCACATTCCGGGACTTGGCGATGTGCGAGTGTCAGCTCAAAGGGTATGTGCCTTTTAGCCAAACCCTTCAGGAGCAGAGTACACGTATAGTGAATGAATGTCTTGCCTAATTGTGTGCAGAGGTGGCAAAAATACTTCAACACACAGGTGAATTGTATTGTCCGGTTACTCAGTATGTCTTCATTTTACTTCAGTGTAGTGCATCAAGTTATATAGTACCTTTGACTGCGATCAGAGCTGGTCTAGAATCTGATTTATTGATTGTGATCAACTATGATCGCTGCTGCATGGTACAGACTAATCTGGATCTAGTGTTGCACAGGCTTCAGCGAAATTACATTCCAATATTACATTTAAATAACACATTTAGGGACACACTCAAGGCCTGCAAAACACTTCAATACACAGATTGATGAGTGCGTACTACTAGAGTACCCACAATTTAGCTGGGACATCAGGAGTCCTACGTGATACAACCGGTTTCTTTGTAGAAACCTTTGTTGGAGATGCGTCTAATTGTAAATTTATCATTCAACATTTTGTAAGTATTCATACTCTACTGGTATTTTCTGAAAGCTCACGTCACTCGGTATATTTGCATACAGCGTTTTTTTTTCTTTATTTTTGTTCCTTTATTTTAGCAATCTCTTTTTATACTAAAAGTACTGATCTTTCTTTCTTTTGAATTCTTTTTCTGCATACAGGCTGGCCACACTACCCACTTGCTCGTCCAAGTTGTGAGTAGGGCAGAGGTGTCGGCAAAAGAGATCCGCAGTCGCATCGGAGAAGTTCAGCCTGCCACTGACATTGAGGTCCGTGGAACGCCTGATGGAATGTCTGCCGACAGTATCTTGGCCATGGTGAGCTGTAATGACCACGAAAAAATTGTAACTTAACCAAATTTTTTCAAAAAAAAAATTGCAACAGGCAAAACTGTGAATAGAGTAAGATAGAAGTACCGTATTTACTCGATTCTACCGCGCCCTCTATTGTAACGCGCACCCGATTTCCACCGCAAAAACAAAAAAAACGTAAGACATCAATTGCAACGCGCACCCATTTTTCTCGCCGGCCCGCACGATCACATCACTCGAAAAAACGACTTCTTCGGGAGCGTATTCCATTTAAATATGAGGTACGGGCGAAGCTTGTGCCCATCTGACGTATAACAGAGCTTTCCGTCACGGTAGTTTTACCGTGGACCGATGTCAGCACGCGAACTTGCTTCGCCCCCTTCTTCTCGACGGTTGTGGTGCCAGGCATGTCGAAGTAAAGAAGCGTCTGATGGGCATTCCCGATTTGCCCAAGCAGGTAGCCGTTGTTGCGCCGCAAGTTTAGGACGAACCTCTGAAAACTGTGAAGCTTTTCATCGTACTCCTCCGCAAAACTTTTCGCATATGCATGTTCCCCTTCGGAGGGAAAAGCCTTTCCTCTAAATAAAGTTAGTTAGCCAGCACCTGCTCGCTTTAAACTGGCTCTGCATTAGACCTTTTTCCAAGACTAATTGCATAGCCCGCACTTGGAGCAGTTCTGTCGTCACGGGCCGCTGTGCCGCTCGCTGCTCAAGCACATACTTGCCGAGCAGCTCTTTAATTTGCGGAAACCGACCCTGCTGTGGTCCACTGAAGCCTTTGCGTGAAGCTTTGCTGTCGAGAATCTTCTGCTTTTGTTTCCGCCAATCCCGCACGCATGTTTCGGGAACTCCGAATGACCGCGATGCGGCCCGATTTCCGTCCGTTTCTGCACACGCCATGACTTTTCTTTTAAAAGCGGCATCGTGGTGCTATCGAGTTTTTGGAGTCGGCCCTTCCACGCCGTCGATGCTAATGCACTACTAGATGACGAACTCCTCAGCACACGTACGAAGTGCCGCACATGGGAAACACATAGGCAGAAATGGCCGACGCGCCACGCCGACGCACGTAGGGGGCGGCCATTTTGGATTTGCCGATGGCAATAGATTGACCGTAATTTTTTTGTTCGTACTCGTTTCTAACGTGCATGCAATTTATAAACTCGCTTAACCGGAAAAAAGGTGCGCGTTAGATTCGAGTAATTACGGTATATTGGCTTGGATGTATTGTCTTATTGTTGTACATTGTTATACCTGTGTCAAGTATATTTTTTTTTTCATTTTTGGCGCTCTTAAGAAATGCTGGAAAAAAAATAAACAGGGTAGTTACGTGATCATTAATCAAATCATCTGAGTTGCTTAACAAGCATTAACGCTTTTCTGTTAAGATTTTTTGCTAGAATTACTACTTTAGGCGTTAGTGAATCAATCTTTGTAACACCCGTATAATAGACCCTTCTCAATATTCGCAAGTGCGCTTCACGGCACTGCATGTTTGCCCTACTAATGGCAACACCTGTGCTGCTTCAAATGGAGACCAGGTCCTAGTTAATCTGGGGCTCATCTATTACGCACATTAATGTCGAGATAGCTAAGCCTACATTTTCCATGTCCTAGTGCAAGTAAACTGAGCTTGAACACTCTGTTTGCAGAAAGTGACTAGCTGCCATTAGTAGGGCAAACTGCATAGCAGGAAAGCTAGCTTTACAGTTGTGAAAAGGGTCTATTGTAAATAGCTCACACTAGCAAATTATAGCTAGTTACTGTATTTACTCTCATAATAGGCGCAGTTTTTTTTCAGAAAATCCGGCTCGAAGTTAGGGGGGCACCAGTTGTGCGGGGTAAAATTTTCGAAAATTTTTTCGACTAAGTTCAGCATAAAACAAACATACCTGCGTACCTTTTAATGAACAAGCGAGAGCCGCCAACTGCACACACGCACGTAAAATTTATTTACACAAAAGTCGTAGGTGTTCCTCCTTTTTCCTACTCGGAGTCTGAGTCAGAGAGCACACATTCATGCTCGCCGAGCGGGGATTCGTTTTCGGTGTCCGAATCGTCCGCACCCCACAACATGTCATCCTCACTCAGATCCAGTGCGTTCGAGATACCCGTCTTTTTGAAGCTTTTCCTGATGACTTCCACGATCCAAGCGCACAGCATTTCCACAGGCGGCCTCTTAATCTTACCACCTGGAGTCAGCTGATGTTGTCCTCCAGCCATCCAGGTGGTGTACAGCCTTCGAACATTATCCTTAAAAGGCTTATTCGAGGACACATCCAAAGGCTGCAGTATCGATGTGAGGCCGCCCGAAATCACTGCCAGATATGTGCGCAGCTCCTTTGGCTCATCTTGTACGCGGTCTACTAGGTGCCCACTGAAAGCTGTCCAGGACAAGCATGGACGTAGAACAACAGACCACCCGGCCATCGACCCCATACTGTTTTCACCCAATCTACCATGAGTTCCGCGATCATCCAGCCTTTTTTCTGGACTCTGACGCAGATGCCTTGAGGGAAATTTGCCTTCGGGAGCGTCGTTACGTTTAAAAATAATGTAAGGCAGTAGCTTGCGCCCATCGGCTGTCACCGTCAGCGTTACAGTGCATTGTCGTTTATCAGGCAGCCAGACATTCTGACGATGACGATCCGTGCACCTTTATCGTCCACTGTCCTGTTCCGCGGCATATCAAAGCAAAGGGGGGTCTGATCTGCGTTGCCGATCTGAGACAAAATGAAGTCTTTCTGCTGTCGGAGCTTTATAACGAAACGATGGAAGTCCACCACTTTGTCCCTATATGCTGCGGGTAAGCACTGGCACAAGGTGGTCCGCCTTCGCAGTGCGAGGCCATGACGCCGCATGAAATGAGTTGTCAATCCGGAGCTGGCTTTGAACTTTTTTGCTTCGATGTGCTGCGCTCGGGCTATTCTGCACGCCTCAGTCTGCACAATATCCAATGACACAGCACAGCTGTCTTGTTGTAGCTCCCGTATATGCCGGACCAGTTGCTCTTCGACGTTCGGATACCAGCCGGTCTTGGCACCGCAGAAAGCCCGTCGTGTCTTCTTCATCGCCTTAAGTTTTTCTTCTTGATCCGTCCAGTACCGAATACTGGTTTTTCCAACATCAAAATGCCTGCTTGCTGCCCGGTTGCCGTGCTCCAGCGCGTACTGCACTGCCTTCAGTTTAAATCCACCCGTGTAGCTTCCGTACTTCCCCATGGTGGAACCAAAGTTGAATACACGACCACAACATACGCACACCACTTGCAAAATGGTGTTTCTTTCTTTTTCTTTGATGGTGGTGATAGCGATCAAACCCCCAGCGCTGTACAAGTGACCTCCAAAGAAGCGCGGCGATTTGGGGGTTATCAGTAATTGATGGAACAGCCTTTTTTTTTCCCGCTCATGGACCCCTTTTTTTTTTAAGTTTTATTTCGACAAACAGGTTGGTTAGGTTGTTGCACTTCGAACTTTTTTAATTTGATCGTCGATTTGCCTTCTTTTTTTTTTTTTTTCAGGGTATGGGGACCGCGTTCCCACTGTACCGCCGGAAGGTAGAATCGTTTCTGATCACGGCCAAGTTCGGGGTGCACCTATTATGCACGGAATTAAAGAAAATCGAATTTTCCGTGACCAAACTAGAGGTGCATTTATTATGCAAGTGCACCGATTATGCGAGTAAATACGGTAGTATCGTGATGATTGATGATTGATATGTGGGGTTCAACATCCCAAAATGGCCATATGATTTTGAGAGACATCGTAGTGGAGGGCTCCTGGAAATTTCGACCACCTGTGGTATTTAACGTGCACCCAAATCTGAGCACACGAGCCTACAGCATTTTCGCCTCCATCGGAAATGCAGCTGGGATTTGATCCCGCGGCCTGCGGGTCAGTAGCCGAGTACCTTAGCAACCACCGTGGCAGGGCCTAGTTAGTATCATGAAAATGAATCTGCAGGGCTTCACAAAAACTGCATACACTTCTTTCATATTTAATTAATGTTTCACATTTTGTGTCGATTATAGTTCTATATGATACTTACAGTTTGCCTATATAGTTATATGGTTTGCATGGCTAGCGAGAAATGAGACTAAAAGCACTAAAATATGCCTTGCGTCAGGAAAACATGGTGGGGCGGTTCAAAAATAAAGGGTCATGAGTGTTTCGGGAAGGATGCACGCAGAGGAAATTTCAACTAAATAAAGAATTCGGGTTTTGGAAAGGAGTCCCGGTTGCAATTTTAGCTTGTGCATTCACAGATATGTCTGCCTGTTGAGTACACTCTAAAATGTCATTACATGACAGCATCTAAATGCCTTACGGCGATAGAGCAGACCAATACATTAAAGAGAGTCCTAACAGCATACTGTGCTTCTGTTTGAAATCTCTCACACGCTTATCACAATGTTTTCTTATTATATTTTTTTTTTTCAGTCAGACGAAAGCCACGTTCCAGTCGTACCTGCCGAAGACTGCCCACCACTCTCCCCCCTGTACCGCTCCCTGCGCTTTTTATCAGTCAACATAGACGAGCTCTGCTTCGTGCTCACTGACAACAGTGATGTGGCTGACCACAAGAAGTGCCTGCAGGAAGTGGTTCGCCTCAGCTTGGACTCCGTGTCATGCGCCTGCCGACCTAGGGCCGCTCCTCCTGCGATGCCGATGAGTAACAACCAACCGGACGCCTCGCCTGCCATTGTCTACGACATCTTTACATTCATTGGCGGCCTACAGGTGAGCACGGACATGCGGGAATACTCGGACAATTCAATTAATCGAACAAATGTTGCAGTATTCTAATTGGTGTTGACTCAAACCTAATGCTTCTGAAATTTCGAAGTAGTATTCAAAACAAACGAAATAATGACATGTGTAATCCGCTTGGAAAGACTGCTTAATTGTGGTGTAGGGCCACTATGAGGCGGAACCACCTACTCAGGAGGTGATATTTGCACTGCTGCAAAAGCACACATACGATGTCAGGTATAGAAAGGACATAGTCCTCCTATATCTACTCTGTGTAAATGGAAATCTGTTAAGGGCCCCTAAACCACCCAGTGGTCGAAATTTAGTGGGGAAGTTGTGCTGGAGTTTACAATGAACACGCAGCCGTGAGAATTTTTCGAAACGGTGCCGTAATAGCGGAATTACACGCATTTGACGATCGAAACGCGATGATCGCTTCTTTCCCTCTTTCCTATGCTACCCTATTCCAAAACCGCTCTGCTCCTCCTCGCTGAGTCAGCTTAGTGCCCCTCCTCATCTCGCGTGGCATACGTCACCACTGACACGCTGTTCAAGACAGCGTCTGCTTCCGGTTGCCGCGATCCACCACTCCGACGACCCAGCTTGCCATCAACTGTGTTGTGTATGTCATCTGGGTGCACTGATCATTGACTACTGCTGTTGCTGTCATGCCGGCTCGTGCCACTTCAAACCGTGCCAGTATGGACCCTGTGTTGCGTTACGGGCCGCAGATGTCGATTCACAAGCGGAAACACGACCAAGAACAGCAAGGTGCGCGTGAACAGCTGTTTTCAGAGTGACTGGAAGTCGTCGGTTGACATTCGGCTTATCGCAAGCATCGAAAGTGGTAACGTCATCGAGTTTCACTGGTGATGTCGCACATGTCAGTGGCGGAAATAGCGGGGACCGGAAAGGAGAAGCTATTCTTTTTTCAAAATTGTGGCACGTGCTATGTAGCGCTGCGGCGTGTGGCATCGCTGATCGCGATGGCATTCTGCACGCGATGCGCTTGTTTACTTGGAATGTTTGGGAAAATATCCGATCGGGTTTGGGGGCCCTTTACATGGAACTGCTGCTTAAGCAGAACATGTGCTTCTGGCAAGATTGGTATTGTTCTTGTATGCTGTGCCCTTGTTCATCACTCAGTAAACGGAACATATTTTCCCGGTCCCTTCAAGTTCCGTTTAATGAGAGTCTACTGTATGTATATATATATTACAGGGGAAAGGTTCCGACACCCGTTTTGTATCTTCTTGTGTGCATTTGTAAGTGTACATGTATATATGCACGATGCAGAACTGAAAGCTTTCTACCCCCCATCTCTTCTGCTACACTAGTGGGGTGTACATTTTACCTGAACTGCAAATTTTTAAGTTTATAGGTGTGTGATGAGCTCATGGCAAACTTTTAAAAAAATATACTTTACTGCTTATAACTGGCCACCTATTACAATTAATATCTTACTACTATTCAAACTTGCTTTGACATTGCTTCAAACTTAAAAAGTCGTATTCACTCAAGCCTGCTGTAATGAAATGTACAATGTGCAATATTGAACATACAGTGGTTCCCGGAGATATCACATGATTGGAATTTCGTAGTACCTCAGTTGTGTTCTCACTTTTAAGGTGAGGTCACCACCAAGAACCCTGAACGAGCTGGCGAAGCGTGTGTTTAGCTCACAATTTCAAACACATATATTGTACCAGTTTATTATGCCATAAGAAGGTTCTCAGTTAATGTCAATGTAGGTGGCACTCAATATTGTGTATTGATGACTGAAAAGTAAGAAATTTCGTTGTATAAAAGTCATGTCACTTGTTTAAAAGGTGATGCCACCATATTTGTTGCTTGCACATTCTTTGCTGCAGGCATTTTGTATAACTTCAAGAAGCGCGATACATGCACCAAAATTGATTTGTTCTAGCCAAATAATTCAATAATGTCCAGCTTATGTGGACAATTTTCGGTTTCGTTTTCTGGGCGCCAAGGTGGGCAGTGGCGTAGCTGTGTAGGTGGCATAGTCACGTGACCACACAAAGCTTTGACGCGTGTTGTGTGCCGAGTATCGTCTGCTTTCCTGCACACGTACCACACAAGCATTTGCAAAACAAACATGCACCTAGCTGTAATAGCCGTAATGCTTTGCCGGTGTGTATGTGGTGGAGGTTCACAGGTCACTCACCTCGCTACAGATCTGGTTTGGCGTCACTACAACTTTTGCTGCTCTTCCTATAGATCCACATCAGTGTTAGGTGCACTCGCAATGGGCCTGGATTGGGAGAATGGGCATTCAGGTACACTTTAGAAGTGATTTTAAATATATTCTAAGCGTTTTCTGCATCCGACCATTCGTGTGCAGTGTCCTTGCATACAGAGGAAACCCACAAGGAGCTTGTTATCGCCTCGAAATTTGATGGCACCACATCTGTGAGCCATTTTATGTATTGGGCATTTAAATTGCGAGTTGCTCTCTGACTGCAATAGCTTTACCATAATGACGCATTTTCTGTAAATTTCCTGGCATTCAAAAGTGCCCTGATCTATTTGCATTTGTTGTTCAGCACAGATATTCAATTTTCTCCTTTGCTTCATCTTCCACAGGTTGACAACCAGCTCTCGCAAGACGAATTGTCCAACGAAGTCTACGACTTCCCCGTCGTCTTGGTGCCCCGAGACGATACACCGTCAACGGAAGGCGCGTCTTCGTGCCAAAATGCTGTTGCATCGCTAACACTTTCTATCGAAATTCTCCGTGACAGCCGCCTGACTGCAGACTCATTGACAATCAAGTTCTCTCCACTTTCTCTGTTTCTGGAAGACACACTGCTTTACAGGTTAGTGATTGCTTACATTTTCCCGAATTCTATAGACTGTGACTCACTGTGGCAACACAGTGTTCTTCCTGCCTAGCAGATTAGTTTTTTAAGTATTACATGATTCTAAGTACTATGAACAGGGTGTATACTAAGTCATGCCACACACAAATGATTACATGTAATCATGTAACCAGCATAGTGAGTTGGGTGGGCGAATTATCTTTTTGTCATAGTTTGCAGGGGTTACACTTCACTATACAGTCTTGATGTTATAGCATCTACTAATAGCAAACATTATGACTTATTTAGCAAATGTTATTCATTGCTAACGAGCACTAGTGGTATAGAAAAAATACTATATTTAAGTTATACTTAGTGGGAGTTATACTTACTTTTAAGTTAAACTTAGTGGGAGACAGTCAGACCAAACTGCACTGCCTTCAAGACACCCACATTTTTCATCAGAAATTGTCACACTTTTGAAGAGGTGGCAAAAGGCTGGCTTTAACAGGTGGCAAAAGGCTGGCTAGTTGGTGCATATCTCAAAAATGGACTTGACTGCGTAGACACGGGGCAAAAAAAAGTAAAAAAAAAGCGCCCTCGTTCTCGTGTTTTCTTTTCTTCGTCCTGCGTTTGCACTGTTTCTTCCTTCTTTGAGATATCACACCATGTTACAGAATGTCTATAATAATGCCATCTATAAATATATCATCGAGTACTTGTCGGAACAGAATATTCTCTCACGTGCTCAACATGGCTTTCGTTCTGGCTTTTCGACGGTGACACAATTATTAGAATTCTCCCACGACATTGCATCCACACTTAATGCCAGAGGACAGGTTGATGCCATCTTCATTGACTATAGGAAAGCCTTTGATACAGTATGCCATAATAAGCTTCTCATTAAAATCAAGGAACTAATTCATGACACTAAACTTGCAGACTGGATACAGGACTATCTGAGCTCAAGAACACAATTTGTTGCATTTAATCGTGCTCACTCATCTCAGGTCAGTGTCACATCCGGTGTGCCACAAGGATCGGTACTGGGTCCATTACTCTTTATCATCTATATAAACGGACGCTGTTAAAGTAACTGCTGGGACTTCTGTGAAATTGAGACTTTATGCCGATGACTGTGTCATATATTCTGATGTGACTAGCACTCAAGACCAGTTGCAGTTAAATAAAGTTTTCGACCGTTTTCGCGAGTGGAGTAAGACATGGCAGATGTCACTCAACTTCAAAAAAACAGGTCTCAATGGCTTTCTCAAATAAAAAGCATCCGTTAAAGTTTTCATATTTTAGTTGTAACCACAAGCTCAAAAGTGTAGACACTTTCAAATACCTTGGTATTACATTCACCCCGGACTTGAAATGGCATGCCAACATTCTGAATATATCAAATAAGGCGTTAAGAAAGCTGGGTTACCTAAAGAGAAACCTTCGAGATGCAACTAGGGAATGTAAACTAGTAGCATACAGATCTCTAATAAGGCCTTTCCTAGAGTATGCGTCTGTCGTATGGGTACCGCATCATGCCAATGACATAAGTATGCTTGATTCTATTCAGAAAAAAGCCATCAGATTTGTATGTAAGCGTTATGATCGCCATTTTTCACCTACAATATATGCTAATGAATTACAGCTAAAAAGTTTGGCTCTCCGACGCACTTGTGATTGTCTTGTCCTGTTGCATAATATCGCTCATGGGGAAACATTTATTGATGCACCCATTACCTTCACTAACTAACCCTTCTTCTCGAATCATAAGGAGAAGTCACCACCTTAACATAGCTCCTTTGAAGTCATCCATTGATTGCTTCAAGTTTTCTTTTTTTCCTCACACTATTGATACTTGGAATGGTCTCCCGGGCTCCCTGCGCGAGCTGTCAAACGATGAATTCGTTGAACAATTGCCAAACTTTCTTCACTGATCAACTGTGTATACTTTCCTGATGTTCTGCCCATTCAGTGTGTATACTTCAGTGTGTATACTCAATGTGTATACTTTATTTGTGTTATATTTAATGTGACTAAATGTGATTTAGTGTGACTTAATGTATTGTATTTTATCTTGTGTTGTACTCACTCCTGCAATATCTTGCTGTGCAAGATGCAGTATTTGTAAATAAAATAAAATAAATGTAAATAAAAATGTTGGTAGATAATACTAAGGAAGATGTTACCTCTGAAATGCTCTGTACGGTTGCTAAGCATTACTGGACTAGATTAGTAACTGCCCTTCTTGGAATAATACCCTTGTCACATGGGGCAACTTGGGTGCACTTTAAGAGCGAGTGTACTTATGCTCATAAAGTGTCATTTTGGCAGTTCACTGCTACACGAGAAAGCGAAGTGTAAGTGAGGTCACACTGTGATCAATTTTTTCCCTCCTTCTAGATCGTATAGCATTCTTTATTCACGCTCAAACTGAGCTGCGCTAAAGCATTGCCATTTTTATCATGAAGTTAGGAAACACACTTGCTGGCAAGTGTACTTTGCAGCCAGTGACGCTGCCCTTTCTCGTGTGACAGCGCGCAAATGACACTTGCGGCGAAGTGTACTCGCTCAAAGGGCACTTGAATTGCCATATGTGACAGTGGTATAAGATGTGCCGATGTTGTAGTGCTAGTAAGCATTAGCAAATCTAGAAGATAACAATAATAAAACTGCATACTAGTCGATTCCTAATTTTTTTATGTTTGATGTTGCGAGAATAGTGGTGCTTACTGCTGTCAACGTGGACGTGCTTTGCAGATTGGCCCGCATGTCCAGCTTCGTGCGCCCAGCCTGGCACTGCGCTCCTCTCCCAGTCGGTCGCGAGTCCCGCCTTCCCCAGGAGGTGGCAGAGGCGTCGCAGGCTCTGTTGCGAACAGTGCCGGTGCGGGAGATCGTGCTGGAGCCCCTGGCAGTGCAGCCTCAGCGTACATGCATTCGCTGAAACTGTACTTGTCCCTGAACGGGACGCCACTCAGCTTTGCCCGGTTCAGCCGGAGGAACCTTGTGACGGGCTGCTACCAGCTCGGCCACCTGTTGACGCGGCACTATGTCACTGGAGCACTGCTCAGGGCAGGTGAGATGGCTGGTAGAGCTTGGCGCTTTCAGGCACGACCTATGAAGAACTGCCTGCAAATACGTCAAATTCACACAGTATTATTTCAAAGCACTCGATATTCTATTGCAACAAGAACCATCTCATAATGTGTTGACTTATATGCTCTGTATAAATACTGTAACTGCACATCCAGTTGTTTTGACGTAATTTATGTGCAGTGTCTAGTGTAAATGGAGCCGAACCTCAGACTAAAACTATATTAAAATTTCGCTGGTTTGGGTTAACTTCGCAGAAAGAAAAATCATACTTGTGACGGGGTTCTCGAAAGCCACATGTCAAATGACCCTTCGAACATGCTAGTGCCTTTAGCAATGTGATTGCGTGCGAGAGTACACTGCAAAGTGAAGTTAAAATGGCAACACGTCTAGTATTTGGGAGGTTCAGTTTATCCAAACCTCAATCTATCTTTCTTTTATTTAGCCTTTAGTTGTCAAAATTAGCGAGAGCAAGTTGTGTACACAATTGTGTACCAAGTGCCTCAAAGGGTCAAGAGGCTTGTTCATCATTCTCATCTTTCTGAGTGAACAGAGCGACTGCTACAGTAATGAATAGTTTCTCGAACTTTGCCCCTATCTTCATAGCTCCAAATTATATTCATATCATCATATATTTACTCTTGAGGGTTGTAGTGCAATACCAGATAAGGAGGGGGGGGGGGGGGGGGTTGGCAATTGTCACTAGTGAACAACTGTCATTCGTACAAAAGAAAATATATCAGAAAAAACGCGAAGTAACATAAGTGATCAAGACAATGTGTTTACGCCTATTACACAGCAATATCATATAACAAAGCATGGTGAGCAACCGAACACCAACTGCTAGTATGTCTTTGAGTACAAGAATAGTTAGAGAATGCTTCTCAAAAATGAGAGATGTTTGTGCTGTTCAATTAGGCAATTACATTACTTGAACTTTCGGAGAAAATAATTGGTTAAAATCAGTAGTATGCATCCTTTAGGCGATTTTTTTGTTGACTTTGTTTACTGCAATAGCAGGCTTTTCTATGACTGTGACAAAAACGAAACGTGTTACGAAAAAAAAAAAAAAAAAAATTGTAGTTCTATCTTTGTGTAAGCTTATTGTGGTTCACTCGGATAATCATATTCAAGAAAAAGTACGCATTACTCATTCTCTGTTATGTTCTTCAATATTCTTAGATTATTTTTATATTGGTGTGCACTGCCGTGTTACCGGCTGCAGACATTCTGCCACTAAGTGTGCACTTGTAAGGCATTAAAGGGACTGTCTACCGTCCTTCATTGATCTTCTGTTTTGTGTCGCAATAAAAAACGTAACATGTGCAGTGTCTAACCTTGCAGGGGTTTCTCTGAAAAGTGCGTAGAAATTTTCAGAACATAATTTTTCTCTCTGCGTTATGTCTCCTTCTATCGGAAAAAAATCGAAAACTGAAACCGTGTGCGGTTTTCGCAGGCTTCATCAAGTGTGGTTACTGATAAAACAATTACCTCAGTGGTTATTTTAGGCACGCACAAAAATTTTTGTTCTTCTCATGAGCGGCAGCGGACGCCATGATCGCGTTTCTGCACTGCTTGCAGGCATGCAGGCAAGTGAACACACCGCTAGCAGCACCTATTTCAACGTGTGAGAAAAAAAAATAGTTTCTGGCACAATACAAGGCTGCTTCAAGTGCATAAAATACAAATTCAAGTTAAACGTGTTTGTTTTTAAGCAAAACAATTCTACCTGCGACGATTTCTTGTCCTACCAATAGATTGTCAAGATTGACCACATTCGCTGTTGGGTGATGCTAGTGGTCACTTTCAACTCAAGACTTTCAACATCAAGTTAAAATTATGATTCCTCTTTTCTGGCACGAAAGCATGCTTGTTACCTCCAATGTGATGAACGATCTTTTTATTGGCGCCACAATCAGAAAAATTTTTCCGAGCGGTAGACAGTCCCTTTAACAACAATCTGAGAAAATTGACCTGTGCATTTGCATATAACTCCAATCTTTTTTTGTGTGTGTGTACAGCTGGCATGCACCTAAATTCTATACGTAACGAAGTATTCTTACACTTCAATCTCAATTCAGCCGCAACAGCCAGAAATCGAACCCATGACATTGTTTTCTTTAGTAGCAAAACACCATAGCCTCTTTGATATAACAGCATTAGGCAAACAGTACACGTTAGCTCAGATTTAGGTGCTGTACTCACAGATAAGCGCTTTATGGCACTCGCAAGAATTCACACAAAAACCAATGTTCGAGGCGTTATTTGCTCTGCACTGTTATTTCAATGTTGCTAACCCACCAACTCACCCAGATTACTGTTTTTAACCACGGCTACTGAGTGACCGTGGTGGCTAACCATTTTTTCTTGTCTCATTCCAGGTTGGGTTGTTGGCTCTCTCGACCTTCTCGGCAACCCAACGGGTCTGGTGCGTGCCTTAGGTTCGGGGGTGTCTGCGATGGTGGTGCTTCCGTACAGGGGCTTAGCACAGGGTCGACCCTGGGCTTTCTTCCTGGGCATCTCACACGGGGCGTCGGCCATGTTGCGTCACATATCCTCTGGTGAGTCGAAGTCACAAACAGCTGAAGCGCAAAAAAGGGTAACAGCAGACTAAGAGAACAACGAGGACAAGCGCGTGTCCTTGTTGTTCTTTTAGTCTGTTGTTACCCTTTTTTGCAGCTTCATCTGTTTAAGACATGGAATACCGACTAGCCCGCTGCCAAACCTTGAGTCGAAGTCAATCAGCCTAATTGAAATTGGACAAGCTAGGTCTGACCAGAAGGGTTTCTCCTCATTTCCACTTTTGTGCCGTTTAAAAATCAGGCCTTGTTAAAAAAAGCCTGTTCCAATACCAAAATACCTCTGTCATGTCCTAACATTTGCAGTATTCATGTGCTGATTGCATCTTGATATTGGCTAGAATTGTTTCATATTTTATTGATTATGCCCAATAATGTATTGTATCTATGTTTTTATGTTAAGGTTCAGCTGTATTAGCATGTGTCATTAAAGCTGCAATTTTGCCATTGTGTCAGTTTATGCCCTCCTCAGCTGCTCATGGCCCGGTAGCTACGTAAAAGGACAATGTAAAAGGACGAGGTTAGTCAGATCTATGCAATAAAAAGCTATCACTGCTGTGCAGCATGTTAGTGCTGCACAGCAATGATTGCTGGTGAATTCCGCTGGAGAATATATTTGTCCTCATGATCACTGTTATGCAGTTTTTTATCATTGTGAGCATGACGTGCTTACCTTATTCAGTATTCTCTTAGTTTTGCCAGTGATTTGTGGTAAAACCTTTTTGTGAAACTCTGATGTGTTGCTATTTTCATGTGTGAAGCACAGAAGTTGCCAGAGTAGTTGCTTGTGTTTTGTTTACATTCATTGAGCAATCACTCAAGAACGCTTTGCGATGCATATCTGAGACACCTCACTCACAAGTTCAGTAATTGAGGCTTGAATGTCAGTTGCTTTTCTGAGTGCTAGATCACTAAATAAATACTTATGGTAAAAAGTTTCCAGGCCTATTCATCATGTGAACATGCTTCTGGTGCAGCACTGCCAACATGTAGAACCAGTTTACAAAGGAAACAAAATTTCCAGCTGCTATTTCACCAGTAGTGCATGAATATACCTTATAGTTCCTTGTGGTGCAGTTTAATCTAGCTGTAAATATTTAGTGTTTTTAATGAAATTTTACTACTTTAGGCTATGACCATAACATATTGACGCGCGTATGTGCCAGTCTCTTCGGCGTCTGCAATGAGACAGACGCCGAAGAGTTTACACAGCTAGCAGAAGAAGCCAGACAACTTGCCAGGTTGCGAATCACCAAACAGCAAGACGACAATGCCAAGTATTACAACCTCCGGCACAGACCCGTCATATACAACGTGAACGACAAAGTATGGGTCTGGACACCTGTTCGGCAGCGTGGGCTTTCCGAAAAGCTGTTGCGAAGATACTTCGGACCCTACAAGGTTCTGCGACGCATTAGTGACGTCAACTACGAGGTTGTTCCGGACGGCGTGCAGTGTTCAAAGCGGCGCAGACATTCACCAGAAATTGTCCACGTGCTTCGGATGAAGCCTTACTTTCAGTGACTAACTGTGCAGTTTTGGTTTCGCCTTGCTTCTCAAAGGTTTAACATCGGGACGATGTTTTTTTTAAAGGGGGAATAATGACGCGCGTATGTGCCAGTGGTGAGGACAACGAAGCAGCGCGAGTGTCCTTGGCCGAGGGCAAAAGATGAAGAAGTCGTTGCAGTCTGTTTTCCTGCGATCGATAAATCGTATTTCTTTGAGGCGCTTTGTGTGCTCGTCAATCTCGTGTCGTCACAATATTTTGAAGTTCTAAGCAGGGCATGTCTGCACGCTGCAGGCAAAAAGAAGTGTATGTAACGTAGCTTTCAAGCCCTGTCTATGCTGATCAAACCACTTTTCAATGCAGGTGCTCTGAGTTCAGTGACGCAGCTTGCCACCAGTGTATCCAGGAATCTGGACAGGCTCTCGTTGGATCCAGAACATCTTGCTTGGAAGGAGTCACTTCGCACTGGCCCTTCGGCGGGCATCGGCCAGGGACTGTCAACGCTTGGGATCAGCCTGCTAGGTATGGCCCCCACTTTGTCACTTGATTTCTTGTTTATGTTCATTTTCACCAGGTTATCGCCATTAGCTAGCCTTCTCTAGCTGCTATACTGAATCTGCGGTGTCAGACATATCTTCGAACGATGGCGATTTTTGGTAACCCTAAAGCTTTGAAGTCTTTATAGCTTCCATTACGGTAGTAATACCACAAGGGATTAAAAATTGTTTGTGTGATAGATATAATCTTAACATTAATCATTTACTTATTAGCTAGTGATCAGTGGGTAGGTGGTTAGCCCACTACCACAAATGCTAAGACTATGGAATGAGGCATGCATGTAACAATTCATTTTCTGTAGAAATCTGTACCATCCTTGCACACGTGCCATTGACTGGCTGCATTATGCTGTGGAATTTCCTAAGGATACAATAAGAGGTGCCTAAAGATTCCTTGCTGCAGTTCATAGCACACATCTCACTTACATAACTTCTTAAACTACACCTTCTTTGCCGTTAACGTTTCAACTTGGCATGATTGCTCGATGATTGGCTTCGTCGCCAAGTAGCTTGGGCCAATCCCAGAGCTGGTACTAATTAAAACCGATTCTAACTCAATTACTCTTTTGTCAGTGCAGTGAGCCAAACATTACTAACGCCACTCTCTTCGTGGATGTTAAATGCTATTTTCCTTACTTTGTTCTTCAGGCAGTTGATGCGAAATTTCATCGAACTGAATTCCGGCGTATAAAAATAAACAGCAGTCAATCCTGTGTTTTGACAGTCAGTTACAAGTGTTTTCAACTGCAAACTTTAGCTGACAGAGGAATGGTTTTTGTGACAAAACGCAGGAGCTGTGGCAGGCATCGTGGACCACCCAATGCAAGCCCTCATTCACGAGGAAAGCAGGGGGCCTACAGGGTTCGTCAAGGGCGTTGGTCGTGGCCTTATGGGTGCCGTAGCAAAGCCAATCAGTGGTGCTGCTGAACTTGTGGCTCAGACGGGCAAAGGTGCACTTTCTTCTCAACTATATACTCTTCATTGCTTCACTTTTGTTGCTTCTCTGCATTTGCTTAACCGCAAGAAAGAAAGCCACAAATTTATGGCTCATAAGACCGAATTCAGGGGCGTTGTGCCTTTGGTATCCCAGAATTTCGGGGAACAACGTTTATGTGTCAAGTTAGAGAGAATATCGCCTTTTTTAACCACTAAAAAATGACTGCATGTTAGACTTAGAGGGGCATTGCAATTGTGAAAATATGGAATTAGATCGTGACTTCCTTAATGCATCAAGAGCTCACACTTGTCTTTGCAGGGATTCTTCAGGGTGCAGGGTGGGGAGATTTCACGCAGCGCAGGCACGAACCTCGGGCGGTGTCCTTTGACAGTGCGCCCTGTTCGGAAGCGAGGGTTCGAAGCATTCTGCCCGGTCAAGAGCTGCTGCTAGTGTTGCACGTCCATCTGATGTCTGAGAAGAGCACCAACCAACCCTTGATTCTTGTGCTTACTCGGCAGGTGGGTCAAAGAGCCACGGTTGCTCTATATTTGCATTCATTGATTGATTGATTGATCATAAAAAGGTAAGGAATCTTTTCCAGGTTTCTTGCCAATATCATTATAACAAGGTTCCATCTTGCATCAAAACAAGTTCGTTATATCCGAAAATTCGTTATAAAGGCTTATTCCTAACACTATATCTGTTGCAACACTATTTTGTATTTACTTCCTTATAACCGATATTTTGTTATATCTGCGTTAATTATATTGAGTAAGGTTTGAGTGTATCACTGTCAGAGCAGTATTGCTCTTCTGAATTTGATCTACATTAAAGCAGAAAGTTGAGGGTGACTAGAAAGACTCTTGTATATTCTGTTTTCTACATGTGAATGTGCTTCTGTTTTTTCCTGCAGTGTCTGTGCTTATTGAGCAAGACAGACGGCACGCTCGAACGGTGCTTTCTCCCTGGCCGAACTCTTGTGCACCGGTCCGCCCAACGATCCCGCATGCGTGGTTGTTGACCTCGGACCACCGCAGTCCGGAATGCTACTGGAAGAGGTAAGAGATGGAGTGGTGCTTTTTTGCCTACCATGACTTGTTGACGTGCTTCAAAGGCTGGTGTCTTTGTTCTCTCGTGTAACATGTCCAGACAAATTGTAACTGCCTGTGCACTAGCACGAAAGGTGCCTCGTCTGTGTCAGGTGTCGGCTGTATTCCCAGTCTGCTTAAAATCTCTGACAGTATGTTCTCTTTCACCTTTTCACATTTCTAAACAGTGAAAAACCACAGTGGAAACTTTAGTGCATGCACATGAGCCCATGTGTGCATGTGCCAAACAGTTTACATGCCTGCACGCGCATTTGTGTATGTAAGCATAATACATGTGGGTATGTCCAGGCTTGACCTGCTGCACTTATTAGCCGTGGCAGGAAGGAAACAGCTCACAGGAATCTGTACTGAAGAGCATCTTGTAGTGCTTTGCTGCGACTGCTGTATGCAATATCAGGATAGGCAAGCCTAAGCTAAATGTGTAATCAACATACTATGTATTAGTATTATGAATATTGTATGTAACAAGGGTGTTTACATGTCAGATGTTGCATACTCAAGTTAATATTGAGACTTGAGCTTCTGGACTTATTCTTAGTCCTGCCATGTTAGCATAAAATGAGCAAAGCTGGCGCTAAGCAGCTTGAATGCTTAGGTGTGCTTGACTGTGGCAAAAGACACATTTTGTGAAAAGGGGATATACCGCATTTATTCAAATCTAGGTCGATAGTTCTTTTCAAATTTTTTTGTATCAAACTCCAGGGTCGGCTTAGATTCGAGGATTTCAAAAAATGGGCCATTTTTCATGGAGAAAAGTGGTGCACAACTATTGCCACCTAGACGGTATTATAGCCATTAGTAGCTAAGTCAAAACCTGGCTGCCATTTTGATTTTTGTGGCAAGTGTTGAGGTACAGTGTTCTAAAAGGTATTGTAGTCGCAAGAGTGGGGCCCTTCTCGTGAGGCTAAAAAAGCTGACGTCGCCAGTGGCGCTGCAGTAGCTACCCCAAGGTGCTGGTGCGGGGAAACTGGTACAGCAGGGTACAATGCTGCAAATGTTTCTTTTATTTTTTTCTACTGATGTGCCGTGCATGAAAACCCTATAGCTGTCCGGTGATGGTTTCATAACTGCTGAAGGCTCTTTATCTTGTTAGTTTCAGCAAAGTGAACCACTTGAGTAATTCACTGTACTGCTGCGGTTCACTTTAAACTAGAAGGCTAAACTTTCGCATGTATTTTTTTGCCATGACTTGCGCATAAATATGCTTGTACAAATCGTGTACATTATTTTAATGAAAAATATACGAAAGAACATGCTATTGCGAACGCTCGAAAAGTGTGTGATGATATTACAAATAAAATAATCACAGCATTGAATAGCTCATTTCGCAGAGATTCCAGCGTCAGTGGAAGTTTGAGATAGATGAAACTAAAGAGCTGAAGGGCATTTGTACTTAGGCTTTTTCCTTGTGGCACAACTTAGGTAACCACTGAGAAGCGAAGGCTAGCTAGTGATAGGCAAGATGATAGTGTGTGTGTGTGTGTGTGCGTGCCGCTACCGCATTGAGCTCTTAAAGGTTAAGCTCAAGGGTACCCCACTTTATTTTTAACGACACTTCAATAATTTTGTTGAGTTTGCTGAACTAAATATCAGAGTTTTTTTCTCGTATGGATGTGAACGAACCTAAGAGTATGTGAAGTAGAGATGGCTTTCTAGGAAAGTCAAGTGATTATTAATAGCACAATACATCGAAATGCTGTTTACTTCCCACTAAGTGAATTTTAGAATCCATGAACATTTGAAAGATAATGTAAAACACATATATTTTAAGATAAATTTACATAACCACTGAATTCTCGCACAATGTCAAGACAACAGGTGGTAATATGCAAATTCAGAATTTATATAAAGACAAGGAAGAAACAAACGCTAAAGCATTTGACTAGGCCCTGCAGGTCGCCTGATACAAAAGAATTTGCTTCATAATTTCCCACGGGCTCTGCATTCGGTTAGAATTTTGGCTTTCAACCAAGCTCGCTTCCTGCTCATCATGGTGAGACAATCGTACTATTTTCGCTGATTCGAACGAAGGAATACCGCAGTGCTTTCTCTGTGGTGTTGGCTTTACAAGTATTCTTTAGAAATGTACGCAGGTATGTTCGGTAACCGTGTTGGCACTGCACCTGCAGCGAGATCTGGCCTTCCTGGGGGATTCGCACTTCGTTACTTCCGATAACGTGTATGTAGTCGCGAATAACAAGATGGTCAGCAAAACGTTTTTCCCACATCGCAGATGTCTCAGCCTAGGTTTGTCCTCCTGTTTGAGGTTCCGCTCCCAAACCTTCCGGCGGCCTTCCTTGTCTGGCACCTAAAACAACAAAATCTTTCATTCGTTTTCAAGTTCGATGGCCGGGGTAGCCTGTCCAGCATCCCCGAGAAAAGCAATGCATGTCTGTTTTTCTCTTCTTAACCATCAGAGTATAGGAAACTTCATCGCACAAAAGATATCACACGACACACACAAAAAGTGGATCACTACAAAGCAAGCTCAGTGGTTACTCGCCGATTGAGCTGCTCCAAGTACTCACTCCTTTGCACGTGTTGCAACCTGTTTTCTCCTCGGGCTAGCCACTGCAGTGCCACCCGCAGCCGTCAGCTTTTTTGATCACCGCTGGCTCCACGGGCACCCTCTTCACTCTTTCCACTACAAAACCTAGAACACTGTAGTTGAGGCAAGCCGTTTGTCATTTCGAGTCTCACTTCGAGTGGTCTGTGTGTGGTGCAGTTTAGTGGGGCCAAACAGGTGGTGCAACTTATTTATTTTATTTATTTATTTATTTACAAAATACTGTCAATCCCCCATGGAGATTATTACAGGGGTGAGCATCACTGTCACAACTTTTGACGTTTGAAACAAGAAAAATCAGAATAATAAAGAACATATAATCACTGAACACAGCATTACGGTGTAGAACAATCATAAATAGTTATTTGAACTATTACCAAGTACAAAGTACACCAATGGTACACCGACAAAGAAACAGGAGTCGAGAAGAAATGAAGCATAGAAAGAAGAAAACACAGATTGGGTATTATTATCAAGGAACCGTATTAAACAATAAATATATGCAGACAAGTGCTTTGGTATGACGATTGGAAGCAGGAAGGACTGCGTGAAGAAAAACAGGTAATCACTGTACATGCTAACTAGGTTAGAATAGATCAGTACCTTCAATTAGTTTCATAAATTTCTCTAATGTTGGCTGCTGTGTAATGACTGGATTCAAGATAATGTTTCAAGACAAAATAAAAGATTCAAGATAATGTTATTCAAGACAAAATAAAAGCTTTTCTAGCTGTGGAGCTGTCGTCCAACATTTGAGCTGGGTGAGACTGTGGAGCGCATGAAAAAAATGTGCACCACTGGAGGTGTGCAAATTTTGATTGTGCGCTCTTTTAAGAAGTGCGGCATATCCAATGCACCTGGTGGCACCGAGGATTGCACACTGTTTGAAGACAGCGACAAAAAGTGAGCAACAAGAGAAGCAGCAATGACGACTCGGAATGAGCGCGGCATCGGACTAGAAGCAGCCAGAAAAAAATGACATCAAAGAAACACACACAACAGGACTAGAGGCTGTAGCCCCACCGCGGCGGTCTAGTGGCTAAGGTGCTCAGCTGCTGACCCGCAGGTCGCGGGATCAAATCCCGGCTGCGGCGGCTGCATTTCTGATGGAGGCGGAAATGTTGTAGGCCCGTGCACTCAGATTTGGGTGCACGTTAAAGAACCCCAGGTGGTCGAAACTTCTGGAGTCCTCCACTATGGCGTCTCTCATAATCATATGGCGGTTTTGGGACATCATACCTTACATATCAGTCAATTAGGACTAGAGGCTGTATGTTTCTCAAGTTATTTGCACCAGGAACCAACTGCTTTATTTCATCTTTATGTTTAATAAATGTTTTCTCTTAGTAAATGCTGTTTCGTTCGGCCTACATTAGAGGTAAGTCTTTTTTTTTTTTTTTTTGCGGGCTTTGGACGTTAGGGGGTCGGCTGAAAATCGGGTTCGGTCTAGATTCGAATAAACACGGTAAAATACAGTCAAATGCACTTATAACAATCCCAGGTATAACAATCTATCTCTTATAACGACCATATTTTGGTGCAGTTACGATTTTCCTATGCTACGCTTTGAAACTGAGTCCACATACAGCGAACATTTTTCAAAACCACGTACTTTTACAATGAACATTTCTGACATGGTCGCGGTAAAAGTATGGTGCATAGAAAGCGAAAAAAAAAAGTGTTAAATCCAATGCTCTAAAGCATGTGATAGGCGCGCGCTCGCACGTGCCCTGCTGCAGTTTACTTGCGATGAAGTTATTGTAGACTGGGACAAGCACTGCATGCAGATTTCGGATACTGCGAGCTAAGCCGCTCACTTTCTAGGCGTTTCTTTATTGGCAGAATGGAAGTGATGAAGAAATAAAAAAAAATGGGAAGCAGCATGAAGACTTGCAGTCAGCTTTCACACAGCCAACTTTTGTGACACCGTCCTCTGCATCTACGAGTGCCGACGATTAACCAACAACGCCTTCGAACGCAAGAAGCCATTAATTCGAGAAGATAACTTTTTATCACATAAAAGTGCACTGTGACGCTCAGGTTGCCGACACCACAATGTGCCGCAAAATGTTTTCTGCCTTTCGGTAACGTTGGAGACTGGTCGATTAGTGATAAGGGCTTTCGCGTGGTGGCGGCAATGCCTTTAACGTATAAGCATCAGGAAAGAGCGATAGTGAGGTGGTCAGTGGCGATGAGCGGGCCATTTTGATTCATCGCCAGCAACCTTATCACAGTCATCTGCAGATATCTGCTCAGTGGAGTGACAGCGGTACAAGCGCGTCATGCCGCCGTTCGCAAGTTCGCCACTGCCACATCGTGCGAGGCTGCTTGCATGCGTTTCTTACAAAATTCGTATTCGTTGTGTTAGACAAACAGGCTACTCACTGCACCTGAGCACGATCCCGAGTGAGGCATGCATGAAGAACACACAAACGCACGCATGCACTGGAGTACAAACAATCCGACATGCGACAGCGAGAGCCAAGTAGGCGACGTTCTGCACACAACTAGCCAGGGATGATTAGTTCGACGTGGCAGTAACACGCTCCAGTGGAATGGCGTTAGTTTATTGCGAACATAGTTTAATTCACTCGTGAGCACACAGTAAACACACGCAAAGAGGCCCAAATTGTCAGCAGAGTGGTTGTTGGCACTTTTCAATAAAAGTACACAGAAAAAAAAAACACTGTTTGGTCCCTAAGTGCACATTTTCATGGGCGAGTCTATATGCAACAAACATTTATATAATGACCACTTATTGCGGTGCCTTCGATTTCGTTATAAAAAGTTTCATCTGTAGTAGAAAGTGAATAGCCAAACCCGCTATTTTATGACACTGCTAGAAACTTGCAGGATCAAAAAGAACGCCATCCCCCCCCGCATATAAAGAGCCAAGGTATGAAGACATAGTCGACAACGTGTTATCAAGAACGAACATTTCTGAATAATACAATGTTATAGTTAATGTGTTGCTTCCCCCTGCTCAAGAAATGTTCTTTTCACCACAGTCAAGCATATGCAAGCAATCCATGTACCAATTCGCCCCAAAAAATTTCTTTTGGAATACAGTAGACTCTCAGTAAATGAAAACCTGAAGGGACCAGGAAAATATGTTCCTTTTAACAGGAGTTTCGTTTGCTGAGAGGTGAACATATGTGCGAAATACAAGCCAGAAACCAAGCATTGCAGAGGCAATAGTTCCGTTTTAGCAGTAGTTCCGTTTAACAGATTTCCATTTACTGAGAGTCTACTGTAGATTGTAGAAATTCCAACAGGAAGTGATTGAAAAGAGCAACCTTACGACTCAACCTCGTTCCATCGCAGATGGCAAGCCGGGCCAGAGTGCGAGTTGCAGAGTATGTGACACACACATCATCGTACCCCCTGCCACCATCGGCACAAGACTGTGGCGACTGCAACACTCTGCAAAGTGCACCCAGTGTTGCCTACCAGCTGCGTCTCGTGCAGCCAGCTATGAGGCCTCTGTTTCTAGCTCTCTTCCACCAAGTTCAGAGGGCATCATTGGGCAAAGGCTTTCACAACTTTCTGCACACATAGCCAGAACCCAACGCCTTTACAATTAAGAAAAGGTATAATCTCATTTAACGGGACAGGCCTCTAGTAGAAAGGAAAGAAGGCAGTGTGTACAGTGTGTTTGCAATAGTACGCCTACTAGGTTTTGTTATTGTTGAACAGTACAAGGAACATGAGCCCAGTTCCTCTCGACGCCTACCGTTGATAGCATTCTATTCAGTTTTATTAGATAATAACGCATTTAAGGGGGCCTATGCATAAGCGTATATTTTCTGGACTTCACAACCGCACAAGTTGTACCTAGTCAACCAAAGTTATAATATTGCGTGCCTGGAACATTTTTTCATAATTTAATACAATCATTCCAAGCCCTGCTGTTGAACTACAGGGATGTACATAAGTATTTTTTTCATATGTGGTGCAATAAATTGACTGTTTTCTACCATCGATTCTCCCGTTGTGTGCCTTGTGAAGCGAGTAATTGTGGAAACATTATAAAATAAGTTTATTAACTGGATATAATAATTATTTGCAATTTGATTCAGCTTGGGTATAATTATGTTGTAAGTGATGACTTTCCATCATCTTGGTCGTGGCTCGCTGCACTGACATTAGCCTAGAAGAAATAAATAAATGGTGTGTTAATTGTTGAAATTGAAAAAATGATTGATAATGCACTATCATCATGGCAGCAGCTGTATAGATAAAGTTCTGTCATATCTCTTTTCTTTTTTGTAAAGATCAATCACTCATCAGTCTGTCAATGGGTGAAACTGTCCAATTGTGCAAGATTAGAGTGTCAAAGGTACAGTTTGACGTGAAATGGAGCTTTCGATATTTGATGCAAAAATATTTTGCGACTAAAATAACATGGGAGATACATCTTTCACTAAGCATCCTGAACATACAAACCATTTTTCTTAAGTTTGTGACAGCTGAAGAAAGTGCTGGATCACATTGTGATAAGGCCCAGTATTCATACTACTATACTCTATGACATTACATGTGCATTTGCCATTTTATAGTGCGAGAACTTGAAGAGCCCATCAAGTAAAGTTTGGGGGGCTGTCATGTATACTTTGAGGTGTATTTTAGGTTAAAAGAAGCAAAAGCATCTTGCACGATTCACTACAACTACTACCAGATCAGGGCCAGCAACGAAAGTGTGGCGAAGAAAGCAGCTCTCGCTTCCATATTCTTGCTGCATGGTTGCCACCATGTTCCACACACTTGGGAAACTAGGGCCTCCAAGATGTGTGTGCAGTGTGATCTCTGAGACAATTAGTCAAAGACTGAGCTAAATGTGGACATGCGGCTTTTTACTGATGCCAGAGTTTTCCAAAGACAATTGTTTTAAAAATGCATCATCATTTACATTCTGAGCTTGAGACAGAGATAAATGTGGAGGTGCAACTGCTTGATTGCACGAACAATGTTCATTCTTAATGGTTTACATGTAGACAGTGCTTACCACCGCGTTAGAGTGGCTACTGTCTCCCTGGCTAGGCACCGTTACATCTGAAACGAGAGACAACATAAGCCTGCTTAAACCAACAACCGCACTTGGTTGTTGGATGTACCGTCGACCCGCACGTCTGCACACCGCAGTGGGTGTGGAGAACTATACGGACGACATACCTGTGCCGTTTGCACATTTCTTAGGTGTGACCACTAAAAGAGAGGATGTATTTGCTCAGATTTGATCGGGGATCACTAAAAGCAATAACAGCGAGTGACCAAAAGACTAGTAAGGAGCTTGTTTAAGGTCACTTACGTATGACAGGAGGGCTTGATGGCAGGGACGGTGGACCTAGGGACAAGGAAATGTGAAAGTGCGTGTGATTATTTCATGTCAATGCAGCATTGTTGACTTGATCTCATCAAAACTGAGCCCACATTCCGCAGTTATTGTTTGAAGTTTATTGGCATGAAAAAATCATTGCATTTCAAGCTGCTCAAAGATAATTATGGGGAAAAGCTTTTAGAGGTGATTATTGTGATTAAAATTGAGATAGTACTGAGACTGATTGTGGTTGTGACACTTGTATATTTTTTTATTCAAAGAGATAGTGCTGAGACCGATTGTGATATAGCGGTGATTTTTCTTTATAGCTGATATGAGGTTCCGAGTTCCGGGTTACATTTTGACTGCATAATCACAGCTTCATTAGCTCTGGTGTAGCTCGTCTCTGGTGTAGAATTTTCTTGTCGGTACTGCCGCCTTGCATCTGCTTCAAGTTGTCTCAACTGTGCGTCAGCTTGGCGTTTTTCCCGCTTAGTCTTTGCTTTCTTAGCCCTAGTCTGTGGTGTAGAACTTTGTTGTCGCCGTCGCCACTTTGCATCCGCTTCCTTCTCTTTTGTCTCTGCGGTAGCTTCCCGTCGACGGCCACGCTGATACTCAGCACGTCGCGCTTTCCTGCGTTCGTCTTCGTCCATATGAGAGAAGAAAATGTGTGGTATGGAACGTGGTTATATATATATATATATATATATATATAGCGTTGACAGCAGCGCCATCACATCTACATTTAATCACAGTGCCCTCTGTTGCTTATAAGTTGAAGGTTACATGCAAAACAGTTACCACCAACACCCTCTGTTGCTTAAAGTTTAAGGTTACATGGTGTTACGGACAGACTGGAGACGGCGGACATCGTGAGGTGTTAAGGAGCTTCGCCCCGAATAAATACAAATGGATTGCAAACGTCGTATGGCCCCTTAGCCAAACAGTAGTATTAGGGCCATATGCAAATGTAATTGTCAATAGTGTTCATCATAGACATTCAAATACAAGACAAGCAATATATGAAGATAAAAAAAGCACAAAAGATAAATATAGACATGGAATATATATAAAAGAACGAGACATATTCTTAATTAGAATAGGATAAGCATGAAGTGTATGTGTGTGTAACATATGTGTGTGTGCGTACATGTGTGTGTCAAGTGGATCCTCCGTGTATACGGTAACAACGGAAGTGTTGCAAGAATGGTAACAACAGCTAAGACAGAAAGAAACAAGAAATGAAAAAGTGGGAGGGAAAAAATTCGAGAACGTTCCAGGGTTTACTGTGCTGTGTGAGTGGCATTGTCAGTGTGTATTAGAAGTATTAAGTGCAGTGTAGTTGGGTGGCGGTCCCTTTATTTTAAACGGCGCCTATCTAAGGTAAGGGCTTGCGTGCAATGGAAGGGGTTTTTTCTCTCTCTTTCTCTCTCTCGACCGTTACTAATCAGGAGCTTTCTTAAGGCAATGTCTGTCTCGCTTTGAAGGGGTACCAGACAGTGGTGCCAAAATACAGGAATGGACGTTTAACGTGAATACTATTTCGTTCGCTAGGGAGCACTTCCATCAGCATTGCATAGTGTCAAATATCTTGCCATGCAGATGTACTTCATCAGTACCATACTTATGGTAGAAAATTAATGGCAACCTAAACAGCACAATACCGAGTGCAATAAGAAAAAAAGAAAACGAAATGCAAGGACTGACTTCAGTACCATGGCAATAAAATGTACAGTGAAAAGAAGTCCCCCTTCCTCCAATATCCTGTGGAAATCCCCACTACACCTTACTTCACCTACAGTGCCTGTCATTGTACAGGCACTTTAGCTACCCTAAGACGCCTAGAGTGTCTGCATAACACCATCACAGTACTGCATTGCGCACCTTCACGTACTTTTCTTGAAGATATAGCAGAGACTCAGAATGACGGTCACTATGGCGAGTAGGCTGATGAGCACCACGACGAGCCAAGCACTTGAAAGGGGTGACGTAAAAGGCTCTGGCGCTGTTGATAGGGCTGTGTGTCTTATTTCATCAAACGTTCTGCAAGAAAAAAGCGGCACCAGTTGAAAAACCCAAGTTGTAGTTGCTGCAGCAAGCATAATGGATTAATTATACTTGCATTGTTCTTCTCTTTATGCCTGCAAAGGAGGGCAGCAATGCTTATTGTCTAAAGGTTTGCTCGAGTTGGTTCATAGAGTTTCATATTGCGAAAAACTCTACAAGTTGGTTCATGGTCGAACCTTTGGGAAGACAGCGCTATAAGTGCAGGGACATACAGAAGAAACAATGGGTGCGGTCTGTTGTTTGATGTCTGTGCTGATGTCCGGAAAGGTGTGCCAGCGTTATGGCTTATTTGCAGTCTGCATTTGGTGATGCAAATTATTATTGTCAATTCTGTTCTGAAGTTGCTGCAAGAATGAAAGCATAGACGCTTGTAGGAATTGAGGCTAGCCCGCTGCCTTTGCGCGGGCTTTACCGCCTCTTTCTCCGCTCTCATGTCCCGACATGACTCTCCTCCTCCGTTGTCTGCCGCGCTGGGAGAGCGAAGTGACGTTTAACCCCTCTCACCCGGTAGCGCATGTCAACTGTGGCGCCGCGCGCATAGTCTCCCGAGAGGTTTTGCGCGCGCGCGTCGGGAGTAGAAAGAGACCTCTCCGGGGATGACATGTGGGTAAGCACGCTTTTCCTTTCCGTCCTTCAGCTCCCTGTGGGGCTCGTTCGGACTTCGCCAACAGCGCCTTGCGCCCGCGGCAAACGCTTACCTTACGTCGCCCCCCCCCCCCCCCTTTCCGAACGCTGGGCCGAAGAGTGGGAGCGGGGGCATGGAGGAAGGAAAAAATATAGTTTTTCTTTCCTCCATGTGCGGGGGCAAGTTCCTAGTGCGTGGCCACAGAACACCTACCAGATTGGCGTGGCCAGGCGACGCACTAGTAGGTGTTTTTGGTAAGTGGGCGTTCTGTGGCCAGGCTACGCCGACCCGTATCCCTCCGAAACCAACGCGAGCGCCTTTGCCCTCGCTCGAGCAACTGAGCCTTGGTCCCAGTGTCTCCGTGAATCACTTTTACCACGGAGACGTGTTCGTGGCACCCTGTGTGGTACTTTGCGCCCGTGGCGTGGATAAGCCCATTTGCTTTCCCGCCGCGCCTTTGCAACGGGCTGTACTGCATTTTGGTGTTGCCACAAACAAAGTGTTGCGACCTTGAGCAGTATCGTGTTCTCGCCATGGCTACGGTTAACGCGTGGCCTGCGGCTCACTAAGACCGGACCCACGCTAGTGGCCGCACTCCTTCAGGATACGTGTCACTACCTGCTGAACTGCGGATGATTTCTTGCCCGATTTTTCTCCAATTGACTTCATTAAAGGGACCCTGCAATACTTCTCCAAGTAGCCATGCAATGAATTCACTGAATGAGCTTGTAACACAAATTCACCGCCGCAAACAAAAAAAAAATCAGAATGCGTCCAGTACGAGCGGAGCTACAGAAATTTGTCGCAAGCTGTAATCGCATTCTCTCTTATCTCGTTCGTAGGAAAGCGCTATAGAAGCTAAGCAGAGAGGGATATGGCACGGGGGAAAAAGTACGTCACGCGCGCCTCGTGACCTTGAACACTTTTTTCAATCTTTTCGAATGCGCGATTTTTCAGTGCGGTTAGGCACTAGC